CACACCATTCAACCAAGGTGTACCGAGAAGAGAGACACACATCAGTCAACCAAGGTGTACCGAGAAGAGAGACACACACCATTCAACCAAGGTGTGCCGAGAAGAGAGACACACATCAGTCAACCAAGGTGTACCGAGAAGAGAGACACACATCAGTCAACCAAGGTGTACCGATAAGAGAGACACACACCATTCAACCAAGGTGTACCGAGAAGAGAGACACACATCAGTCAACCAAGGTGTACCGAGAAGAGAGACACACACCATTCAACCAAGGTGTGCCGAGAAGAGAGACACACATCAGTCAACCAAGGTGTACCGAGAAGAGAGACACACACCATTCAACCAAGGTGTACCGAAAAGAGACACACATCAGTCAACCAAGGTGTACCGAAAAGAGAGACACACACCATTCAACCAAAGTGTACCGAGAAGAGAGACACACATCAGTCAACCAAGATGTACCGAGAAGAGAGACACACACCATTCAACCAAAGTGTACCGAGAAGAGAGACACACACCATTCAACCAAGGTGTACCGAAAAGAGAGACACACATCAGTCAACCAAGGTGTACCGAGAAGAGAGACACATCAGTCAATCAAGGTGAACCGAAAAGAGAGACACACATCAGTCAACCAAGGTGTACCGAGAAGAGAGACACATCAGTCAATCAAAGTGTACCGAAAAGAGAGACACACACCATTCAACCAAGGTGTACCGAAAAGAGAGACACACATCAGTCAACCAAGGTGTACCGAAAAGAGAGACACACATCAGTCAACCAAGGTGTACCGAGAAGAGAGACAAACACCATTCAACCAAGGTGTACCGAAAAGAGACACACATCAGTCAACCAAGGTATACCGAGAAGAGAGACACACATCAGTCAACCAAGGTGTGCCGAGAAAAGAGACACACACCATTCAACCAAGGTGTACCGAGAAGAGAGACACACACCATTCAACCAAAGTGTACCGACAAGAGAGACACACATCAGTCAACCAAGGTGTACCGAGAAGAGAGACACACCATTCAACCAAGGTGTACCGAGAAGAGAGACACACACCATTCAACCAAGGTGTACCGATAAGAGAGACACACACCATTCAACCAAGGTGTACCGAGAAGAGAGACACACATCAGTCAACCAAGGTGTGCCGAAAAGAGACACACATCAGTCAACCAAGGTGTACCGAGAAGAGAGACACACACCATTCAACCAAGGTGTACCGATAAGAGAGACACACATCAGTCAACCAAGGTGTACCGATAAGAGAGACACACATCAGTCAACCAAGGTGTACCGAGAAGAGAGACACACATCAGTCAACCAAGGTGTGCCGAAAAGAGACACACATCAGTCAACCAAGGTGTACCGAGAAGAGAGACACACACCATTCAACCAAGGTGTACCGATAAGAGTGACACACACCATTCAACCAAGGTGTACCGAGAAGAGAGACACACATCAGTCAACCAAGACGTACCGAAAAAAGGACACACATCAGTCAACCAAGGTGTACCGAGAAGAGAGACACACATCAGTCAACCAAGGTGTACCGATAAGAGAGACACACACCATTCAACCAAGGTGTACCGAGAAGAGAGACACACATCAGTCAACCAAGGTGTACCGAGAAGAGAGACACACACCATTCAACCAAGGTGTGCCGAGAAGAGAGACACACATCAGTCAACCAAGGTGTACCGATAAGAGAGACACACACCATTCAACCAAGGTGTACCGAAAAGAGACACACATCAGTCAACCAAGGTGTACCGAGAAGAGAGACACACACCATTCAACCAAAGTGTACCGAGAAGAGAGACACACACCATTCGACCAAGGTGTACCGATAAGAGAGACACACACCATTCAACCAAGTTGTACCGAGAAGAGAGACACACATCAGTCAACCAAGGTGTACCGAGAAGAGAGACACACATCAGTCAACCAAGGTGTACCGAAAAGAGACACACATCAGTCAACCAAGGTGTACCGAGAAGAGAGACACACACCATTCAACCAAGGTGTACCGATAAGAGAGACACACACCATTCAACCAAGGTGTACCGAGAAGAGAGACACACATCAGTCAACCAAGGTGTACCGAAAAGAGACACACATCAGTCAACCAAGGTGTACCGAGAAGAGAGACACACATCAGTCAACCAAGGTGTACCGATAAGAGAGACACACACCATTCAACCAAGGTGTACCGAGAAGAGAGACACACATCAGTCAACCAAGGTGTACCGAGAAGAGAGACACACACCATTCAACCAAGGTGTGCCGAGAAGAGAGACACACATCAGTCAACCAAGGTGTACCGAGAAGAGAGACACACATCAGTCAACCAAGGTGTACCGATAAGAGAGACACACACCATTCAACCAAGGTGTACCGAGAAGAGAGACACACATCAGTCAACCAAGGTGTACCGAGAAGAGAGACACACACCATTCAACCAAGGTGTGCCGAGAAGAGAGACACACATCAGTCAACCAAGGTGTACCGAGAAGAGAGACACACACCATTCAACCAAGGTGTACCGAAAAGAGACACACATCAGTCAACCAAGGTGTACCGAGAAGAGAGACACACACCATTCAACCAAAGTGTACCGAGAAGAGAGACACACACCATTCAACCAAGGTGTACCGATAAGAGAGACACACACCATTCAACCAAGGTGTACCGATAATTGAGACACACATCAGTCAACCAAGGTGTACCGAAAAGAGACACACATCAGTCAACCAAGGTGTACCGAGAAGAGAGACACACACCATTCAACCAAGGTGTACCGATAAGAGAGACACACACCATTCAACCAAGGTGTACCGAGAAGAGAGACACACATCAGTCAACCAAGGTGTACCGAAAAGAGACACACATCAGTCAACCAAGGTGTACCGAGAAGAGAGACACACATCAGTCAACCAAGGTGTACCGATAAGAGAGACACACACCATTCAACCAAGGTGTACCGAGAAGAGAGACACACATCAGTCAACCAAGGTGTACCGAGAAGAGAGACACACACCATTCAACCAAGGTGTGCCGAGAAGAGAGACACACATCAGTCAACCAAGGTGTACCGATAAGAGAGACACACACCATTCAACCAAGGTGTACCGAAAAGAAACACACATCAGTGAACCAAGGTGTACCGAGAAGAGAGACACACACCATTCAACCAAAGTGTACCGAGAAGAGAGACACACATCAGTCAACCAAGGTGTACCGATAAGAGAGACACACACCATTCAACCAAGGTGTACCGAGAAGAGAGACACACACCATTCAACCAAGGTGTACCGAAAAGAGACACACATCAGTCAACCAAGGTGTACCGAGAAGAGAGACACACATCAGTCAACCAAGGTGTGCCGAGAAGAGAGACACACACCATTCAACCAAGGTGTGCCGAGAAGAGAGACACACACCATTCAACCAAGGTGTGCCGAGAAGAGAGACACACATCAGTCAACCAAGGTGTGCCGAGAAGAGAGACACACATCAGTCAACCAAGGTGTGCTGAGAAGAGATACACACATCAGTCAACCAAGGTGTGCCGAGAAGAGAGACACACACCATTCAACCAAGGTGTGCCGAGAAGAGAGACACACATCAGTCAACCAAGGTGTGCTGAGAAGAGAGACACACATCAGTCAACCAAGGTGTGCCGAGAAGAGAGACACACATCAGTCAACCAAGGTGTACCGAGAAGAGAGACACACATCAGTCAACCAATGTGTGCTGATACGAGGGACACACATCAGTCAACCAAGGTGTGCCGAGAAGAGAGACACACACCATTCAACCAAGGTGTACCGATAAGAGAGACACACACCATTCAACCAAGGTGTGCCGAGAAGAGAGAGTCACACCATTCAACCAAGGTGTGCCGAGAAGAGAGACACACATCAGTCAACCAAGGTGTACCGAGAAGAGAGACACACATCAGTCAACCAAGGTGTACCGAGAAGAGAGACACACACCATTCAACCAAGGTGTGCCGAGAAGAGAGACACACATCAGTCAACCAAGGTGTGCCGAGAAGAGAGACACACATCAGTCAACCAAGGTGTGCCGATACGAGAAACACCCATTAGTCAATCAGTCAACTAGGGTTACGTCCCACAAAGCGATCTTAGCGACAAGACTGCTGTAAGACTGTCTATGTTATGATCGCTTTGAGGAAGGTGGCCCAGATCGGCCACTCCGCCGACGTCAGCTACATCCACATCGACATCTCCAGCCAAGTGGGCAACCGCACCAGTGTATGGACCGTGAACAATATCGACAGATGCGGATGTTGACTTGTAGTCTTGGTCACACCTGTAGTGCGCCCAGCTTGTTCAGATTAACAACTGTATAGATGACTGCAGGACGCACATATAAAACGCAACGCTGCCGCGCCAGGCAAGAAGGACTGTGGGCCTTTGTACACGTGTCACTGTCACGTGATTTTGTTCGTGCCTTATTTACAGGAAAAATATTTCGCTATAATATGTTTATCATCCTCAACGAAGCACTACATCAAATCTCTCTTCTATTGCATATTATAATAGTGAGTGAGTTGGGTTTGACGCCGCTTTTAACAGTATTCCAGTTATATCACGGCGTGTCAGCTTAATGTGGGAGGAAGGCCCGAAGTGATGCAGGTCTCAGACGTTTACCACTTCGGTGAAACCCACGATGCTGACAAACCTAGAATCATAAACGGGGCGAACCGGGATTCGAACACACAATCATAGGTTTCTGGCATGCCCAAGGAACGCAACACTGCACACCGAATCGAGGCGCCTTAGACGACTAGGCCACCCGTGCCCCCCGCATAATATAATAGAATAGAGATATGAAACACCGGATAAAGAAGGATTTCGTGTAATATGATCACAAGAAGAAATGTCCTGCTACCATTCAAATGTTTTCCGACACTTAATATAACCGCCGCGTTGGGCTTTTAACGCTAAAGTATCTGAAATACATTCACGTGTAATCTTTTATTTCTACAACTAGGCATACATAGTTTACAAAGAAATCAGGCACTCTGTACAAACAAAACAAAAACCTACCCGGTGGCTTGAATATCATTGAATTTACCGCTCTTCCAAAACATCATGAATTGTACACTGTATATTGCGTAGTGAGGGAATCTTTAAGTTAGTTCAATATCATAAGACATGAGGAATACACCTTTGAGATATAACCGTCATTAGTTGTCATTTTCAAGAAATGCGGGGTTCCGATTTCGCCCGGAAAGACACGAGAACGTAGGACGTTCGTCCGTCACCATGACGTTTCATAATTATTCTAATGCATGTCAGCAATTCTGGCCAAAATGTCCAGAACCTGTTCGTCATAATGGACAGGTGGCGCTCTATCCCGTCTCCGTCCGCTCTCGGCCAAAATGAAGCGTGTCTGTCTTTCAAGGTCAATCGCGCCGGCAACAACAGCGTCGATGTTGGTGTAATCGACGCCATGCACGCTGAAAGTAGTGTACAGTTCCTCTGCCAGCTTCCGGCGATAGAAGTCGCCGCGGTCGCCGCTCAGACCAACGTCGTCGTGCATGCCGTTAAGATATAGGAGAACATCATCCATTGTGCTCAGTCGGGTATGTCGCAACATCCGGGTGTTGTTCATGAGGAGCAGGATGCGCTCACAGGACACAAGGGCGATGCGGTGGAGAGTTGACACCGGGTACATCCGGTCAGGTGACGCCGTGACGGCAGGGTCGCGAGCGGACAACTGGTAGTTCACTTGAGACATCATCTACAACATGACGAGTCACGAAACTGTCATGAGATTTTGTTCGCCCATTTGATATTCTGGAAATGGAGCCAATATGTTTGAAAAATATGCTGAAATATTAGAGAATGCTGAAGACATTTTGACTTTACCAGCTTGTCCTGCAAAATGCGATGTGGCGAATTAATGTTTTGCTCCGAGCAACACATAACCAAAGACAATAAACAGTTCATTGTTCATTGTTTGTTTAGCCATTGTTAGTCGTATAATACTAATACATTCAAAGGGACTCAATCGGCCTTAGGTAACAGGCAGCTATGCTTGTCGTAAGAGGTGACTAACGGGATCGGGTGGTCAGGCTCGCTGACTTGGTGGATGCATGTCATCGTATCCCAACTTCGTGGATCGATGCTCATGATGTCAATCACTGGATTGTCTGATCCAGACTCGATTATTTACAGACCGCCGTCATATAGCTGGAACATTGCTGAGTGCGGCGTTAAACAACAAACAAACGCACAAACAAACAATCGGCCTTAGATGAAACACCGCCATTGCAAAACACATTATGCCTATGCTCTTAGAGAACACTTCGACTATGTCGTTACAAAATATAGAGTTGAATGTTCTGTGGGATTATATCAAAATCAGGCTCAGGATCAACTCAGGTAACAGCTGTATCGATGGCAACAGTTGTGGTAGTGCGACTGTGTTGTTGAGTGATTAGAGCATACTGCGCCAGCGGACTTCGGTTTAAAGTGCATCCTTTTGTAAACCAGGAGACACGTGTCCAACCACTATACCCCGGGGACATGTGTCATGTCCTACCACCACCAAGGGGAATACGTATCATGTCCTACCACCACACAGGGGAACACGTGCCATGTCCTACCACCACCAAGGGGAACACGTGTCATGTCCTACCACCACACAGGGGAACACGAGTCATGTCCTACCACCACCCAGGGGAACACGTGTCACGTCCTACCACCACCCAGCGGAACACGAGTCATGTCCTACTACCACACAGGGGAACACGAGTCATGTCCTACCACCACCCAGGGGAACACGAGTCATGTCCTACCACCACCCAGAAGGACACGTTACATGTCCTCCCACCAAACAGGGAAAAATGTATCATGTCCTACCACCACCGTCAAGAGGAACACGTGTCATGTCCTACCACCACCCAGAGGAACACGTGTCATGTCCTACCACCAACCAGGGGGACATGTGTCATGTACTACCAACACCCAGGCGAACACGTGTCCATTCCTACCACCACCCAGAACGACACGTGTCATGTCCTACCACCAACCAGGGGAACATGTGTCATGTACTACCAGCACCAAGGGGAACACGTGTCATGTCCTACCACCACCCAGGGGAACATGTGTCATGTACTACCAGCACCCAGGGGAACACGTGTCATGTCCTACCACCACCCAGGGGAACATGTGTCATGTCCTACCACCAACCAGGGGAACATGTATCACGTCCTACCACCACCCAGAGGAACACGTGTCATGTCCTACCACCACACAGAGGAACACGTGTCATGTCCTACCACCACCCAGGGGAACATGTGTCATGTACTACCAACACCCAGGCGAACACGTGTCCATTCCTACCACCACCCAGAACGACACATGTCATGTCCTACCACCAACCAGGGGAACACGTGTCATGTACTACCACCAACCAGGGGAACACGTGTCATGTCCTACCACCACCACGGGGAACACGTGTCATGTACTACCACCGTCAAGAGGAACACGTGTCATGTCCTACCACCACCAAGGGGAACATGTGTCATGTACTACCAGCACCCAGGGGAACACGTGTCATGTCCTACCACCACCCAGGGGAACATGTGTCAAGTCCTACCACCAACCAGGGGAACACGAGTCATGTCCTACCACCACCCAGGGGAACACGTGTCACGTCTTACCACCACCCAGGGGAACACGAGTCATGTCCTACTACCACACAGGGGAACACGAGTCATGTCCTACCACCACACAGGGGAACACGAGTCATGTCCTACCACCACCCAGAAGGACACGTTACATGTCCTCCCACCAAACAGGGAAAAATGTATCATGTCCTACCACCACCCAGAGGAACACGTGTCATGTCCTACCACCACCCAGAGGAACACGTGTCATGTCCTACCACCAACCAGGGGGACATGTGTCATGTACTACCAACACCCAGGCGAACACGTGTCCATTCCTACCACCACCCAGAACGACACGTGTCATGTCCTACCACCAACCAGGGGAACATGTGTCATGTACTACCAGCACCAAGGGGAACACGTGTCATGTCCTACCACCACCCAGGGGAACATGTGTCATGTACTACCAGCACCCAGGGGAACACGTGTCATGTCCTACCACCACCCAGGGGAACATGTGTCATGTCCTACCACCAACCAGGGGAACATGTATCACGTCCTACCACCACCCAGAGGAACACGTGTCATGTCCTACCACCACACAGAGGAACACGTGTCATGTCCTACCACCACCCAGGGGAACATGTGTCATGTACTACCAACACCCAGGCGAACACGTGTCCATTCCTACCACCACCCAGAACGACACATGTCATGTCCTACCACCAACCAGGGGAACACGTGTCATGTACTACCACCAACCAGGGGAACACGTGTCATGTCCTACCAGCACCCAGGGGAACATGTGTCAAGTCCTACCACCACACAGGGGAACACGAGTCATGTCCTACCACCACCCAGGGGAACACGTGTCACGTCCTACCACCACCCAGGGGAACACGAGTCATGTCCTACTACCACACAGGGGAACACGAGTCATGTCCTACCACCACCCAGGGGAACACGAGTCATGTCCTACCACCACCCAGAAGGACACGTTACATGTCCTCCCACCAAACAGGGAAAAATGTATCATGTCCTACCACCACCCAGAGGAACACGTGTCATGTCCTACCACCACCCAGGGGAACACGAGTCATGTCCTACCACCACCCAGAAGGACACGTTACATGTCCTCCCACCAAACAGGGAAAAATGTATCATGTCCTACCACCACCCAGAAGAACACGTGTCATGTCCTACCACCAACCAGGGGAACATGTGTCATTTACTACCACCACCCAGAACGACACGTGTCATGTCCTACCACCAACCAGGGGAACATGTGTCATGTACTACCAGCACCCAGGGGAACACGTGTCATGTCCTACCACCACCCAGGGGAACATGTGTCATGTACTACCAGCACCGAGGGGAACACGTGTCATGTCCTACCACCACCCAGGGGAACATGTGTCATGTACTACCAGCACCCAGGGGAACACGTGTCATGTCCTACCACCACCCAGGGGAACATGTGTCATGTCCTACCACCAACCAGGGGAACATGTATCATGTCCTACCACCACCCAGAGGAACACGTGTCATGTCCTACCACCACCCAGAGGAACACGTGTCATGTCCTACCACCACCTAGGGGAACATGTGTCATGTACTACCAACACCCAGGCGAACACGTGTCCATTCCTACCACCACCCAGAACGACACATGTCATGTCCTACCACCAACCAGGGGAACACGTGTCATGTACTACCACCAACCAGGGGAACACGTGTCATGTCCTACCACCACCACGGGGAACACGTGTCATGTACTACCACCGTCAAGAGGAACACGTGTCATGTCCTACCACCACCCAGGGGAACATGTGTCATGTACTACCAGCACCCAGGGGAACACGTGTCATGTCCTACCACCACACAGGGGAACATGTGTCATGTACTACCAGCACCGAGGGGAACACGTGTCATGTCCTACCACCACCCAGGGGAACATGTGTCATGTACTACCAGCACCCAGGGGAACACGTGTCATGTCCTACCACCACCCAGGGGAACATGTGTCATGTCCTACCACTAACCAGGGGAACATGTATCACGTCCTACCACCACCCAGAGGAACACGTGTCATGTCCTACTACCACCCAGAGGAACACGTGTCATGTCCTACCACCACCATGGGGAACACGAGTCATGTCCTACCACCACCACGGGGAACACGAGTCATGTCCTACCACCACCACGGGGAACACGAGTCATGTCCTACCACCACCCAGGGGAACACGAGTCATGTCCTACCACCACCACGGGGAACACGAGTCATGTCCTACCACCACCCAGGGGAACACGAGTCATGTCCTACCACCACCCAGGGGAACACGTGTCATGTCCTACCACCACCCAGGGGAACACGAGTCATGTCCTACCACCACCCAGGGGAACACGAGTCATGTCCTACCACCACCCAGGGGAACACGTGTCATGTCCTACCACCACACAGAGGAACACGTGCCATGTCCTACCACCAACCAGAAGGACACGTGCCATGTCCTACCATCACCCAGGGGGAACACGAGTCATGTCCTACCACCACCCAGGGGAACACGAGTCATGTCCTACCACCACACAGGGGAACACGTGTCACGTCCTACCACCACCCAGGGGAACACGTGTCATGTCCTACCACCACACAGGGGAACACTGTTTAAACTGAATCAGGTGTAAAATTAGGTACGTTGCTGTAACCATGAAAAATACACAGTTCTCGGCGTACGCTAAGTCACGTACCATTGATGTCATTGTGTGAGCAGGACGACACAAGCTTAGCTCTTTAAATAGTGGCTTTCATGCTGGCTCATATTTCTAATAACTGGAATTTGTTATCGCGAAAAGCTGTGGACGGTACCATCTGGATTCAATCATATTTAATCTACTCATGCAGTTAATTACAAAATATTATCTCTGCTGTATGTTATTAATCGTCGTGATATAGGTGTATTCCTAGGAAATGGTAGCTCAGGCCAAATGTTTCTCTGAGAATCACTCCCCGTAACCGACATTCACAACGCTGATTCAATGTTTGCATAGGTCAAAAGGGCAGCGCATGGGAAATTTCATTCTCTAAACGTAATGCTTTTTTTCTGATTAAGTGCTTTTCAAATGTGGCAAATTTTCAGTGTCGAAAGTTAAGGGACAACTTTAATTTCCTTACAACAACATATGACATTCGTTGTTTAATTTGCACATTTTTCGGGCATATATATAGATAAAACAATCTCTAAACCGACTGGTTAAACGAGCACCGTGCAGTTTATATATATGCCCGAAAAATAGCTGAGGGCTCTGGAATCTGGTCCAATTTATTTTATTTAATGAAATGAAAGAAACTAATAATAAGTCGAATAGCTATGTCCTTTCACAAGGACCTGTTTCGGAGGTTTAACAGAAAGGTTCAGGTATCTTATTATCAGGTAAACATATGCGTTTTCCGAAACTGCAGGGTGCTCGTTTAACCAGTCAGTTTATAAATTGTTTTATGTAAAACTGCACAGTGCTAGTTTAACCAGTCGGTTAAGATATTGTTTTATCTAAAACTGCACGGTGCTTGTTTAACCAGTCGGTTTAGATATTGTTTTATCTAAAACTGCAGGGTGCTCGTTTAACCAGTCGATTTAGAGATTGTTTATAGATTGTTTTATCTAAAACTGCACGGTGCTCGTTTAACCAATCGGTTTAGAGATTGTTTTATCTAAAACTGCACGGTGCTCGTTTAACCAGTCGGTTTAGATATCGTTTTATCTAAAACTGCACGGTGCTTGTTTAACCAGTCGGTTTAGAGATTGATTTATCTAAACCTGCAGGGTACTCGTTTAATCAGTCGGTTTAGAGATTGTTATATCTAAAACGGCACGGTGCTCGTTTAACCAGTTGGTTTATAGATTGTTTTATCTTAAACTGCACGGTACTCATTTAACCAGTCGGTTTAAAGAGTGTTTTATCTACACCTGCAGGGTGTTCGTTTAACCAGTCGGTTTATAGATTGCGTTATCTAAAACTGCACGGTGCTCGTTTAACCAGAAGGCAGCTCGATAAAACCGATGGTGAAACAGACGCGCGCGCACACACACACACACACACACACACACACACACACACACACAAACACAAACACACAAACGCACGCACGCACGCACGCACGCACACACACATTGAACACACACACATGAACACACATATTGAACAGATGCACACTTATACACACACAAACACACACACACGTGTGCATGAAAGTCGCTATCTAAGTGCAATAATCTTGAACGCGACGTTAAATCTCACCTCACCTCACCTCACCTCACCTCACCTCACCTCACAATAGTAATAGGGGCGGTCGGGTAGCCAAGTGGTTAAAGCGTTCGCTCGTCACGCCGAAGACCCAGATTCGATTCCCCACATGGGTACAATGTGTGAAGCCCATTTCTGGTGTCCCCCACCGTGACATTGCTGGAATATTGCTAAAAGCGGCGTAAAACAATACTCACTCACTCACCTCACCTCACCTCACCTCACCTAATGGTCCCAGGGAAACTGTCGGGATTCACACATTCCCTAATGAGAGACTCACAACTAAATTGAATATGATAATAATTAAATCGCGCAGAAAGTGGGTATCCGTTCTAACGGGAAACGTATAAACGAGGGCCCGTGGTCCGTCCCACAGTTGAGGCTGGGACAGTAAATATAGGATTAGCGACGTGACAAAGTCTACCATACACAGTCTCAGGCTATAATTCTATTCAATACGCAGGCTTAAAATTTATTTTAGAGAAAATAGAGGTACACTTTGCATTACATTGATCATATACTTCACATTACCATTTACATATTGTCAATAACAACTGTAGAAAAGAGTGTGGGCGGCTCTAAGCCAGTACGACACCGTGTTAGAAATAGAATAATATGGCTTTGCCAAATCACCATGAAATTGAATAAGACGATTACTTCTGGCTATAGCAAAAAGCAAGTGTGATAACTAATATGCAATAAAATATTGGCAATATATCGATTATTATCCATGATAATGCATTCACTATCGTACACAAACATGACCAATACCGTACCTTAAATCCACCGACTGTAAACTGTCGCTTGTCAACGAGCGTTGCCAGGTAGCGATCGAGTAACAAATGACAAGGGGGGGCTACTCGTGTAGGCCTATTTATGAAGCGATTTGGCATGCGATTCAAGGAGTAATCTATAGACTTACGACTATATTAAATCTGTTGTTGAATGTCGCTAGGGGTAACGAATACACACTAAGCACAAAATCAGATGACCAAGTAACTTGGTAACTACTTCTGATATTAAATGTTTAAGTAAAGGCTTGCTTAGCATTTTGTTTCAATGATAGAAACTTCTTAAGTGCACCCTCGAGTATGTTATATCCATAATCCAGTATACTATGCCTCCATTCTTTTTATAAATATGTATACCATAAACGAATGAAGACATGTTACACAAAGAGTATTTGGTCTCAAATTTGATATTTTCTAAGTCCTTATAATTTTATTCAAATCCTCTATTAACATCCAACCGGCCACGCCTGCTGATAATCATTTCTAATTGATCAACTCACAGGTTTCAAATCACAATATCACACCGCTGATTTAACAATAGTTAAAAACCATCAATAGTTCACATAACGAATCGAACCCGGGTCATCGAGTTTAACCATGAGCTACTACCCCACTGGTGTAGTGGTCAGACACAATGTTGACATAACTTACATATAGTGACCTCAATGACGGACATCTGCAAGTACGTTACATGGACTCTGCTCAAACTACCAAAACAACAGAACCATAAACATGTTCCGGTTGTTCAAATTGTCAGTGAGGTTTTAATGTCGCTTTTGGAAACAACTACAACTAAGGGCAACACCCTTATGGGAATCAAACCCGGGCGTGCGTCGAGATGAGCGAATGCTTAAACTACTGGGCTACCCACAACCATGGACATGACACAGCCTGGTTCCCTGGGTGTGCTGCGCTGGCGCTACACTGGGTTCACCCCCTCAATTAATGTCAAAAGTGTTCACTGGCAATATTGGTGAGCGAATTTTCTTATTTGTTGATTAACAACTGATTAACTTTCAACGTTCTGGTTGTAGATCCTGCTATATAAGAAGGTTAATTTTCAGTTCATTCACTGCAAAATGGCAAATGCACAGGTGGATATTCAGTTCATTCCCAACAGTCGTGGTGGCAGAAGCCTTGTATATCAAGGTTATAAGTACCGTGTGAAGAGAACCAGAGGTACCAGCATCCACTGGAAGTGTTGCTTATGAACATGCCCAGCTACCATCAACACATCGAACGACTTCATCACCACAGTCAACAACATCCACAACCATGACGCAAACCATACCAAAATTGCTGTTGATAAGTTTGTCGCCTCATTGAAGAACATGGTTAACTACTCCATTCCGACGACAATATGCTGATTTTCTCAACTAGACCCAACTTAGAGCACCTTGCAGCAGCTGATACCATTTTTGCTGATGGAACTCTCAATATTTGTCCGAAATTGTATTCCCAACTGTACACTTTCCATGCTTTTGTAGGTCAGAAAATGTACCCCCTGGTCTATACGGAAATGATCATTAGCCAACTCCGAGCAGGCGGAGGTCAGCCTCCACGTGAGAAGAAATACAGAGAACTAGACCAGCGTCTTCAAAGAGAAAAGGACTTTCTTCTAGCTGGCACCAAAACATCTATTGAGTATGCCGATTCAGTGTCAAAATGCTAAATGTAATGTTATTTAATGTTATGATATGAAGGGCTATTTAGAATAAAATAATGAAATTTTTGTGCATATCATATATCAAAATTTTGAGATGACCCCTGGTGCCTTCTATTGTTTAACCAATTAGCATGCCTGACTGATTTTCATACTGGGAACAATAGGTGGTGGCAAAGTGAGGAGATCCCGTGTGTGTGTGTGTGTGTGTGTGTGTGTGCACTAGTCCAGACCATAATCCGCAGTTTAACATAGATGTCCAACTCAGATACAATACATATACTGTCCGAAACGATCAGCCCTTGCCTTATCCCCTTAATACCTTGAGGCGGGATACCAAGAAGAACCATCAGACACTCTATCCACTGGACCACGGAGGCGGTCATGAAAAAGAGAGAAACACTGTTGAATCATATGTCACGTTTTGCTTAATAAGCAACATATATTGGCTAGGTACCAATACAAAACCCAGAATCAGATGTGCGGATACATTCCTCAGGCAACCCAAGTACCTATCGCTATAAGAATGTAGTGCGGGCAGTTTTGGAATGAGGTTGTGTGCCGTTAAATAGAATGGAATGATCCAATTGTATTTTGACATAAAAAACGTTAACACTTACAATCGTCAAGGTGATCGAGAACACTAATATATACCAACACAATATCTCATTTGTTGATGCATTTTCAGCCAAAAAACACGATTTCTAAAAAAATTGCAAAATCTAAAAACGCACACAAAACAACAAAAATACTTGATTTTGCTTTTGCTTTGTGCCGCGACACAAGCAGAGTGAAATATAAAGGGACCACTAATTTTAATTCGTAATAACAGTAGTTCGTTATAAGCATATACAACATATACAGTAAACTAAGGTTAGAACGATCTCAAAGCGATCACTAATTTTAGTTCGTAATAACCATAGTTCGTTATTAACATATATACAGCATATATACAACAAATGACCGGGACTAAAATTAAGTTCGTTATATCGGTCAGTTCGTTATAAGCGTGTTCGTTATAAACGTAGTTTACTGTTATACACTTAAATACTACTAAAATATATATCTAAAGTTTATAACTAAACTTAAAGGAGTTATGTCTATCTACTAAGTTGCATATTGTATACACAAAGGGTCATGCACATGAAGACCGCCTCCGTGGTCTAGTGGTAGAGCGTCCGCCCGGAGAGCGTAAGGTCAAGGGGTTCGATCCGGAGTTTGGGCCGCGCCGTACCAAAAGACGTTAAAAGATGGTACTTGTTGTTACCCTGTCTGGCGCTCGGCATTAAGGGGCTAAAACAAAGACTGGTCGGCTCGGAGTCAGTATACTGTGTCTGAGTGGGCTATTCATGTTAAACTGCGGCATGGTATCTCAGCGTGCTAGCACTATAAATCGGCATCGGTCCGTGCATGCATTCAAGACACACATACACGTGCATGCACGTCGCTATATAAGTGCAATAATCTTGGACGCGACGTTAAACCCATTTCACCTCACCTCAACCACATGAAACAAACGCAGAGATGTTGAATGCTACGATGCGTAAATCTCTCACTGAATCAGCTTGGACAACACCGGCCCGGAGGATAGGAAGTGTTCCTGAAAAGTGTTATTTTGTAAACTATGTCCAACACCGCGTCTCTGGATGCTTAAGTTAAAATTCGCACAAATTGCCAAGTGTGATAGTGTTGCAATTTCATGATTTAAATTATGTAATTGATGTCCCCCATTGTGTCCCCTAACGTTTTCTAAGAAAGTTTAATGTTTTTCTAATGATTTTACTTGAGAAAATAAATAAATCTGCAGAATCTTTGGACGATTATTCTAAAAACCTCTCAGCTCAAAGCCTGAGTCAAGTGGAGGATTGGTTTCTCGTTTATTGGTTTGGCTGAAACCCAATACTTATTACAACATTTATTGAAATTAGCTCTAACATAGTATTAAGGCTGGAGGATAGCTGTGGGAAAATAGGTTCAGCTTGATTCAAGTGCTCCCTGGCGGCCATGATAAACTCAACTTATGATACAAGCTCTCAGCTGTTTGGTGTTATATAACGTGTATGCATATTGAAATGTGCACCTTTTAGTGCATGATATTACACTACAAATATACACTGCGATATGGTAAAACTATGCAAACGATTCCAAGTGGGTTTAAGTGTCAAATGCTCTATTTGAACGCACAAGCTTCCTGACAGCAGATACACGTTGGACCCTGCAGTGGAATTTATACCGTCTCGCGACCACCCCCTCGCTAATTTCCCCATTTGCTCCCCAGCGAAGATAAGCTTGTGCCCCAGTTGATTCACATGGCTCTTACCATAAACTGGTTCGCTCTATCAGCGCGTGAAAGAAGATGCGCAATAACATAAATGTTGTATAATGTATAATCACATCAGTAAATCCTAATTTAGATTCAGAGTCAGAGGTTGGTTGGGGGTGGACGTTGTGTGCAGGGGGGGGGGGGGGGGGGCAATGTGGTCGTATCAAGTCTCAGGAAGTGAATCAGTACATGTACGTCAGGGATATGTCACGGAGGAAGGAAACGTAGATTCATGTGAAACCTGCGATGATTCGTCCTCAATTGTTTATTGTTTCAAATTGGGGTCATCTGGGTTGGGAAACCCATGGATTTTATCCGGCACAGCTCGTGGAGGCTGCAGCATCAACATGTATACATTAAATAGCCACACCAGCGAGATAATTATTATCAACATGTATAATATGATTTGTATTTTCCTCTAAACGTCACAAGTACAACACATGAACTTGGCTCATGCACTCCCGTCACGAACACACACTGCTTTATCCTTGTGTAATGTCGTGCAAGGGGCACCCTCATCGTCGCTTACAGCAGGCGATAAGAGGAAAGAGGTGTCACATGTGCTTCCTCGTGCTTATAATACTGGAAATGTGTTTATCTTAGTTTGATTATTTTCAAAACACAATTATCCTCGTGAGACTATCAGCTCAATCAATGAAGGCTAATCCGGTTGTTTACGTGACATGGAAACCCAAAACAGCTCTTATAAAAAGGACTTCATTTGGTAATGCAGAGTAACGTCCCTTGGTGGGTTCGAATCACGTTTATTGGTTTGCCAGCACCATACCGAGCACTTGGGTTTCATCACAACGGTAAACGTCAAAGACCTACATCACTTCGGGCTTAAGAAAGAGCCGAAATACTGCACAAAGCTGTGTTTAATCAAACTCACTCACTCACTCGGCACAAAACTTTTCTCACTCACGAGAGTGCCTGAGTGTTGGCGTAGATTGAACGCCGCTTCTAGGAGTACTAGCAATCTCACGACGGTGCATTTATAAGAATACTCACTTAAAAGTTTACCCAGGTAGAGGGGGCACAAGTGGCCCAGTAGTCTAAGGCGCCGCGATTCGCTGTGCAGAGTTGCGTCCTTTGGGCACGCTAGAAACCTATGATTGTGGGTTCGTATCCCGGTTCGCCCCAATTATGTTTCTAGGTTTGTCAGCACCGTACCCGTGCTCGTGGGTTTCACCGAAGTGATAAACGTCTTAGACCTACATCACTTCGGGCTTTCCTCCCACATTAAGCTGACACGCCGTGATATAACTGGAATAATGTTAAAAGCGGCGTTAAACCCAACTCACTCACTCACTTACCCAGGTAGAGCATAGAACTTGTTTGTATACATCCAGTCCAGGGAACGCGTTTACTTCTGGACCAACACGTCGCATGAAGAAGCCGCGTTAATCATGGGCCTGATCCACAAAGCTTTCTTCGCTACGGCTATTAGTTCTTATTCAAGGTTATGGGGTCTCGCTGCCTCGCTCCATCCTCCCCCCTCACTCACTCACACACTCATTCACAGGGAGACAGACCATTAAAGAGGAAGAGGAAGTTACTGAGTCAAGTGTTACTCTCATGGACCAATAATGTCTGTTTTGCCGATCGTGAAACAGATGGGTTAACTTCATTTTAAGAATGGAAATCGAACCGGACCCCTACGATATTTAACGGCGCCCAAACCACTCGGCTAGCTATCTTACCGTTCACCCTGATGGTATGTCGGAGGGGGGGGGGGGGGGGGGGGGGAGGAGGCTGGTGTAAGCTCTTTCACTCTTTACCTTGGAATATCTTGACAACTTGCCCGTGATTAGCTGCCTGACCTTTGGCCGCCTTCCAGCACTGATCTCACTCACCCCATCGAAGCGCGACTTCGCCTTCTGAATCATGTCATATAACTGTAATACCAAAGTGCACGTGCATTTCACAATCTCGCAAAACATAAATGTCACACAAATAACACTCGTTTAAGTACAAGCGAGTTAATTGTGTTTTCTTTCTTGGGCAGGCATTACGTCAATTTAAAAAAAAACCGTCAAGGTCGCCTAGAAAACCAGAAACGCATTTATAGATGGAGTAGCAGAGACTGAAACTCAAATACCAGTTGTTATTTAATTTCCTGTCTAAAAAATAGATCTAAGAAAATTGAGAATGTTGTAACCCTCCCACTCCAGCTCCCCTTCCACTGTAGTGATTCCGGTTCCAAGTCCCCCCTTCCCCCCGCCCCCTCCCCCTACCCTCCCGAACAGCTGTGTATGACTAAGCCCACTCCGTCCAGCTTACATAAATCTCCAAACAATAACACGACGACTGCTGCAGGAATCTGCTGCCGGTACCTCCCCGAGCTGGACGACTGTAAGCATCCCTGTGTCAGAAGTCGTCATGAGGTTGTGTGTAGTTGCTGTAGTCGTTCTGGTCCTGCTGGCTGGCGTCTGTGACGGCAGGCGGAGACGTGGGAAACGACAACGACGTGTGCAGGGGGACAGGTCGTCAAGGGAGTGGCCATCAACTCAGAACTGGAAATCTTTTCTGGACAGACTGATGGGAAGGTGAGCTTCTCTTTCCAAAATTGGGGGACAAGTACGTCATTACTTTCTTTACCTGTGGTCATTGGGTCGAGTTTTGTGTTAGGGGTGAGTTACTTTAAAATTTCAAAAACTTTAATTTCGTTGTACCCGGAATTCACTTGAACTTAAACGTTGTTGGGATTGGATTCTTTGTTTAAGTGTTATCTATTTGCTATATCCAAAGGTGAATGAAACGGTTTCAGAGAACTTCACTATTCAAATACTCCCAGTTGCATATTGCGGAGGTTTGTCTCTGCACAATAGTAAAACTAACATGATAATGTATCACTTATTCTTTAATATTATGTTTAATAAATACCCTAAATATTTCATAACATATCCTCAAATTTGCAAATAGATATCAATTGCATGCAGTGCATTTCTCGCTATAGTTAAATTTCACTTTCAATTTGACTTTCTTGTGGCAGAGAGGAACTGCTCTTTGTCACTGTGGTTGAAAGATGATATATCAGAATAAGGCTACATAACATGTGATGACATTTTGGGATACGTTGAAGACGACTACCTTACATCAGGCTTCATGAGTAAATGACCAACTATTCTATATTTCAGCCCGGCAAAAGTATTGTGATAGCTTTAACACAACATTGTACAATAGTTATTTAAAAACCCATTCAAAAGCATAAATGAATTACTGATAGAGTGGATATTCGGACATGGTAATTTTTCACGTTGCTTGTTCCTGCGAGTTAAGATTACACAAGGACATTTGCGACATGTTTACAAGAATTCTAAACGGTTTCCGGCAAGTTGTCTTCTATGACGTCCGTGCTTAGAAAAAAGGAAAGAAAATGGCCTCCAGTTTTTGCCGAGTCATATTTCCAAACTAACATGCCCGAAGTCAGTTCCGAGAGCCACTCTTCGGCTCCAGTCCTCTCTTCAGTTCTGTAACTAAATCCTTAGCAAATAAACAACTTTGTGTCGGGGCGAAATGTTAATTAACATATGTGCCATTTTAGAAGCAGGATGTTAGGGATAATTTCACGGTGGCAAATATTCTTTCATAAACAGTTCAGTGAGTGCGAACGCGTAAAATGCAATAACATCGAAAGCCAAAATGTTTTGAATCCTGGTTTTAAACTCCCTCCACTTCAGTGTCGGGAACTGAAGTAGTCAGACTAGTCATGTCGTTCAAGCAGCGTTATCTGTTTACAATGACGTCATTTCCGGTGATTAGATATAAAGCCAGCTGCTTGAAGTGAACCCCCTATAAAAACACCATAACAGGCAACTTAACTAATTTAACTGAACTTCTAATGCTTCTGTATGGATGTAACGTATTAGTTACAAGTGTGTGTAAAGTTATCTTATTCAGAATAATTCTACTGGCCATTCAAAATAAGATATTTATTACCGAATTCTAATTTCTTCGCAAAACTCATGCACGTTAACGCTATTACAGAGGTTGGGGAAGAACATGGAGCTTAGTGCAAATATTTTGACATGGCTATGATTCACGCTCCTTGCTAAAAAATCTCTGTTTCTTATACATTAATGAGGCGATTGGGTAACCAAGTTGTTAATGTGTTCACTCGTCAAGCTTGAACACCTGGGTTCGATTTCCAAAATGGTTTGAATATTTCACGCTCAATCATGATGTTCTCCCATTGCTGGAACTTTTGTAAAAGTGGCGTAAAAAATATAATCCTGGATTTAGATTATTATTGTAATAGATTAAATATTATGGGTCCTTATTTAACTACAAGTGTAGAATCCGAAATAATGCATCAATGAGTTCGAGTACTGGCTCTTGTAGTATAATTGGATGCGTAGTTCATGATAAAGCACTTCCGTGTTGCTGGTGAACTCTGACCCCTTATTACTACACATCCTGGGAGTGTTTACAAACACGTCGTGGGGTTCAGTTCCACTCTAATGTAGTTCTCTCAACTGCGCTCCATAGGACACAGATATGAAGCCACAAAGGGGGCGGTCGTGTAGCCTAGCGGTTAAAGCGTTCGCTCGTCACGCCGAAGACCCGGGTTCGATTCAAATAGGTACAATTTTGTGAAGCCCATTTCTGGTGTCCCCCGCCGTGATATTGCTGGAATATTGCTAAAAGCGGCGTAAGACCTTACTCACTCACTCCAGCTACAAACAGTCCTTTGTCAATTTCAACAAAGCCCAGATAGGTTGTATCCGAGTATTTTTCGAATTAATGTTATTTGCCCACACACAGAGCAAGACTCCATTAGTCAACGCTCCATTTTGAACTTTCTGTTCTAAACATGTAGCAATGAACTGCCGTGTGCAAAAGAAAGTATACAACCATGTTTGATGGTAGCTAAAATGAAACAAACAATTGTTATTCGATTGTGATTTATACTTGATACGAGAATCATATCTGTGTCTTCAACCTTAAGGGGGCGGTTAGGTAGCCTTGTGGTTAAAGCGTTCGCTCGTCACACCGAAGACCCGGGTTCGATTCCCGACATGGGTACAATGTGTGAAGCCTATTTCTAGTGTCCCACGTCGTGGTATTGCTGGAATATTGCTGAAAGCGGCGTAAAGCTCAACAGCACAAGTCCAGGATCGATTAATCAGAATCAAGTCTTTTAGTTCCCGCGACTGTTTTAGCCTAATAACGTTTTGATAACGTTTGTAATTTTTTGGTCAAATGTCAATTTTCAAGTGTATACTTTCTCTTGCCGGCAGTTTATTTCCAAGTGTCAAGAGGGCTTAGGTTTCAAACTTTAACACATGAAACAAATATACCTCCCGATTTGTATCGCCTTATCAGCGCGATAACCCTGATGCTTGTTGTCTGTTGGGATGTATTTCTCCGTCGCCAATGTTTCATGAATGTTATCTTTAACGTGATAACCCCCTTGTTAACTAAATATTGCGTAAATAACGCTCGTTACGAGTGGTTCGTTTTTTCCTGGTGATAAATAGTTGAGGTATCAGTCATGACCGTGGAGCGGAGTATACAGCTCGAAATATGTTAGGGATCGAAATACTCGATACCAAAGTCTCATCAGTGCGTAAAAACCTCTGGTGCAGAGTTTGCATATGTGTGTAAATTTACCTTCATTATACTACCGCACATTTAGCTCAACTTAACTTAACTTATTTAACTTTCATGATTTCAACATCTCCTCGGAAACCACAAGGTCAATGTGGCAAAAACTGAATGTATGAATGATCTAATCCATTGTCTCTAAACGGACTTTGTTCCGATTTTTAAACATGCGAGCAATATTTTTCACGCGAGCAATATTTCCAATTGCATTAATGGCATTCTATTTTTTCAAAAGGTGGGATAGGTGTAGTTAGTGTTAGGATTGGATTTGTTATAACTAGTGATTAGACTGATACAGCGACCGAAATCATAACTGTGATAAATCGCCCCACCCCCGAGCCCCACACTCACACACATATATCCCCTCAGATACACACTCATACTTATCTTCTCGCCACCCACTAAACCTCCCTCCCCATGACAACAGTGCGGGAATAGGCCCAGATCATGTGCAGGTTGTCATTCACAGTGATATCAGGGCAAGCAGGAGGAGGGGCCCAGTCATCCGAGGCACCCGATTCCCTCTGCAGAGTTCCCTCCCAAAGACAGTGTCCCAGTTTCATCAATGACACTGATCACATTGTCTCCACCTGAACTAAACATGTTCAACACACTGTGAAGCATACCCCTTTGTGCCTATAAGCATATTGCTAATATCAAATATTGCATATTGCACTTCATATGGAATTTAATCATGGGGTCTGTTCATACTTGCAAGCTTACATGAGTTCCTGTACAATGAGGTACCTACAATTCTGACTTGTGTCCCAAATCAGTGGAACACTCTCTCCACTCTCTCTCTCTCTCTCTCTCTCTCTCTCTCTCTCTCTCTCTCTCTCTCTCTCTCTCTCTCTCTCTCATAGCGGTCGTCATGAAGGCAGATAAAGGTGTTGATACCGTGTCATGTTGCAGACTGGGCACCCGGAAGTATGGTTTCGGCCTTGGCCAGGACGAGGACAGTGTCTTTAACTTCGACTTCGGCTGGAACCAACCGTCCAGAGACTGGTGGAAGGGGTGAGTGACCAACACACCCTTGGCCGGATTCAAACCCGGAATAGTTTCCGTATATACGTGTGAACAACACACGTTATTTTCGAATTGTTTCAAACATGAACATTTCGAAAATATAATGTACAGTAATACATTTTTCATTAATTTATTTTAATTTTCATTATTATGCAAAAACTAAAAATTGATAGTGTCAGTGACTGACAGGAATATACCCGCTGCGCTAGCGGTTTTAATCACCGACGTATATACACGTAACGATCCTTCCGGTTATAATCACCGACATATATAGATGTAACGTTGAGCCTGACGGTTATAACCCTCGGCATATACATGCAACGTCGAGCTTGACGGTTATAATCACCGACATATATACACGTAATGTCCAGTCTGACGGTAATAATCACCGACGTATGGACACGTAACGTCGAACCTGACGGTACTACTGACCGATATATATATTATACCCATAAGTCGAACTTTGCGGACACTCAAGACCAGCAGGTATAACCGCTATGTCGAACCACACGATACCACTGATCGACATTGATGTACCTATTAATCGAACCCAACACGTAGACTAGATGTTCGAGAATAAGATTTTATAGTTATAATTCCTTTCCATAATTCCAGCAGTTCAGAACTAATTCTTTACCACATATGCATGTGTCAAAGAATCACGTGACCCTGTTCTCTTTCAGCCCAAACGTGTGCCTCACCAAGACGGATGAGGAGACGAACACGACGGTGACAGGGGTTGGGACCATCGCCCGTCACTTTAGCTTCCACAGTCACGTATGTGACGAGACCGAGTCTGCCTATAAATGCACCATCACGTGAGTATATGACGTCACCATCACGTGGTGATAAGGCGTAATTGAATTATTGGTTTTCCAAGAGGAAGAAGAGCGTTGAAGATGACATTGATAACAATGGGCTCTTCGCGTTCAGCGTTTATTGAGTGCGATGTTGTCATTTAGTTCTGACCCCATCTTCTTCAGGTCAAAGGTCATGGACAAGCAGAGGTTGGTGACGGAAGTGTACGAGTGTTGCCGTGGATACGCGAGAAAGCAAGCTGAATTTGGCTGTCCGAGAAGTAAAGGGTTTCAGAATAAGACTAAAATAAATAATGATTTTCTTACCTCAAATCTCTTCATTATAAAGGTGGAATATGTTCTGCGAACTTTTATCATTCGAAATTTACCCCTTTCGGGCCATTCCGAGACTTTCCGAAAATGACTGGATAAACTTTCTGTAGGTCAAGGAACGATGCGAATGGACAGTGGAAGTAATTCCTTCTTTAAGGTGTTACAATGTTTCTATTTTATTAGTAATGATGATGATGATGATGATAATAATAATAATAAGAGTAATCATAACTGCCAGAATGAGACATGACATGACATCAAGGTGTTTGGGCGACTCCAAACAACCTAAGACTTCCAGTTGGCCTGAGAGGCGGTCGGGTAGTCTAGTGGTTAAAGCGTTCGCTCGTCACGCCGAAGACCCTGGTTCGATTCCCGACATGGGTACAGTGTGTGAAGCCCATTTCTGGTGTCCTCCGCCGTGATATTGCTGGAATATTGCTAAAAGCAAGCACACACTCACTCACTTACTCCAGTTGGCCTGGGGCCTGGCAATGTTGGTCTGCCACAGTAACTCGAATCACGACCATGTTGTAGAGGTGCAGCTGAGGGACCTGGTGGGCACGATCCGGAATCTGGGGCTCACTGAGTTCCTGCGTGCTGCTGACAGCGTGTCCCTCACTGAGGAGTTGAGACAGGGGAACTTCACCCTCTTCGTCCCAGAAAACAAGGCCTTCAAGGACCTGACCAGCGCTCTGCCGGAACTGAAGAAAATTATGCCGAAGGTATCTGACATGACCGTTACTCTTAATCCCAAATACGGACAGAAAGTGTTTTCATTTTTTTATTGACATACGATTTGTTTGTTTGTTGTTTAACGCCGTACTCAGCAACATTACAGCTATATGACGGCGCTCTGTAAGTAATCGAGTCTGGACCAGACAATCCAATGATTGACATCATGAACATCGATCCACGCAATTGGGAAACGATGACATGCATCAACCAAGCCGGCCATCCGATCCCGTTAGTCGCCTCTTACAAGCATAATCGCCTTTTACGGCAATCATAGGTTGCCGAAGACTTATTCTACCCCGGATCGGGTTGCATATTGACTGACACATATTGAGTGTGATGCATGTCGGGTGTGGTGCACGTGGAGATTGATGCATATTTCGTGGTGCATACCGAGAGTGCACCAACCATGCCCTCCCCCAGTGTCTCAGTTGAGGCAGGAGTTGTTTGTTTGACATCAGAATCTGTTTCAGAAATATGCCAAGGCCACCTACAGCTGGCTGCTTATTTTTGAGTTTGGCTTTCTCGTTGAGTACGAGTAAACTGCCAGACTCGTTCCCACACACAATAGGGGGTATTTAGTAGAAAGCCATAGCCCAATCAAACAAGGACAGTGCCCAGTACAGCATACACCACACAGCATTCAGCATACGACATTCATCATTCATCATTCAGCATACAGCATACATCATTCAGCACAAGGCATACATCATGCAGCATACATCATTCAGCATACAGCATACATCATTCAGCATGTATCATACAGCATACATCATTCAGCATGTATCATACAGCATACATCATTCAGCATGAAGCATACATCATTCAGCAAACAGCATACACCATTCACCATACAGCATTCAGCATACAACATACATCATTCGGTTTACAGCATACAGCATAAGGCATAAGGCATACACCACACAGCATACAACATACATCATTCAGCATTCAGCATACAGCATTCAGCATAAGGCATACACCATACAATATGCATCATTCAGGATACAGCATACACCATTCGGCATAAGGCATACATCATTCAGCATACAGCATACAGCATACAGCATTCAGCATAAGGCATACATCATTCAGCATACACCATTCAGCATACACCATTCGGCATAAGGCATACAGCATACAGCATGCATTATTCAGCATACACTATTCAGCATACATCATTCAGCACACAGCATAAAAAGCATACAGCATAAAAAAATACAGCATAAAGCAAACAACATTCAACATACAGCATTCAGCATACAGCATACAGCATTTAGCATTCAGCATAAAGCATTCAAACCTTGGTAAATTTTATTTTTTATAATCGAATGATGTCATGTCGCAGCCTCAAAATAAGGGGTAATCGGTAAGATTTCTAACGCCGCTTTAAACGATATCACAGATTGCAACGGAAGGACGCCCGAAGTGATGCAGTCGCTCACCATTCTGGTGTAACCCACGAGCACGGGTGTGGTGGTGACAAATCCGGGACTCTGGGACACACACACACACACACACACACACACACACACACACGTCATAGGATTCTTGAACACGCCAAGTCTATGCGACACTACACAGTGAATTGCAGTGCCCTAGATGACAAGGCCACACGTCCCTCCAGTGCTATCAGTGACAGTATTGATGCAATTGTGTCTCTTTTAACTTTGAAACAAAGATTCCATTTGTGACGATTCAAAAAGAAACTGTATTTTTTTAACTTAACTCGGGGAAGTGACAGTTACTTCTAACATCTCATTTTCAGTTTGAAAACAAACTTGACACGATTTATGGATAATTCTCTCACAAACCCTTAATCCAACCCCAACATCCATCTCTTGCAAGGTCGGTCCTTTGGTCTAATATGTTTAGAGTTGCGTCCCTTGGATTTGCCAGGATCCCCTTGTTGTGGGTTCAAACCCAAGATTGATTCTTGGTTTGGCAGCACCTTGGACGTGATCATGTGTTTCAAACGTCGACTTGCAGTACTGAAGTATCGTTTAAAGCAGCATTAAACCATTTCATTCGTCACGTTTCTAGGACATGCCAAATGTGGTGATGGTGTCCAAGCCAGTGTCCAACCTGGTGTTGACGGACACTCAGAACCTCCTCCTGGGCCACATGGCTTCCGGTCAATACAAGATCAGCAACCTCCAGGACGAGCAGCTCGTGGAGACCGGAAGTCCATACAAGTCCAAGGTCAGGGTCAACTTCTACGAGGGTCCACAGAGGGTAAGTGTAGCGACATGGATATGAATGTTCATGTCATACTTTGTTTACGACACGAGTGTCTAAATTCCGGTATTTCCCGAGCAAGAGCGAGAGTGTCGTAAACATGGTATGGCATGAACACGAACATAATGTATGATGTTTTGTTTATTACTGAAGAAGAATTTTAGTGTTTACCTATTAGGACAATCGCAACAGCAGCGGAACCACAATTTGTTGAATGACGTCAACAATCTTCAGCTATGAAGTGTGACGTCATTCCAACCTAAGATTTGAATGACGTCAACAATGCCGTCCGGATGACGGAAACAATACGCTGTTGTCTCGTGATGTGGTATGATCCTAGGGCACGTATAATTTTATGAACCCCGAACCCCGAACTCGACAATATGAAGCAAAGAATTACTCTCAGTGAGATTTGTTTACAATCAGTGCCAAATGGTTAATACAGTCTTGGAAGGGCCGTGTTAGGCCATGTAACCGGCAATTGCATTCAAATGGTCTCATTCAACCTGGCTGGCTGATCGTGGCAACTGTTTCACCATGCACTCAATTTTTTTACCGTTTTAATGAGGGGCACAAGTTTCCCAGTCCTAGATGGCGGCGCAGTTCACTGTAGAGTTGCGCCCCTTGGACATGCCAGGATCCGCTGGCCATTGGTCCGAATTCCAGAAAAACGAACTTTGTTTAATCAGCACTATAACCATGCTCGGTGTCTTCACCGTTAACTTGGCACTATGTTTCTCCCACAATGAACTGTTGTATGAAATTATCTCACTTGACACGAATCTACTCATGCGAAGAGTAGTGTCGGTGGATCTGTAAGCACGAGTGGACAAACCGTCTGTGGTCTGTGAAACTTATAATTTAGGATTCGAATCCCGGTTCGCCCCGATTATGTTTCTAGGTTTGTCAGCACCATGCCCTTGTCGTGGGTTTCACCGAAGTGGTAAACGTCTAAGACCTGCATCACTTCGGGCTTTCCTCCCACAATGTTATATTTTATGTACTCCACACAGCTGATGACGGCTAACTGTGTCCGAGTCAAGACTGCCGACATCGTGGCCACCAACGGCGTCGTTCACAAGATAGAGTCGCTACTGCAGCCTGTCACTGGTACCATCGTCGACATCATTAGCAAGTCGCCACAGTTCGGCATCCTTAAGACCGGTCAGTGTATGGTTGTGGTGGCCAAGCTTTCATGTCAAGTCATATGTATAGGATAAAACACGCCTCCGAGGTTTAGGTTGAAAATGTTTAACTGCGAGCGAGGGAAAAAAAACCAGGGAGGCGTGTTATAACCAACTTATGAACCGTCTAAATCCAAGAAATACCTGCAAAAATAAGAAAACATCAACATACCTTATAGTGAAACAATACAGTGTATCGCGGCATTAAAGCGTGCGAGAGAGAGAGAAAAAACACGTGCAGCATGGACTAGCTGGAGTCATGGCATGATAAATTTAAAAACTGCTTATGACCTGCCTCGGCATTCGTGACCAACTCGTGTTAGCGACTCGTGCCCCTCTCATGGCCATTTTTGCGACCGGGTTCCGTCTTAGCGCAAACGGGCATACCTAAAACAATTGTCAACTCGTTGCGTAATGGTTCACATATCTTTCCCCATATATCATATATATTTCAGATGTAATTTAAAGCACATCGGGACGTGCGTAATTTTAAAGTATGAATGAACACATTTAACTGTGTCTTGGGTATATTTTTAGAAGCAAGACATATGTAAAATGAAAAATTATTTCTGAGGGATTCTTTGACGAAGAACTTGAAATCATACACGCATTCTGATTGGTTTGTCGTATTTTCGCACATTACATTCATCGACGGGGGGGACGAGTCTTCTTGCAGGTTACGGAAAGGGGCGAGTAGTGACGAATGCTGCCTCGGTAGCTCAGTAGGAAAACAGTTGGTAACAAAACTTACGATATGTGAGGTTGCAGATTCTATTCACGTCATGGAATTTTCTTGTAGATTAAATTTGTGATTTTTAACCAATCATCAAAAAGTGATCACATAAAGAGACAAGTTCATAAAACGTTAATTGTAAAACCTAGATGTTACAATTGAAATGTAAAACCTTAAAGCAGGTTTAGAAGTGATCTATTTCAAAACCAAGGCTTGGAAGACAATCGCTTCAAAGCCGGGATTGGAAGATAAGCGGGTTACTAGGCGTACCCGAGGATGTCAAGAACCTAATGAAATATAGGGTAATACGGTGATAGATTTGTAAAACTAATTCAACACCACTACTACAGTAAACTACGGTTATAACGAACTCAAAGGGGCCACTAATTTTAGTTCGTTTTAACCGTAGTTCGGTATAAGCACATATACAGCATATATACATCAAATGGCCGGGACTAAAAATAAGTTCGATATATCGGTCAGTTCGTTATAAGCGTGTTCGTTATAACCGTAGTTTACTGTACTTTGATGAAATAATTACAGTAACCGTGCCTTAAGGGTGAATAGTTATGAGAATTGTAGAACAAAAAGTTGTGACACGTTTATTCCGTAACCACGGACACTGGTTGCCAGGACGTCTAAAGGCGCCTCCATTATCTCAGCAGAGTTGCGTCCCTTAGGCATGACATCATCTTGTAAGTCCAGAAATGATCCACTGTTCATTTCAGCTCTAGCCCGTGCAAACCTGGTCCATATGTTCCGAGACGAGGGCCAGTTCACACTGTTCGCCCCTACAGACGCCGCCTTCAAGAAGATGTCTCCTCAGCTCCTGGAGAAGCTGTTGGCTGGAGAACAAGAGTGTCTGCAGAGTGAGTGGCCATCTGTACTAGTGAGTCTCCTGGAAGAAGGAGACTATGTGTTTTAGATCACTGCTTCAAGGCATACAATGATTTCTCTGAAAGGAGAAGAGAAACAGTTTTTTTGGACCCGCAACACATGTACAGGTCAGCCAGTAAACACTTACTATTTTTGTAAAAGCTGAAGGAAAAAATGGGTTTTTTTTGGAACAAATTGTTTTTGTGAAAACGCTCTCAGGCTCCCCTTTCCAGAATAACAAATGGTCAGCTACCTATCCTTGAACCCATTATATACATGATGAGGAGGGGGTATGGGTGGCCCAGTCGTCTGTGGCTGTGCAGAGTTGCGTCCCTTGGGCACGCCAGAAACCTATGATTGTGGGTTCGAATCCCGGTTCTCCCTCATTATGATTCTAGGTTTGTCAGCACCATACCCGTGCTCGTGGGTATCACCGAAGTGATAAACGTCTGAGACCTGCTTCACTTTCCTCCCACATTAAGCTGACACGCCGTGATAAAACTGGAATACTATTAAAAACGGCGTTAAACCCAGATCACTCACTCACTCATAAAGAGGAAGTACCATTATGTGACCTTGCTGAGATGTATGTCATGTACGCGACGGCGTGGATCCCTCGTACTCATGCTATCAGCGGGTTTGCCTGGTCCAGATTCGACCGTTGTGATATAGATCTGAGCTCAGTATCGTCTGTGAAGTCTTCCTGTACACGTAGCTCTGATCCAGTTCACTGACATGACGTTTTCCATGAATACATCACATCCAAGACCATTTCCTGTAACACTTTGTTTGAGATTTTTTGACATGCTATATTGTCAGGCCCTTTCTTTATACAATCTCATTAAAATCAGATCTAAGTTCTCGCTGCCGCTCAACAAAGATCTAAGGACATCCCATTACGAAGATCTGATTTTAATGAGATTGTTCCTTCATATCACATAGAATAGGGCACGGGGGTCCCAGTCGTCTTAAACGCCGCAATTCTTGTATCCTTGTACACAATGAGACCCGTGTTTCAGCTGCTTGTAAATAATGAGACTTGTCTTTCATATCCTTGTAAATAATGAGACTTGTCTTTCATATCATTGTAAATAATGAGACTTGTCTTTCATATCATTGTACACAATGAGACCCGTGTTTCAGCTGCTTGTAAATAATGAGACTTGTCACGTACGCGACGGCAAAGAAGCTCAACAAAGATCTAAGGACATCCCATTACGAAGATCTGATTTTAATGAGATTGTTCCTTCATATCACATAGAATAGGGCACGGGGGTCCCAGTCGTCTGTAACGCCGCCATTCACCATGCAGAGTTGTGTACCGTAGGCTCGCCAGGATCTTGGGACAAGGTTTGTCAGAATCATCCCTGTGTGTGTTGGTTTCACCAAAGTGATAAAGGTGAAATACCTGCATCAGTTCGGGTGTTTCTCCCACATCAAGCTGACACGCCCTGATCTGAGTGAAATTGTGTTCATAGCAGCGCTAAACCGACCCCACTCCCTCACTCCTCACATAGCTTGCTGTTATTGCCGATTTTCTGCTTTGCAGAGGTGCTGAAGAACCATGTTTTACCCAATGTCATCTGCTCTGCGGTCATCCAAGGGCACGCCAAGTCTTACAACCTCCTCAACGCCTACATCAACCTCACCCGCGACGACAACGACAAGGTGTTTGTCGACAAGGCGCAGATTGTTCAGAAGGACCTGATGGCAACGAACGGCGTCATCCACCTGATTGATGATGTCCTCGTACCCGACGAAGGTAGCCACAACACAAACCGTCGATTCAAACAGCCATTTCCATTAAGTCTCTATGGCCCATTTGGATCGGGTTTGACAGTTCAAAATCAAGAGTAACTGTGTGACATTAATCAAATTTTATCCCCAAAAACTAATGTCCCCGAAATCTTTTGAAAAACAATTATTTCAAATTAAATTATTGTAAGGTATTTTTCTTGGGGAAGGAATCAGGCTCAGAGTTTTAAATGAAAAATTATTTGGTTTTGTAACTGTCGCTGAAAATATCTAATTTCGATACAAAATCCCATCCAAGGCGTAGTAGAATATGACCGCCGTTGGTATTCCAACTACATGGAGAAGTTATTTCCACGGCCCATGAAGATCCGGGGTAGAATAGGTCTTCAGCAGCCCATGCTCGCCGTAAAAGGCGACTATGCTTGTCGTAAGAGGCGACTATGCTTGTCGTAAGAGGCGACTAACGGGATCGGGTGATCAGACTCGCTGACTTGGTTGATGCATGTCATCGATCCCAATTGCGTGGATCGATGCTCATAATGTCAATCACTGGGTTGTCTGTTCGAGACTCGATTACTTACAGACCGCTGTCATATATTTTGAATATTGCTGAGCGTGCCGTTAAACAACAAACAACCAAAACACTGTCACACACATTAGTGATGGTATTCACACTGTATGACTGGCTTCGTCGTCTGTTGCACCAGAACCTCGATCCTCATTATATATTGTGTTAGGATCAGAACCGTAAACCTTGATATCAAGCACATGTTACATTCTGCAGGTTAAGGTATTCTGAAATCTTTATATCTAACCACACACCGTCCTTTTCAGCCCTGCGGATAACGGACATTGTTGAGAAGCACGGAGCAACCCTCATCCTTGGCCTTCTGAAAGAGGCTAAAATGATGAATGACCTTCAGAAGGCCAGCAATGTCACCTTCTTTGTCCCCTCCAACAAGGCTATCCAGGTAACCTGTGTTTCAGCTGCTTGTACACAATGAGACCTGTGTTTCAGCTGCTTGTAAATAATGAGACCTGTCTTTCATATCCTTGTAAATAATGAGACCTGTGTTTCAGCTGCTTGTAAATAATGAGACCTGTCTTTCAGCTGCTTGTACACAATGAGACCTGTCTTTCAGCTGCTTGTACACAATGAGACCTGTCTTTCAGCTGCTTGTACACAATGAGACCTGTCTTTCAGCTGCTTGTACACAATGAGACCTGTCTTTCAGCTGCTTGTACACAATGAGACCTGTGTTTCAGCTGCTTGTAAATAATGATACCTGTCTTTCATATCCTTGTAAATAATGAGACCTGTGTTTCAGCTGCTTGTAAATAATGAGACCTGTGTTTCAGCTGCTTGTACACAATGAGACCAGTCTTTCAGTTGCCTGTACACAATGAGACCTGTGTTTCAGCTGCTTGTACACAATGAGACATGTGTTTCAGCTGCTTGTACACAATGAGACCTGTCTTTCAGCTGCTTGTACACAATGAGACCTGTCTTTCAGCTGCTTGTACACAATGAGACCTGTCTTTCAGCTGCTTGTACACAATGAGACATGTGTTTCAGCTGCTTGTACACAATGAGACCTGTCTTTCAGCTGCTTGTAAATAATTAGACCTGTGTTTCAGCTGCTGGTAGATAATGAAACTTGTCTTTCATATCCTTGTCAATAATGAGACTTGTGTTTCAGCTGCTGGTAGATAATGAAAGTTGTCTTTCATATCCTTGTAAATAATGAGACTTGTGTTTCAGCTGCTGGTAGATAATGAAACTTGTCTTTCATATCCTTGTAAATACAGTAAACTACGTTTATAACAAACACGCTTATAACGAACTGACGGATATAACAAACTTACTTTGTCCGACTATTTGCTGTAGTTATGCTGTATATATGCTTATAACGAATTACGGTTATAACGAACTAGAATAAGAGGTCCCTTAGAGTTCGTTATAACCGTAGTTTACTGTAATGAGACCTATCTTTCAGCTGCTTGCATACAATGAAACTTGTTTATATATTTCAGGCCCTCCCGGAGGAGACTGTCAGCGCCCTCAGGGCCGACCCCGCCCACATGAGACAGCTTCTTCAGTACCACATCGTCCCTGAACGCGTCTCCTTCAACGCCCTCTACAACAACTTCCTCCTCGACACCTCCAACTCCGACAAGAAGATCAGGATCAACGAATACTCCTCGGTATGCCATGGTGCACGTTAGATATATTCACATTCAGACTGACTTACATGTAAGAGGGTGTAAGAACCTTTGTGTTTGAAGTACCCATCTTCCCGAGGCAATGGAGGTAACTGACTATAAAAGTTTCCACCCTTGCCGAACTAGGCTGGAATTTTCAGGCTCGATCGTAGCGCCACCAGTGGCTATTACGAGTTATGTCCCTTCTACTGACCAATCAGATTCCACCTCTCACATCACATGTAATTGCTTCAAACAAAATGGTGGCGCCCAGTCCAGACGACGTGATCGACAATCAACATCTATGTTGTAATAAAACGGACCTTACCTCACGAAGAGCATCAAATCACTTGAGCACCTTGATGAAAAACATAAAAAGATTTGCAAAACATCTATCCAACCCCCAGTTGGCGGTACACCTGTTTTGTAAATCCTTCAGTCGACCGAAATCATGTTGAAATCCATGTTGTTTACGAACCGGCTGTCTAGTTCTTTACGCAATTGGGATGCGCTAGACTCGTTAGTTCAGCCAAAATGTAACTCAGGGATTCCAGTCAGGTTCTGCAGGGGTTGAAACTGTTTTTTATAGTCAGTTAACTCCCTTGCCTAGGGAAGATGGAAGTACCCTGCAAAGAAACTTCACGCAAACGTGGTCCTTATCATTGAGTGTGCATGAAGTTGGCTTTACTGGTACATGTATGTATTATTGAGACAGCTAAATGATGTCCATAGTAGGTCACGAAGAGTTGCGTCCCTTGGGTACGCCATTAACCTATGATTGTGTGTTCGAATCTCGGTTCGCTCCGATTATTTTTCTAGGTTCGTCAGCACCATGGATTTCGTGGGTTTCACCAAAGTGGTAAACGTCTGAGACCTGCATCACTTCGGACTCTCCTCCAACATCAAGGGGGCCCAGTCGTCTAAGGCGCCGCGATTTGCTGTGCAGAGTTGCGTCCCTTGGGCACGCCAGAAACCTATGATTGTGGGTTCGAATCCCGGTTCGCCCCAATTATGTTTCTAGGTTTGTCAGCACCATACCCGTGCTCGTGGGTTTCACCGAAGTTGTAAACGTCTTAGACCTGCATGACTTCGGGCTTTCCTCCCACATTAAGCTGACACGCCGTGATATAACTGGAATAATGTTAAAAGCGGCGTTAAACCCAACTCAGTCAGTCAGTCAGTCCAACACAAGCTGACACGCAGTGAAATAACTGAGCTACTGGATAACGTCTCAATGGTCTGCAAAGCAAAAACTATTTCATTCTAGCGATAGCACTTAGCAAATATTGCTTGATGTCACCAAGCGATATCTCCTGTGGGTGCAAGTTTTGCATGATAAATAGACTGTGCAGACAAATTAAAACATTGAAAACCTTTTCATATTTCAGTTCCCGTTCGGAACCGACTGGCAGCAGACTGCCCAATGTTCTCCTGTGTCAACAAAGAACGTGGAGTCGTGTAATGGCGTCATCAACATTATCGACAAGGTGGGCCGTCAAGTGTGCGTTTGGAGATGCTGCTGGCACTGTCTACCCACAATGCATTTGGGGATGTCATACACAGCGGGTTACTCATCTTCCCGAGGCAAGAGAGTTAACTGACTTTAAAAGTCCAGTTCCCACCCTTGCCGAACTAGGCTGGAATTCCTGGGCTCGATCGTAGCGCCACCAGTTGTTATTACGAGTTATGACCCTTCTAAGCCTCTCCTATGGACCATTCAAAGTCCACCTCTCGTTTTACTTGCATTTGCTTCAAACAAAATGGCGGCGCCCAGTCGAGACGATCTGTTCAAACCTCAAGATCTATATTGTGATAAAACGGGTCTTACATCACGAAGTGCATCAAATCACGTGATCACTTTCATTAAAAACATAAAAAGATTTGTAAAATATCTGTTTACAACGAGTTGGCGGTCCGAAATCTGCACAGTTTACGAACCGGATTTCGATTTCGGTGCGAGATTTTGATTGGACTATGCATAGACTCGTTAGTCCAGCCAAAATGTAACTCCTTTATACCAGCCTAGTTCGGCAAGGGTGGAAACTGGACTTTGATAGTCAGTTAACTCGCTTGCCTCGGGAAGATGCGGGTTACTAAGAAAACGTACAACTTTATGACATCTTTGAGAGGCATTTAGTAGTTATAGTACTAACTAAGAATAAGATATATGGATGAACAACTTCTTTATTACAACTAAGAGCGACGTTTCGGTGTTGGTTCTTACACTCTTATAAAGTTTGATTGCTTGATAACGGTGTTATCACCTACATCGAAACGTCGCTCCTAATTGTAATGAGGAAGTTGTTCATCCATATATCTTGTCCTTACTTAGTACAACTTTATGGATAACAACTTCTCGTTTATTGCACGTATATTGTAGATTCGTACACCCTTGTTAAGCTGTAGTGATTACAAGTGAAGAGAAGTATATGTGATAAGCAGCAGATTAAGTCTCAGCACAGTGTCAGAATCTACATCGAAACCTAGCTATATGCAATAAACCAGAAGTTGTTATCAATAAAGTTGCACGTTCCTATATGCTCACCAACTTCTAGATTGATCAAACCATGGGTTATGTTACCATAGGCGTGTTGCTTAATGAACAGTGAGTGAGTATGGTTTTACGCCGCTTTAGCAATAGTCCAGCAATATCACGACGGGGACACCAGAAACGGGCTTCACACATTGTACCTATATGGGGAATCGAACCCGGGTCTTCGGCGTGACAAGCTAACGCTTTAACCACTAGGTTACCCCACCAACCTCAATAAACTGTGAGGCATGGCAGCGGGATCCTTGTCAGGACAAGTCGTGTCCCTAGAAATATTAGCTACATCACAGAATACCGGTTACCTTCCGCCATATTGATAAACGTGTAACGTGTAAGTTTTTTCGCCAGAATTAGCCGCCTCGCTAAAATAACAACTTGAAACAAGTGCTACCGTATGTAAATGGTATTATACTTTCCAAAGATAATGAAAATACTACGCGTTCGTTGAAAAATGTTCATGTCCAATTTTCGATACCCTTGAATTGCTTCGGTATTCAATCATATTAAACCTTACAAATACAAGCGGGGTATATTTCTGCTTATTTTGAATTTGATCGATTTTATATTTGAAAATGGTCAGTAGCCTCAAACAATGATGGCGGATGGGTATCCAGTATTCTGAAGGTGTACCGAAAAATTGAAAGGCACATTTCAAAATCCTTCCTTTGTTGGCAGAAAAGGAAGAATTTGAACTATATTATGAGAGACGCACCTTTGACGTGCGAGAGTATACCTGATTTCATAAAACTTACGTTACCATTATTTATTAGTTTCTGTTGAAACCTCAAGCCTATTTGCAGTGTTATAAGATTCTTGACCTGTCAGCACAGTCGTACCCGTAGGTTTCATTTATCAGAGGTCAGTGGCCAGTGCCAAGACCTGACATCCTCGAGTATCCAGTGTATGGTATGTCCATTCTGTTATGATACATACCCTTGATCAGGTGGTCAGGCTCGCTGACTTGGTTGATGCATGTCGTCGATCCCAATTGCCAGGATCGATGATCATGATATTAATCACTGGATTGTCTGGTCCAGACTCGATTATTTACAGACCGCCGTCATATAGCTGGAATATTGCTGAGTGCGGCATTAAACAACAAACCAACCAACGGATCCTTGCGCCAAATAGCTTCGTTTCGGAAGAGACGTCACCACCACCATCGCCCCTATGTCTATCCAAGCACAAACGTTCAATCAATCAATCAATTTTATCTCGTAATTCAGGCCACATGGCCCATAGATTAATAACATTTTAGGTCACATGTCCAGAGTGTTACATATCTGTCGATCTCATTTTAAATAATTTTCATCAATATAAAGCTATCAAGCGTAGTACATTAATATCACATGATTTCAATCCATTTGCAAACGTGATATTACCTTTATAATATTTCTGTAATGAGGTAAAAAGCACAGACTTCCTCTCGCTCGAAAGAGTAATTTCATTGGTCAGCTATTTTCATTCTCATGCTATTCAAATTGAGCTCCAATCAAAGCTATGGTAGCGAATGAGTGCAGGGTAGTTATCCTTGGAGTATGGAGATATAATGTACTGGATATTCGAAGATGGTACTTTGCGCTTTAATCCCAAATCACCCATAACTGCAATTATATGACTAAAATATTGTTTATAAATCATGAAAATTCAGCGTTTTCCCCATTACCCCCAGGTGATGATCCCGCCTACCGGCAACGTGATTGACGTCCTGGCGCTAGACTCGCGCTTCTCCCAGCTCGTGGGCCTCATCAAGAAGGCGGGCCTGGCTGACCAACTCCAGGGTGACGGGCCTTTCACCGTGTTTGCCCCGACCAATGAAGTGAGGGACAACATCATACGTCGTTTTTAAAAAATATGTGTTCACTCCGCTATTTCTTTTTGGATATTAATATCCGGGAAAATTTGTTTATGATGTCATGACGCAAGATCAGGAAGTTTCATTCATTGGAGTTTGCATCCAAAAGTTTATCCCATTATCTTAATGATTACCCAGGGACATTGTCTCAGTGTCTCACGTGACACGACCAACATCGACACCTAGACTTCACTGAGTGAGTGAGTGAGTATGGTTTTACGCCGCTTTTAGCAATATTCCAGCTTTATCAAGGCGGTGGACACCAGAAATTGGCTTCACACATTGTACCCATGTCGGGAATCGAACCCGGGTCTTCGGCGTGACGAGCGAACGCTTTAACCAATGGGCTACCCGACCGCCCAGACTTCACTGAGAATCTTTAAAGGAGTTGTTTCTGTCAGTATAGATTAAAATTCACCCCAGCTGACAATGATGGTGGTTCTATTGTCAGATCACTTTGGTTTTTAGAAGCTCATGCTGTTAGTAATTTCACTCAAGCACTTGTTTCATTAGTAATTTAAAACATTCTAAGGTACTCAACTTTTCTCAAGGTGTATATAATAGTCAAGTGAGAAACAAATTTTACCTTATATCGAAAATTACAGAACCAGAATCAGATAGCACAGTTCCTCAACCCATACATGACATATATATATAATATATAATGATATGAGTGAAAGCAACCCTTTGGCTGAGATAGTCGTGATCCCCATACTTTAACACAATGAGTGAGTGAGTATGGTTTTACGCCGCTTTTTGCAATATTCCAGCAATATCACGGCGGAGGACACCAGAAATGGGCTTCACACATTGTACCCATGTCGGGAATCGAACACGAGCGAACGCTTTAACCACTAGGCTACCCGACCGCCCCTTAAACACAATGACTCATGATAGTAGAGGCGGGAAAATCCACTGTGGGTCTTAGGAACTGGTCATTTATGAGTGGGGCGGGGTGGGGCGGGGCGGGGCGGTGTGATTGGTCTTAGAACTGTATATTTTGCTGATGGCCCTCATATTATGTAACATTTTTTCATGTTCCCCACCCCCAATACTTTACCAGCTCCTTATCTGATTGCTTCAACATCAATGTCTCACTGTCCCCAGGCCTTCAAGGCTCTCGGCAAGGACGCTGTGAAGACGTTGCGGAATAACACCGGGGAGTTGAGGTCGGTTCTGAAGAACCACCTGGCCAATGGTAGGTAGCACTGAATATAAAAAAAACCTACTTATTTATTCAGGGAAGGAAAGAAATCTGTTTTTATACAAACAGTTGGGTCAATGACATAAATGACCAGTGAGTGAATGTTGTTTTACGTTACGTCATCACTACATCACGGGGTTCTGTAAACGGGTCAAGGCTGGGAGAGGCATATCAATAGATCACGTGTGTTTGTAGAATACTGTAATCAATAATTCAGAATCAGGGCACCATGTCACATGATCAGCCATGCTATCACAAATCGTTACTATCCTGTTTTCTCAATCGACATTTAACAGGTACTGGGGATCTCTTTTAACCCGGGATTTTAAGGTATGAGTAAGTGAGTGAGTTTTACGCCGCTTTAAGCAATATTCCAGCAATATCACGGCGGGGGTCACCAGAAATGGGCTTCACACATTGTACCCATGTCGGGATTCGAACCCGGGTCTTCGGCGTGACGATCGAACGCTTTAACCACCAGGCTACCCGACCGCCCCTTTAAGGTATGAAACAGTATCATATCCTGGTTCGAATGGCCTTAGCATCACACGAAGGTTTCAGGGGAAAAGGATGGGGTTCTTGTCGTCATCAATAGAACAGTGGCATGCAGTCTAGATACGAGATCCTAGTGTATTAGTGATGAGGTGAGGTGAAATGGGGATTAATGTCGCTTCCAAGATTATTGCACTTTATAGCGACTTGCATGCGCGCGTGTGTGTGTGTGTGTGTGTGTGTGTGTGTGTGTGTGTGTGTGTGTGTGTGTGTGTGTGTGTGTGTGTGTGTGTGGCTACTAGTCAGTCCTGATGTCGATTTTATAGTGCTAGCCCACTGAGATACCATGCCGCAGTAAACATGAATACCCCACTCAGGCACCGTATTCTGACTCCGAGCCGACCTTGTTTTATCCCCTAAATGCCGCCAGACAGGGTAACAACAAGTACCATCTTTTAACGTCTTTTGGTATGACGTGGCCGGGGATCTAACCCCGGACCTTCCGCTCTCTGGGCGGACGCTCTACCACTAGACCACGGAGGCGGTTGAGTAATAGTATGAACGACACATTGATTGCAATATAAAACGTATCACCTCTTTCCCCACCAGATGCCCTGTGCTGTGCAAGCATCTTCAAGAACGGCTGGTACGGAAGTCCGAGACTCAGGACTGTTGGGGGCGAGGTGTTCCGCCTTGAGCGACGCAGCGATGACTACATCAGGATAGGCTCCGCCATGATCACCGAGTGCGACCACACCGGCAGGAACGGTGTTGTCCACGTCATCGACCGCGTGCTCGTGGAGGGGGAGAGACAGCAAATGCTTGCGAGGCTGCTCGGGAGGGGCCGTGGGGACCGGAGGAGGGACCGCAGATGGCGGCGACACTTCTCGCCCTAGGAGCACCAACCGACCATCAGCAGCAGACGATCTGGTAACCATGACGACAAGAACCGAATCCAAAGCCAAATTACTGAGACTTCAACTGCAAGATCAGTTTGTCTGTCAGCTATGTTCGGTTTGATGATGTTGAGGGAATGTTTGTCTTAACCTTTGGGTGGAAATTTACTTCATTGTCCTCCCATCTGTTTCTTGCATACTGACATGTCTTCCACCGCCATGTGTTCTACAGCTAGGTGATTTACTGCAAGGTGTTTTACCACCAGGTGTTCTACAACCATGTGTTCTACCGCCATATGTTCTACACCTAGGTGTTCTCCTGCGAGGTGTTTACCACCAGGTGTTCCACAGCTAGGTGTTCTACTGCCATGTCTTCCACCGCCATGTGTTATACACATAGGTGTTCTCCTGCAAGGTGCTCTACCACCAGGTGTTCTACCGCCATGTGTTCTACACCTAGGTGTTCTACCTCTGTGATGTGTCAGGTGTTCTGTCTTTGTTAAACTGCGATCTGCTCTTTTCACATAGAAGATGATCGCCTACATAGGTTAAGGTCGTTGACAGGAATTTCACTCCGTCACAACCTATCCCGGGAGACCAGGCTGGCCACAGTTCTGTTCAGGTTCCGGTTCCGGGTTGGATTCAGGTCAAATTCATTCAACATTGACCTTAATTGTAGATGAATCAATTCATTATCACCCTCACCAAACAAAAGCAATGTCTGAGTTTCACACACGGCATGCATGATGAGTAGACGGTGACTGTAACAAGGCCATGGAGTATAGTCCCTCCTTCACCAGCGTTCTGTACATAACCTGGTGTCTCTGTGCATGGCAATGTTTACCCCATACATGTATTTCATACACCTTCGACTGGACAGGGCTCCACCCAGATACTCACATTTATAATCTTTCTAATAAAATATGCAATTTATACATCGTTTGATCCATTTATGACACTGTGTGTGTGAGTGGTCGAGTGAGTGTGTGAGTGAGTGGGTGGGTGATCGAGTGAGTGTGTGAGTGAGTGGGTGGGTGATCGAGTGAAGGAGTGAGTGGGTGAGTGATCGAGTGAGTGTGAGTGATCGAGTGAGTGATCGAGTGAGTGAGTGGGTGATCGAGTGAGAGGTTGGGTGATCGAGTGAGTGGGTGGGTGATCAAGTTGGTGGGTGATCCAGTGGGTGGGTGATTGAGTAAGTGGTTGAGTGATCTAATGAGTGGGTGATCGAGTAAGAGGGTGAGTGAGTGGGTGGGTGGGTGGGTGATCGAGTGGGTGGGTGATTGATTACGTGTGTGGGTGATTGAGTGAGTGGGTGATCGAGTCAGTGGGTGGGTGATTGAGAGAGTGGGTGATCAAGTGAGTGGGAGGGTGATTGAGTGAGTGGGTGGGTGATCGAGTGAGTGGGTGGGTGATCGAGTGAGTGGGTGGGTGATCAAGTGAGTGGGAGGGTGATTAAGTGAGTGGGAGGGTGATTAAGTAAGTGGGTGAGTGATCAAGTAAGTGGGTGAGTGGGTGGGTGATCGAGTGAGTGGGTGGGTGATCAAGTGAGTGGGAGGGTGATTAAGTGAGTGGGAGGGTGATTAAGTAAGTGGGTGAGTGATCAAGTAAGTGGGTGAGTGGGTGGGTGATCGAGTGAGTGGGTGGGTGATCAAGTGAGTGGGTGGGTGATTGAGTGAGTGGGAGGATGATTAAGTGAGTGGGAGGGTGATTAAGTAAGTGGGTGAGTGATCAAGTAAGTGGGTGAGTGGGTGGGTGATCGAGTGAGTGGGTGGGTGATCAAGTGAGTGGGTGGGTGATTGAGTGAGTGGGAGGATGATTAAGTGAGTGGGAGGGTGATTAAGTAAGTGGGTGAGTGATCAAGTAAGTGGGTGAGTGGGTGGGTGATCGAGTGAGTGGGTGGGTGATCAAGTGAGTGGGAGGGTGATTAAGTGAGTGGGAGGGTGATTAAGTAAGTGGGTGAGTGATCGAGTAAGTGGGTGAGTGGGTGGGTGATCGAGTGAGAGTGGGTTATCAAGCTGGTGACTGATCGAGTGAGTGGGTGGATGATCAAGTGAGTGGGAGGGAGATTGAGTAAGTGGATGAGTGATCGAGTGAGTGGGTGATCAAGTAAGTGGATGAGTGATTGAATGAGTGAGTGGGTGATCGAATAAGTGGGTGGGTGATCAAGTGAGTGGGAGGGTGATTCAGTAAGTGGGTGGGTGATTGAGTGAATGGGTGATCGAGTTATTGGGCGAGTGTTGGCGTGAGTGGTTGAGAGGATGATCGAATGAGTGAATGACAGGACAGGTGGGTTGGTGATCGAGTGAGTGGGTGGGTGATCGAGTGAGTAGGTGGATGATCGAGTGTGTAAATGGGTGGTGATCGATTGAGTGAGGGGGTGATTGAGTGAGTGGGTGATAGAGTGATTGAGTGAATGGGTGATCGAGTTATTGGGGGGGGTGATGGCATGAGTGGTTAAGAGGATGATCGAATGAGTAGGTGGATGATCGAGTGTGTGAGTGACAGGGTGAGTGGATGGGTGATCGAGTGAGTGAGTAGATGTATGATCGAGTGAGTGAGTAGGTGGTGATCGATTGAGTGAGAGGGTGATTGAGTGAGTGGGTGATCGAGTGAGTGGGTGATTGAGTGAGTGGGTGGGTGATTAAGTGAGTAACTCAGCAATATTCCAGCTATATGACGGCGGTCTGAAAGTAATTCAGTCTGGACCAGACAATCCAGTGGTTGACATCATGAGCATCGATCCACACAATTTAGATGCAATGGCATGCATCAACCAAGTCAGCGAGCCTGACCACCTGATCCCGTTAGTCGCCTCTTATTTTACAGCAAGCATGGGTGGCTGAAGACCTAATATACCCTGGATCTTCACGGGTCACGAGCCGACACATACATGGTTATCTCCCTGTCTTCATCACATCAGCTCTAACTCTAACGGGGTCTTCATCACATCAGCACTAACTCTAACGGGGTCTTCATCACATCAGCTCTAACTCTAACGGGGTCTTCATCACATCAGCTCTAACTCTAACGGGGTCCTGTTCCCCCAAGTGTCCATCCCGACTCCTTCAACAACATGAAACATGTGAATTGAGTAATTGGTTTTATTTTCGTAGTCCGTGTCAAGGTAAAGACACCAGTTGGTGCACAGTCATAAATAAATAACCTATAACAATGGTAATATTCAATATACTATGAGAGTCTGATAATGATTTCCTCATTCCATAGTATCAGACAATTAGCAAGAATAACAAAACATAACATTCACAAGATGAAAGGGAGACCTAATTGAACCTGTCAGCACCCCCTATCAGAGGGAGTTAGTGAGTGAATTGGGTTTAATGCCATATATCACAGAGAAAGTGGACGGAAATGCTGAGTAGAATCGATTGTAATATTTGGCAAAGGGCTGTCTAACATGGACGACTATGTGGTACTGCAAGAGTGAGTGAGCTGTGTTTTACGCCCTCTGTAAGCAATAGCCCAGGTCTTTGGAATGATGTTTGTTTGTTTGTTTGTTCTTTAATGCCACACTCAGCAATATTCCAGCTATGTGATGGTGGTCTGAAAATAATCGAGTCTGGACCAGACAATCCAGTGATTGACATCATGAACATCGATCCACGCAATTGGGATACGATGACATGCATCAACCAAGTCAGCGAGTCTGACCACCCGATCCCGTTTGTCGCCATTTTACGGTGTGTTGTGTTGTATGCCCTCTGTAAGCAAGAGTCCAGCCTATCACAGCGAAGGGCACCAGAAAGGGCTTCACACATTGTACTCAAAAATCGGTCTTTGGAATGATGTTTGTTTGTTTGTTTGTTCTTTAATGCCACACTCAGCAATATTCCAGCTATATGACAGCGGTCTGTATATAATCGAGTCTGGACCTGACAATTCAATGATTGACATCATGAGCATCGATCCACACAATTGGGATACAAAAACATGCATCAACCAAGTCATCGAGCCTGCCCACCCAACGGCATGCTGAGTGAAACTAAACACCACAAGGCTACCCCACAACCTAAACATCCGTTTACAAGATGAACCTAGAAAAGCAAGGCATACAGATACCACAAATACAGGCACACTAAACAATAGTAAGTGAATATGGTTTTACGCAGCTTTTAGCAATATTCCAGTAATATCATGGCGGGGGACACCAGAAAAGGGCTTCACACATTGTACCCATGTCGGGAATCGAACCCGGGTCTTTGGCATGACGAGCAAACGCTTTAACTCAGGGACATGCTCAAAGCGCTTTGATTACCCCGGTCACTGGGTCAGTGTACAATCAAGAATCATTCTCTTCTCCCTGGGGAGTATTCAACCCAAGCTGCCTGTTAAGAAGGTTTACAACCACATTGTCATCTCATCCTACCGGGTACCCATTCACTGCTGGGTGAACAGAGTAGTCTTAATAGATAAGTATTGTGTATCCCGCTTTATTCTGTCCAATAAAAAAAAGCTGATAAACATTGATAACAACCATTATTAAACTGTTGGCAAGTGACATAATAAATAAAACACATACAATCAAATGTTTATATTTTAGCATGAAACTTTTCTCAAAACAATTTTTGTCAGAATAATTAACAAAAACATATCTCTACTGTCGATAGCATGAACAGTTAAAGCATATCAACAATAATTAGAAATGTCCCCTTCCATCGACAGGGACTGAAGTTTCTGAATTAAAAAACACAAAATACATGCTGTGAGTAAAATGATGACAATCCCTCTCAGTAGAGTGAGTGAGTGAGTGGATTTGGTTTAACACCGCTTTTAACAGTATTCCAGTTATATCACAGCGTGACAGCTTAATGTGTGAGGAAAGCCCAATGATACGCTGGTCTCAGACATTTACCACTTTGGTGAAACCCACAAGCACGGGTATGGGGCTGACAAACCTAGAAACATAATCGGGGCGAACCAGGATTCACACCCACAATCATAGGTTTCTGGCGTGCCCAAGGGACGCAACTCTGCACTGCGCATCGCGGGGCCTTGGACGACTGGGCCACTCGTCGCTCTCAGTAGAAGCAGGTAACATTGACTCAACACTTGATACACAAAGGCATATTTCTCCCAGTCACTGGGGTCACAAGAGAACAAGTCATATACAAGATTAGTCACATATTCCAGATAACTGCTTCCTGGCTCACAAGGAGTGATTGAGTACATGGATACTGGTCGGAATATACTGTACAGGGAATGACTACCGTGTGGTCCTGCTTAATCTAATACTGAGGAAGATCATGGATGAAGGAGAAGGAAGGGGAGGGGTATGTTCTCCCCATGATTTTACCGATTTAACGGGTAAGATCCTTTCACGAGGCTTCCAGAGGATATTGAAGTCTTATTAATTGAAATGAAACCAAATTCAAATTTTAACCACTGGGTATTTCAAAATTTTGTTCTGAAGTCCTGAAGTGAAGAAAAACCCACAAGGATGAGGAACTAACAGGTTGGAAAACTGAGGTGCCTGTAAGGAAAGGAGCATATCGCCTTCCCACCCTTCTTTCACATCTGCCAGTGTAAAAGTATCTTCATCCTTTGTGTGAAGCTGTGAATGAACTCTTTACACATCTTCCAGTCTGTCCTGGTCCCGGGCCAGCTCGTTGTAAGCACACTTCAACACCTGTACACAGAAAGCAGCCATTTACACACCATCAGGACATACAAATTAGTGTCTCTGACCTCCACACCACCAGAACATACAGATTAGTGTCCCTCACCTCCACACAACCAGGACATACAGATTAGTGTCTCTCATCTAAACACCTTCAGGACATAGAGATTAGTGTCTCTCGCCTCCACACCACCAGAACATACAGATTAGTGTCTCTCATCTAAACACCTTCAGGACATACAGATTAGTGTCTCTCATCTTCACACCTTCAGGACATACAGATTAGTGTCTCTCGCCTCCACACAACCAGGACATACAGATTAGTGTCTCTCACCTCCACATCACCAGGACATACAGATTAGTGTCTCTCACCTCCACACCAACAGGACATCAAGATTAGTTTCTCTCACCTCCACACAACCAGGACATACAGATTAGTGTCTCTCACCTCCAGACCTTCAGGACATACAGATTAGTGTCTCTCATCTCCACACCTTCAGGACATACAGATTAGTGTCTCTCACCTCCACACAACCAGGACATACCGATTAGTGTCTCTCATCTCCACACAACCAGGACATACAGATTAGTGTCTCTCACCTCCACACCTTCAGGACATATCGATTAGTGTCTCTCATCTCAACACCTTCAAGACATATCGATTAGTGTCTCTCATCTCAACACCCTCAGGACATACAGGTTAGTGTCTTTCACCTCCATACATTCAGGACAAACTGATTAGTGTCTCTCACCTCCACACCTTCAGGACATACCGATTAGCGTCTCTCACCTCCACACATTCAGGACATACCGATTAGTGTCTCTCATCTCCACACCTTCAGGACATACAGATTAGTGTCTCTCACCTCCACACCACCAGAACATACAGATTATTGCCTCTCGCCTCCACACCAACAGAACATACAGATTAGTGTCTCTCACCTCCACACAACCAGGACATACTCATTAGAGTCTCTCACCTCAACACCTTCAGGACATACAGATTAGTGTCTCTCATCTCCACGCCTTCAGGACATACAGATTAGTGTCTCTCGCCTCCACAGCTTCAGGACATACAGATTAGTGTCTCTAACATCCACACAACCAGGACATACAGATTAGTGTCTCTCACCTCCACACCTTCAGGACATATCGATTAGTGTCTCTCATCTCAACACCTTCAAGACATATCGATTAGTGTCTCTCATCTCAACACCCTCAAGACATACAGGTTAGTGTCTTTCACCTCCACACATTCAGGACAAACCGATTAGTGTCTCTCACCTCCACACCTTCAGGACATACAGATTAGTGTCTCTTGCCTCCACACCACCAGAACATACAGATTAGTGTCTCTCATCTAAACAACTTCAGGACATACAGATTAGTGTCTCTCATCTCCACACCTTGAGGACATACAGATTAGTGTCCCCACCTCCACACCTTCAGGACATACAGGTTAGTGTCTCTAACCTCCACACCACCAGGACATACAGATTAGTGTCTCTAACCTCCACACCTTCAGGACATACAGATTAGTGTCTCTCATCTCCACACCTTGAGGACATACAGATTAGTGTCCCCACCTCCACACCTTCAGGACATACAGATTAGTGTCTCTCATCTCCACACCTTGAGGACATACAGATTAGTGTCTCTAACCTCCACACCTTCAGGACATACAGATTAGTGTCTCTCATCTCCACACCTTGAGGACATACAGATTAGTGTCCCCACCTCCACATCTTCAGGACATACAGATTAGTGTCTCTCATATCCATGCTTGAGGATAAAACAGATATGTTGTCTGTATCATTTCATGAATCTTCCAGATTTTCTCCAAGTTATTGTGATCCTGAACTGAGAACATTGAGCTATATCCGCACTGCAACCGTTGTTGTATGAGTGCTGAGAGCAGAAAGGGTGACGTACTTCCAAGCAGGACAGAACAAAGGAACAGACTGGGTTACATCCCTACTTTCACTTCCTTCCCATCTTTTGTTTCAGAGCTTGATAACATACTTTCACATCCTTTTGAATGGCCAGATAATTACTGACCTGTGGGACAGGAGAAACGCAAACAAATACAGGTGGCATCATAACTAACCTTATATATCCACAACGTACCTTTTGTATACACAGTGTATCTTACAGATACACAATGTACCTTTTGTATACACAATGTACCCTACATATACACAATGTACCTTATGTATACACAATGTACCTTACATATACACAATGTACCTTATGTATACACAATGTACCTTACATATACACAATGTACCTCACATAACAATGTCCCTTAAATATACACAATGTACCCTACATATACACAATGTACCTTACATATACACAATGTCCCTTACATATACACAATGTACCTTACATATACACAATGTCCCTTACATATACACAATGTCCCTTACATATACACAATGTCCCTTACATATACACAATGTCCCTTACATATACACAATGTACCCTACATATACACAATGTCCCTTACATATTCACAATGTCCCTTACTTATACACAATGTCCCTTACATATACACAATGTCCCTTACATATACACAATGTACCCGACATATACACAATGTCCCTTACATATTCACAATGTCCCTTACTTATACACAATGTCCCTTACATATACACAATGTACCTTACATATACACAATGTCCCTTACATATACACAATGTCCCTTACATATACACAATGTACCCTACATATACACAATGTCCCTTACATATACACAATGTACCTTACATATACACAATGTACCCTACATATACACAATGTCCCTTACATATGCACAATGTACCCTACATATACACAATGTCCCTTACATATACACAATGTCCCTTACATATACACAATGTACCTTACATATACACAATGTCCCTTACATATACACAATGTACCCGACATATACACAATGTCCCTTACATATACACAATGTCCCTTACATATACACAATGTACCTTACTTATACACAATGTACCTTACATATGCACAATGTCCCTTACATATACACAATGTCCCTTACATATACACAATGTCCCTTACATATACACAATGTCCCTTACATATACACAATGTCCCTTACATGTACACAATGTCCCTTACATATACACAATGTCCCTTACATATACACAATGTACCCTACATATACACAATGTCCCTTACATATACATACACAACTTTGAGGCCTGCATGGCAGTGTAATTTGTGCGTGAACATTGTCATGTCCATCGCCATGACCAGGAACGCATGCTGTGTCGTGACCCCCGTTAGGTGTGTGTGACAATGATGTTTCGAGGGAGTGGTCCCCGCAGGATGCAGGTGTTGGCAACAAGGAAGAAATAATAAGGGGAAACAAGTATGTGTGTACCAGCAGGCAAACGGATCACAGACATCTCAATGTTTTCCTGGCAGATGTTTATAATTCTAAACTGATCGACTTGTCATCTAGTCACTGCTTCCCTCTCCCCCTCATTAACTCCCCACCTCCTTCACTCATTCTCTCCTTCCCACCGTCATTCATCCATTCTCCTTCCATCCTTCACTCCTTCCCTCTCACCCTCCCTCATTCATTCTCTACCTCCCCATTCAATCCCTCACTCACTCACTCATTATGTACCTCCCTCATTCCCTATACCCCTTCCTCATTCATTCCTCCCTCCCTAATTCACTCCTTACCACACTCAATCATTCCTCTCTCCCTAATTCATTCCTCTCTCTCCCTCATTCATTCCTCTCTCTTCCTCATTCATTCCTCCCTCTCCCTCATTCATTCCTCTCCCTCATTCCTCTCTCTCCCTCATTCATTCCTCTCTCCCTCATTCATTCCTCTCTCTCCCTCATTCATTCCTCCCTCTCCCTCATTCATTCCTCCCTCTCCCTCATTCATTCTCTCTCTCCCTCATTCCTTCCTCTCTCTCCCTCATTCATTCCTCTCTCTCCCTCATTCATTCCTCTCTCTCCCTCATTCATTCCTCTCTCTCCCTCATTCATTCCTCCCTCTCCCTCATTCATTCCTCCCTCTCCCTCATTCATTCTCTCTCTCCCTCATTCCTTCCTCTCTCTCCCTCATTCATTCCTCTCTCTCCCTCATTCCTCTCTCTCCCTCATTCATTCCTCTCTCCCTCATTCATTCCTCTCTCTCCCTCATTCATTCCTCCCTCTCCCTCATTCATTCTTTCTCTCCCTCATTCCTTCCTCTCTCTCCCTCATTCATTCCTCTCTCTCCCTCATTCATTCCTCTCTCTCCCTCATTCATTCCTCTCTCCCTCATTCATTCCTCTCTCTTCCTCATTCATTCCTCCCTCTCCCTCATTCATTCCTCCCTCTCCCTCATTCATTTCTCTCTCCCTCATTCATTCCTCTCTCCCTCATTCATTCCTCCCTCTCCCTCATTCATTCCTCTCTCCCTCATTCATTCCTCCCTCTCCCTCATTCATTCCTCCCTCTCCCTCATTCATTCTCTCTCTCCCTCATTCCTTCCTCTCTCTCCCTCATTCATTCCTCCCTCTCCCTCATTCATTCCTCTCTCCCTCATTCATTCCTCTCTCTCCCTCATTCATTCCTCTCTCCCTCATTCATTCCTCCCTCTCCCTCATTCATTCCTCTCTCCCTCATTCATTCCTCTCTCTCCCTCATTCATTCCTCCCTCTCCCTCATTCATTCCTCCCTCTCCCTCATTCATTCTCTCTCTCCCTCATTCCTTCCTCTCTCTCCCTCATTCATTCCTCTCTCTCCCTCATTCATTCCTCTCTCTCCCTCATTCATTCCTCCCTCTCCCTCATTCATTCCTCTCTCTCCCTCACTCATTCCTCCCTCTCCCTCATTCATTCCTCTCTCTCCCTCATTCATTCCTCCCTCTCCCTCATTCATTCCTCTCTCTCCCTCATTCATTCCTCTCTCTCCCTCATTCATTCCTCCCTCTCCCTCATTCATTGCCCCCTCCCAAATTCATTCCTCCCTCTCCCTCATTCATTCCTCCCTCTCCCTCATTCATTGCAGCCTAGTTCAGCAAGGCTGGAAACTGGACATTTACATCAGGTGAACTCTCTTGCCTCTGGAAGATGTTCCTTCCCTTTCCTCCTCCATAATTTTCTACCCCCCTACCTCACTCTTATATACCTTCCCTTCCTCTTTTATTCCCTCCTTCCCACCACTCACTCCTTCATTCTCTCCTTCACTCTCTCCCTTCCATCCTTCCATGCCTTCCCTCTACCTCCATCATTACTCCTTTGTATATCACTCCTTCATTCTCTCCCTCCTGCATTCTCTTCTTCCTTCACTCACTCCTTCATTCTCTCTTTTGCATTATCTTCTTACTTCACTCACTCCTTCATTCTCTTTCATTCTCTCCCTCCTGCATTATCTTCGTCCTTCACTCACTCCTTCATTCTCTCCTTCCCCTACTCACTCCTTCATTCTCTCCCTACTTCCTTCCTGCCCTCTCTCTCCCTCTGTCACTCCTTCATTTCTCACCTCATCTGTGTTCTTCACATCTGTGTAATCTTCCTTGCTCCTGTGCTCTGGTCGGGGACTTCTGTGGGTGTACTGTTAAATAATAACAAGGAGTGTCAGTAGGGTCACAATACTTGTCATTGATGAGCATCTTCCCATAGCAAGGGAGTTAACTGACTATCAAAGTCCAGTTTCCACCCTTGCCGAACTAGGCTGGTATAAAGGAGTTACATTTTGGCTGGACTGACAAGTCTATACATAGTTCAGTCAAAATCGTGCAAACAAAGTCGAAATCCTGTTAGTAAACTGTCATGCAGATTTCGGTCGATTGAAGGATTTGCAAAGCATGTGCACCGCCAACTCATTGTCAACAGATATTTTCCCAGTTTTTCATGTTTTTAATCAAGGTCTTCACAAGATTTCATGCACTTCGTGATGTCACAATATAGATCTAGATTATCGATCAAAATGTCTTGACTGGGCGCCGCCATTTTGTTTGAAACAAATGCCAGTTATACGAAAGGTGGAATCTGATTGTTCCATAGGAGAGGCGTAGAAGGGACACAACTCGTAATAACCACTGGTGGTGCTACAATCGAGCTGAGGAATTCCAGCCTAGTTCGGCAAGGGTGGAAGCTGGACTTTTATAGTCAATAAACTCCCTTGCCTCGTGAAGATGTTGATGAGTGGTTAGGAATGAACTATTGTAAATAGCGGTCAGACTGTTCAAGTGAGAAACTATCTACACAAACAGAGAGCATTGTATTGTTTTAAAGCTGTTCATTTCCAAATAGACTGTGATCAATACACAGGCATGGGTTCAAAACATCACAGTAACTTAAAAGATTCAGTCAACATACTCCTTCCCATGGCTTCTCATTGCCAGACCGGAAATTCAATGACCGTCGATCAAAACTGCTTGCTTCTGTAGAACTCAAGGTGTCCATGTATCTGAAAATTATTGTTAAAAATTTAGAACATTTATTCAAATGTTCATTTAACCATTTATCCACGGTATCAATTTCTGTTTTATCATACAAATTAAATGTCACAATACAATATTATGAGTCATGGTGTTTTTAGTTGCCATAAACCGCCTCATATTAATTAAGTTAGCAGAAAAATATGCCTTGCCCAATATTTTTCTGCTAACCTAATATGACACTGTATACGGCAACTAAAGACACCATAACAAATTTATTATGCCGAAAGGTTTACACTCTCTGGTATCCATATCGCACGTGTCATGTCAAAATGAAAACCTGACACTTACAACCGTATGTTAAGGGTCAAAGGGAGACTACTCTTCAAACCTTAAAGGCCAAACCTTGTTTACAATTTTAACTATAATCTTTATCAATAAAATCACGAACATGATCTAAAAAACAGATTAATGTCCTTGCACATCACAATTAATGATAGTTATACACAACACAGTGTCAAATAACGAATTTCGGTACCAGAATTTTCATGTGAAGTATGTGAGTTGGGGGTTGGAAAATCCAAGATTGGATCATATTAGGTCAGTAACAACCATCTTGGATTTTTACTGACGGCATACGGGCTCATGTGGGATCAGTAGTTCTGCTCACTGATTGGTCAGTCTCACTTTGAGGCATAATAAGACACCGTATACTGCAACTAAAGACACCATAACAAATTTATTATGCTGAAAAGTTTACACTATTTGGTATCTTTGTTGCACATGTCATGTCAAAATGAAAACGTGACACTTACAACTGGTATTAAACGACAGGACCAGTAAATATGTTTCGGATACAACGCTTTAATGTAAACATAAATATTAACAATGGAATATATAATGCACAAAATGCAAACGTTTAAAATATTGTAGCAAAATTGGATAGAATTATCATAAAAATGCCCGCATGTTAACAGAAATCTGCGGGCAACAGTAACTTGTCCGCTATTCCCTAACAACGGGCTGCTGTCTATTCTATTGCTATGTGACCTCATTGCCATCATGTTTCTTGTTGGTGACGTCATCTTATATTATGTTCTATGACATTACTATTTGTAACTCAGTGACGTCCGTTCAGACGACCAGTCCTTGATTTAGCCCCTTGATGCCAAGCGCCAGGCAGGGTAACAAGAAGTACAATCTTTTAACGTCTTTTGGTATGACGCGGCCAGGGGATCAAACCCCAGACCTTCCACTCTGACGGTTTGGACTTGTGGAATTGTGATGTCATATCAGTTCATTGTCACAATTGATTGTTCATGACCTCATCCATTGTACATGACCTCATCCATTGTAACCTCATCCATTGTACATGACCTCATCCATTGTTCATGACCTCATCCATTGTTCATGACCTCGTCCATTGTACATGACCTCATCCATTGTACATGACCTCATCCATTGTTCATGACCTCATCCACTGTAACCTCATCCATTGTACATGACCTCATCCACTGTTCATGACCTCATTCATTGTTCATGACCTCATCCATTGTTCATGACCTCGTCCACTGTACATGACCTCATCCATTGTAACCTCATCCATTGTACAGGACCTGACAGGAGACTACTTTGACTAACATCTAGTCTCTGAAATGATCATATTTTACAGGAAAAAAAACTAAATTATTTTAATAAAATATAATAAAAGGAGCGCAGAGGCTATCCTCATTTTCAGATGCGGCAGTAATCTTGACTTGCTCACTATAATAGACTTGCAAGGGTTGTATTGAATATATATGTTTCAGGGTCTGCATGAAAGACAAAAGACAACTGTGACCTCATTCAAACAATAACTGAAAAGTCAGTAGTCTTTATGTAACCAATCGTACCTGAGACAAACGTCGAGGTCAGCTCTCATCTTGTACTCAAACTCCCGGTACTCATCCTGCAGGGACCTGGGGACAGTACATTGCTCATACAACACTTAACTGACCACAGAATTCCCTTATCTTGCAAGACAAATATAAACTTTCCATTAGCAAAATTAAGACAATTATTGCACAATCACATAGATTCTACACATTGACAAAATATTTTAAAAATTCTAATAATGGACAAATTGGACCTCCAATAATGTAAGATGTATTGTTTTGACAATAAACGTTATAGAACCTCATAAAGATATTTTAGTCTTAATTACTACATATATGATGAAAGCTCAACTACTTAGCAAAGTACCTGCACTAGATTCAGTGTATCAAACACATCGGTTTTCATTACAACTGAATAAGCATTATAGACAAAACAATGGATCTTCAAAAAAAACAAATGTTTGATATGAATTTTTAATTTAAAAAGCTAGACATATTTACATTATCCCCAAAAGACAGTTTAATAGCAAGTGTTCCATCTTGAAGTAAGCCTGGTGTCCAGTTCGACATCAACTTCCTGTCTGTCTGTGTGTACTTCCTGGCTGTCTGTGTGTACTTACTGTATCCTGTGTTGAAGGAAGTTGACATTTTCCTCCATGGCTCCCCTGGCTCCGCGCATCCGCTCCTCGAAAGCCTGTTTTGCTGCATCTTTGAGTGTGATGATGTTGTCCGTGTGACGGCGATGCTCCACCTGCAGCAGTAGCAACATCACCATTGATCCATCCATTGATACGGAATTGTTTGTTACGAAAGTACAACATAAAAATAAAATTAAGAAATTTACAATTTGAAAAGTCAAAAAAGAAATGTACCATCAAAATAAACGTTATGAAGTCATGGAGAAACATTACAAAAATAACAACCAAGTTTTTGTCTGTGCTGCTATTTTAAACTTAAATCGAACTACTGTAACACTCTAAGTGTGAATCTATGTGATGTGTTGTTAAAAGAATAAGCGTGGTATGTTTGTAAGCCCGCTGTCAACAGTATTTCAGTTTTGTCATGATTATTATGGGAGGAAAGCGTAAAGTGATTCAGGTCTTCACCATGTTTACCATTTCAGTGAAACTCAAGAGCACCAAATGCTGACAAACGTGTTGGCAATTTGGGGATTCAAACCCAAGAGCATCAGATTCTGGCACAACTAAGGGAAGTAACTATGTACAGCAAGTGTCAAAAGAAAAGCAACAACATTCCACAAGTCGTCTGGTCACAAACAAATCAATCCTAAATGTTTCATGAACATATCATAAAGTAAAACAAGATTATTTCTAATTTAATGGGTTCTCAAGAAACCAAAGAAATGAATTAGCATGGGTAATGGTAAGAAATATCAACTGTAATAAATTAATATATATAGATAATAGTATGTTCCAAAACAAGGTCTAAAACGCCATTATGAATATGTACATCTTTTCTTAAAATGAGTAAACTATGTTATGAGGTCAGTGCGAACATATATTTCAGGATAAAAGAATAGTTTGGGTTTTAAACCATTGACATATCTATACAAAACAGCATCTTAAATCTGCTTAAAGAAAATCAAGTTGTCTAAACCGACTGAAAGTATTATTCAGAAAAACAGATCTACATCATCAACACTTCACTTGTCTGTATACACTACGTTCCTCCATCATCCAGGAATACACATGGCCGCGGTGCAGAGAATGCTAGGTCTGGTTTAAAGAGGGGGAACCAGCGAGAGGTGACACTGATACACACTCAGACAACATCAGCAATATGTCTCGTACAACACAATCCTTACAGCCTCTATTTTACATATTGCTTCAATATCAGGCAACGGTAGCATTTGGACCAATGTCATGCACAGAGTCATGGTCATTTGAGTGAGTGAGTGAGTATGGTTTTACGCTGCTTTTAGCAATATTCCAGCAATATCACGGCGGGGGACACCAGAAATGGGCTTCACACATTGTACCCATGTCAGGAATCGAACCTGGGTCTTCGGCGTGACGAGGGAACGCTTTAACCACTAGGCTACCCGACCGTCCCTCATGGTCATTTAAATTCTATGTGTTATACACAGGTTAATTACATTAGCTGACTGAGAAAAGACATGTCACGATTACACCACATATCGGCTGTCGGTATTCACAAGTGATGGAGTAATGTGGTACATACAAACTGTTAAAGTATCAATATCTGAAACATGAATTATCTCTAATCTAACTACAGACACAGTACAAGCTCTAAACTGTAGTATGTGTAAGCTATGGTGTGAGTGACTATATATTTGAGCTGAACTTGCCAATGGCCGGACTTGAGTACGTAGTTTAGGTGACGGTGTTGGGTCGTCCTACAGTAACATGCATGACACGCATCATTGAAAAAAACATTTCAACGTAGAATAGGATAAAAAATTTTTTAAAATTCTGACAATCGGTCCGATTGTAGTTCTAGATAGATCAATGCTTAAATGTAGCTGGAATATAATGTTGGGTCATCATCTGTTGAGAATACCTAGGTACAAATCACAAACCACAGGAAAATAAGAACACATTTTATCATACCTCCATGTCAGAATGATGAGATCTGATTGATCCACGTAATCTTGATAAAATACTTTATCATATCTCCATGTCAGAATGATGAGATCTGATTGATCCACGTAATCTTGATAAAATACTTTATCATACCTCCATGTCAGAATGATGAGATCTGATTGATCCACGTAATCTTGATAAAATACTTTATCATACCTCCATGTCAGAATGATGAGATCTGATTGATCCATGTAATCTTGATAAAATACTTTATCATACCTCCATGTCAGAATGATGAGATCAGATAAGTCCATGTGATCTTGATAAAATACTGTGTAACCTGCCTTGGAGGGTAATAAATCCCTTATACCCCGCAATGAGCAAGTCAGGCTGCACATGGATTTCTGAGAGAAAAAATCCCTTATATCCCGCTTCAAAGCAAAAAGCCGCATGCTTTTTCCAAGTCATTGAAAGTCACGTGACAAAAAGCAAGCTAACCTCAGCTCAATCGAACATCTGTTTTAATTTGTTTGAATTATTTTACAATGGCATATTAAAACATGTCGGTAAGATAAATTTGTCCTAGCAGGATCACTCGGGGAACATGGGTGTTCAAGGCGTCCCTCATTAGGTTTTATACCACTCGTCTCCAGCTTTTGGTATAAAACCTAATGCGGGGCTCATAAAACCACTTATTATGCCTCAAAGTGAGATTGACCAATCAGAGAGCAGAACTACTGACCCCACATGAGCCTGTATACCGTTAGTAAAAATCCAAGATGGTTGTTGTGTTTCCAAAGAAAAGCCTGCAATCTTATAATCTTTACTGATATATAAATACTGTGACATGGTCAAACTGATAATAGTAATGATAATAAGGACATCATGCATTGGTCAAGACAATTTAAGGGTTCAAATATCAGAATTTCAATAATTCGGCCATGAACCTTTGACCGACCACTCCCGGCCAGACTGATGCTGTATAGGTAGTGAGTGTGGTTTTATGCCGCTTTTAGCAATATTCCAACAATATCAAGGTGGGGGACACCAGAAATGGGCTTCACACATTGTACCCATGTCAAGAATCGAACCCTGGTCTTCGGCGTGACAAGCGAATGTTTTAACCACTAGGCTACCCAACCGCCCCTTGATGCTGTATAACGTATATTGGAGACAAAAAGAAACTTTCAAACATTCTTTCCCTTTCAAACTGCTGTTCATGTCTCATATGGAATGAAAACCAGTCATTTCACTATGACAAGGGAAAACACTAAATGTGTTGGTTTGAGTGAGTGAGTGAGGATCGTTTTACGCCGCTTTTAGCAATATTACAGCAATATCACGGCAGGGGACACCAGAAATGGGCTTCACACATTGTACCCATGTCAGGAATCAAACCCTGGTATTCGGCGTGACAAGCGAACGTTTTAACCACTAGGCTACCCAACCGCCCCTTGATGCTGTATAACGTATATTGGAGACAAAAAGAAACTTTTAAACATTCTTTCCCTTTCAAACTGCTGTTCATGTCTCATGTGGAATGAAAACCAGTCATTTCACCATGACAAGGGAAAACACTAAATGTGTTGGTTTGAGTGAGTGAGTGAGTATCGTTTTACGCCGCTTTTAGCAATATTCCAGCAATATCAAGGCGGGGGACACCAGAAATGGGCTTCACACATTGTACCCATGATGGGAATCGAACTCCGGTCTCCCGCGTGATGAGCGAACGCTTTAACCACTAGGCTACCCGACCGCCCCTGTGCTGGTTTGAATTTGAATTTACTTTTGTTTAAGATATAATTCAAGAAAAAAAAAATGTATGGATTATGGGGTCGATTGTAAACACCAGTACATTTAAAAAAAGAGGAGTTTTGAGTTAGAAGCTTGAGTGAAATCACAATTTGATGATGGCACCAGAAACCATATATCCCACCCCAAACAACCTGTTACTACTCTCAGGACAATAGCTACGTACACCTATCCTTGGCAAGGGTCGAACGGTGATGTTGTCGAGGGTCATGACGTTGGCGGCTCGGATGATATCCGTCTGGTAGTTGTGCTCTCGATCTATTGGGTTACCCTGAAACATACGACCTCAACTTGTTAAATGTTTCTTTCATTATCATCTGGGGGATAGCACAGTGTCACAGAATGGGAAGATTCAACAGTGAGGGAAGATATAATGAGTTCTTTTGTATTTGTACATGTAAACTGAGCACTGGTCGGACTCACATGTAAATTGAGGACCACTAACATATAAACTGAGACCAAGTCTGACTCACATGTAAACTGAGCACTGATCTGACTCACATGTAAACTAAGCAATGGTCTGACTCACATGTAAACTAAGCAATGGTCTGACTCACATGTAAACAGAGAACCACTAACATGTAAACTGAGAACAAGTCTGACTCACATGTAAACTGAACACTGATCTGACTCACATGTAAACTGAGCACTGGTCTCACTCACATGTAAACTAAGCACTGGTCTGACTCACATGTAAACTAAGCATTGGTCTGACTCACATGTAAACTAAGCAATGGTCTGACTCACATGTAAACTGAGAACCACTAACATGTAAACTGAGAACAAGTCTGACTCACATGTAAACTGAACACTGATCTGACTCACATGTAAACTGAGCACTGGTCACACTCACATGTAAACTAAGCACTGGTCTGACTCACGTGTAAACTAAGCATTGGTCTGACTCACATGTAAACTAAGCACTGGTCTGACTCACATGTAAACTAAGCACTGGTCAGACACACATGTAAACTCAGAACAAGTCAGACTCACATGTAAACGGAGAACAAGTCAGACTCACATGTAAACGGAGAACAAGTCAGACTCACATGTAAACGGTGAACAAGTCTGACTCACATGTAAATAAAGAACAAGTCAGACTCACATGTAAACTGAGCACCTGCAACCACGTCATCTTCTCAAGGACCGCAGTGACTGTGTCCAGCTCCTTGAGATTGTTCTCGGCGGCGTTGAGCATCCGTAGATGAAGACAGCTGGTGATTGGTACTATACTCACCTGGCGGGAGATTGCAATATACGCCTAGCTTAATTCACAAGAGATTTTGCCACAACTGGTAATTATTTTCTGCCGGTACATATGGCCAGCATTTAAAAAAGTACATACACATACCATGGCTTATTCATTCTCATACTATGCAGGGGGATGAGGTATCTAAGTGGTTAAAGCATTAGCTCTGTCCGTTAACAATACATCGAACATTTTTACTTTCTGAAACTTACAGCAAGCTTCTTTCTGGAATCAAGTGAAACCATGACAGTAGTGAAGACATCAGAAACAGAGAAAGTGGGATGTTTTTTATTTGTTGTTTAACACCTCACTCAGCAATATATTCCAGCTACATGATGGCGGTCTGTAAATAATCGAGGCTGGACCAGACAATCCAGTGACTGACATTATGAGCATCGATCTACGTAATTGGGATACGATGATATGCATCAACCAAGTCAGCAAGCCTGACCACCCGATCCCGTTAGTCACCTCTTATGACAAGCATAGGTGCCTTTTACGGCAAGTAAGGGCTGCTGAAGACCTATTCTACCCCGGATCTTCACTGGCCGTTTGTGACAGTGGAAATAATTGCTCCATGTAGTTGGAATAGTTAGTTCAGTTCACATCATCTTCCAATCTCATTAAAATCAGATCTTAGTTCTCGCTATCGCTAAACAAAGATCTGAGGACATCCATTACGGGTCAGGTCAGAATGACCTTTCATCCAACAAACAAAGCGTCGCTTACCAGATCATGAAAGTGACGGTCGGAATGTGTTGTCTATTCATGCAACCTCAAAAACATTAACATGGTGTATTCCGAACGACAGTTACGGCCCGTACGATTGATTCCGTCAAAATTATCGTCTATCTCCCGCTTCCGTAGGATAAACATTTGAATGGAGGGGACGTTGCACAGTACGTGGGAAGCACTGCCATACAATCTCAACCATATATTAGACATTCCAGAATGTTCATTTGTTCAGTTTTCAAATATTAATCGAGAACTTTGTCAACAAATTTTTTAAGCGTAGTCTGAAATTGAAGTCACCAGGTTGAAACGAGTGTCGTAAAGCTCGAGAAAGCTGCTTTCTGATGGGCTGATATCAACTTCTTGTTTGTCATTTCAGTGGTCGGTCAAAGTTTGCGAAAGGTCATTCCGACGTGACCCGTAATGGGATATTCTCAGATCTTTGTTTAGCGGCAGGAAGAACTCAGATCTGATTTTAATGAGATTGTATCATCTTCATATTTACCAACTGATTTCTCTGAACGTTGAGCTCCTCCAGCTTGGGTAAAGACGAGAGTCCCTCCAGACTCCCCAGCTACAAGATGAGCAGAGATGAGGATGTACTTGGTTACAGGACACTGTACTTTAGGACTGAGACTTAAGATCCAAGTTACGCACTTTAATAGTGCTTAGGTGGATGTTTTATACAAGGAGATGTAGTTAAAAATTCATATGCTGTATTTGAGGTATAAGCACTCTGCTCCAATAAGCACCCCTTGACCAATTTTCAGACCATTCTGAATGTAATCTTTATAAGCATCCCTACAAAGACTAAAAATGTACATGACAGTCCAAATTTTATTGTATATTTATTTCTCGCCTATTGGAGATACCACTTTTTTAATAAGCTGGTATTTCACATTGTTTAGTACCAAAGCGCGTATATTGAAAACTCTCAACATCCCTGGGCTTTTTCAATGACATTGCGTGTACAGATGACAGATCACAGAGAGGAGCTTATGCACACTTGATGACCCCAGCTATCTTGTTGCTAGGCTGGCGTCACATGGCATTGTTTCGCAAATTATGTCATAGGGTATTGAGACGTGTTTGTAAACTTTGTGGTGCAGGGCCCCATTCCACAAAGCAATAGTAGAGCAACAACAGTCGTAAGTCTGGGTCAAAGTATGGGAGTTACAATAACCTGAGCACTACAATTGCTACGTGGAATGGGTCCTCACACCACAAAGTTTACGAACATGTCACAATGAATTCTAAAGGAAGGCCATTGAATGGTATTAAAAAAATACATGTCAACTTGTAACGTATTTGAAGTATACTACTCAAAAGAAGTTAAGGATCAACTGATTCTTTCATATTACTATAGTTAATCTCTCATGTCATGACAGATTAACTTTACCATTATGAAAGAATTGGGTGATCCTTAACTTCTTTTGAGTAGTATATTATTCTGTTAAACTCATTTGGATTATGCGGTGGATCACGTAGATGTCTGTCTATTTACACACGACATTGAAATTTTTAAAAGTTATAAATATAATACTCAATTTGCTCCCATGTAATACCAATTTTATGAAATAGTTCTTGTTTCTGACACTCAGACTCTCAGAAGCGAACTATCCATAAGTTTAGTATTCTACATACTATAGAATAATATTAGATTATAATACAGGAATAGCAGCGCTGAAGGGGTATATAATCCCCTGGTAACATTTAATATTTATTGAAAACATTGTGGTCTCACTGAGATGTAACTCATGTATGGTTGTATTAACAACCCCCCTTCACACTCACTCCTCCCTTCCCCCCCCCCCCCCCCCCCACACCCCAGGTGTTTATTACGGCAATTACGGTAGTGTACACTTTACTACACATTGGCATTTAGGATAACTAACTTACTTTATTACTGCTGAGGTTTAGGATCCGTAGGTTGATGAGACTTGGCATGCTGGAAATGTCTCGAATTTCATTCATACTCAAATTGAGTTCAACGATAGACGAACTGGTTGTCAGACCATCGATGTGACGCAATGCATTGTGGGCCACATTAAGGCTGAACAGATGATGTAATACCTCAATGCCCTGAAAGCTGAATAAATACACATGCTTGACAATTTGACATCATGTTTAGCAGCTGAAGACTGTATACAGTATTCGACGTAATAAGCGCCCACAGCAATATATTGGCAAGTGAACAATCCCAATTAGCATCACTTCCAGCCCCTATTCACATATAATACACACTCGTGTGTTATATGCACCCTTTATTATTGGCAATTAAATTCTGGAAATTAATTGCCGAATATAAACATTTCAGGCTGTCAGCATAAACCACGAAATTTATCTTTTAACTCTGTTTTTTTCACCAAAATAATATTCTAATAAGAGCCCCCTATTTCTAGTTTTGAGAGCGCCCTGGGTATCGAATACGGTAACGCAATTTGTTCGTATGGTTCATATCATCTTCAATACTTCACAGAGTTTGTACATGCTACGATCCTCCATCCCCCTGAATACATTCCTCCACGATGTAGAGAAGTAGTTATATGTGTCTGTCAGTAGTCAGTTAAAGCAATAAAGCTGTTTAAAACTCTCAGACATCCTATTTCATGCTTGAACTTCGTGTGAACCACGGCCTGATATTGAAGCCGGTGGCAACAAGCGCTATGAGAAATATTGCCATTTGTGTGATTTAATGGGAGCATTGTAGGGCTGTGACGAGTCCAAATTTACTACCCGGGCACCCGCCCCCCTATTACCCTACCCTACCCGGGTACCCACTGTAGGTCTCAAGAGATGTCTCAAAATTTCTGAAAGGGAACTTTATTAGCATAGCCCTGGCCAAACAGATACATGTTAAACAATCTGGTCATGCATAGACTGAAGTTGAATTAAGTTATATCTTTATTCAACCATATGAAAAGTCAGGAGGAATGGGTGCGTAGACTAAAAGAAAAGTGAACATTAGTGACCTCGTATATCACGTGACTAACCACTTGTATAGGGTCCGGGTAGTCCTGTGGGTAATGGGTACTCGAGTTACCCGTCCTAGCCCTAGAACACTTGCTTGTTTTCCTCTTGCTGGAGTGAGTGAGTGAGTGAGTGAGTGAGTTTGGTTTTACGCCGCTTTTAGCAATATTCCAGCAATATCACGGCGGGGGACACCAGAAATGGGCTTCACACATTGTACTCATGTCGGGATTCGAACCTGGGTCTTTGGCGTGACAGGCGAACACTTTAACCACTAGGCTACCCGACCGCCCCCCCGCCCCTCTTGCTGGAAGTCGGCCAGGTCAAGATTTGTTGGTTAAAAATGGCGGATACACGAAGCGGCCATTTGTCTTCACAGGTAAAGGAGGCGTGTAGTGTTCACAAACGTGTGAAGTATTATATTGACGAGGCTCAAAAGAAGAATCGGCTTGACTAGAGAAAGCTAAATAGTGTAAGTATTGGAAAGAAAATAGCTCGGGGCAGACACTTCATCAATAATACAAATAGCAGAACAAAATGAAATAATTTCTACTCAAATTCAACTTATTGGGCACTGAGTTGCTACATGTGATCAAACACACAAGAAACACTTGCTCACAGACCACAGATCAATGGTCAAGTTCATTTGGACCCTACAAGTAAACACTTTGGGCTGGTTGACCTTGATTGTACCAAATGTTGGGGGTATTGGAAATACAGGGGGTAGTTTCTATGGTTACGGTGGGCAAGTTTCCCTCATCATGACATCTTCCCGAAACCAGGGAGTTAACTGACTATAAAAGTCCAGTTTCCAACTTTGCCAACTAGACTGGAATTTCTGGGCTCGACTAAGCGCCACCAGTGGCTATTATAAGTTGTATCCCTTCTATGTCCTTCCTATTGACCAATCAGATTCCACCTCTCATATGACTTGCATTTGCTTCAAATAAAATGCTGTCACCCAGTGACGACTGTCTCATCCATAATCAACATCATATTTATCATCCAAAACTGGCTCCCACAGGAGATATTGCTTGGATGAGATCAAGCGATTTATTACTTGCCCGTGAAGAGATCACCCGTTTAATAAACATACAGCTGTATTACACATTGTGTAATACCAAAACTCGTGCTTATGTACTCTCGGAACACGTTTCACGAACAAATATTGAAAGCTCTCAACATCCCTTGGCTTATTCAACAACATTGCGTGTGGAGATGATAGATCACTGAGAGGAGCTTATGCACACTGGATGACCCCAGCAACCTTGTTGCTAGGCTGACGTCACATGGCATTGTTTCGCCGAAGGATCTTGCAACAAAATTCCACAAATTACGTCATCGGGTATTGTGACGTGATTGTAAACTTTGAGGTGCAAGGCCCCGTTCCACAAGGCGATCGTACGGTAGCGCGACGACAGTCGTTGGTCTAAGTTAAAGTATATGAGTTGCGATAACCTTAACGATAGGATAATTTTGTGGAACGGACGCCTGGATTCTAAAGGTGGACCGTTTGATGGTATTAAAATCATACGTTTCAACTTTTGACGTATTTGAAGTATAACTGTGTTAAACTCAGTTGGATTATGCCGTGGATCCTGTAGGTGTCAGCCTATTCACACTCAACAGTATAATTCTAAAAACGTTATAAATGGCCAGTAATAAATAAAATACTAAACTCGCTCCCGTGTAAAACCAATTTTATGAAACTCGTGAATAGTTATGGTATCTGACTATTCACTCGTTCCATAAAATTGGTATTACACGGGAGCTCGTTTAGTATTCTATATATCTACACTGTAGATATCGCTGCAATGAAATTACATCACAATGCTTTGCAGACCATTGTGACGTCACTGGTTACCATGACGTCACAATCAAATGACATCACTAATGGCTCTGCTTCTGAAGCCGTTTGCAGTACTTTTTACACTGAAGACACTGCTAATTACTGAAAATTGAAAAAGTTGAAAGAATGATGTTGGATGATAAATAAAATCTCACCCTCGAGTCCTTTGATATAAAATATATCTCGGAATTTTTCCACTTTTATCAACTCGTGTTGATATATTTGATATCAAAAGACACTCGGGTGAGATTCTCTATATTGTTATAAAACGGGTCTTACTTTGCAGAGTGCATCAAATCACGTGAGTACCCTTGAGTATAAACTTGAAAAGATTTGGAAAACATCAGATTATGCTAAGTTAACGGTACACTTGTTTTGCAAATCCTGCAATCAACCGAAATCTGTTTACGAAACGGCAGTTTACAAACCGGATGTCGATTTCATTACGCAATTCTGATAGGACTATATATTTAGTCCAGCCAAAATATAACTCCATAATTCCAGCCCAGTTTGGCAAGGGTGAAAAGTGGACTTTTATAGTGAGTTATCTCCCTTGCCTTGGGAAGATGTCATTTTGAGTGTGGACACTTAAAATCACCCATCCCATAATTATAGAGCAGATGAACCACTATTGCTATAGTCTACCACAGCTACATCACTACTGCCAGTGAAACTGTGTACCACATCCACACAACAAAACTCCAATGTCAAGCCAGACATTCAAAGGGAGATAACTGTGTACAACCAAAAGTTCTCATTTCAGAAATGATGCAACCAAACGTACAACAGGTATGCATGCAACCATGGAACTGCATGGAAATAAAATCTGTGAGACACATTATCTTTGTCATTAAATCAAAAGGTTTATATTCCTAAAAAAAATATGAAATTAACTCCAAATCACTGATAGTTTTCAATTTCTTATTTTGGTCATACAATGTTGTCATACAGTGTTGTCATACAGTGTGGTCATACAATGTTGTCACACAGTGTGGTCATACAATGTTGTCATACAGTATGGGCATACAGAATGGTCATACAATGTTGTCATACAGAATGGTCATACAATGTTGTCATACAGTGTGGTCATACAATGTTGTCATACAATGTGGTCATAAAGTGTTGTCATACAATGTTGTCATAAAGTATGGTCATACAATGTTGTCATACAGTATTGTCTTACAATGTTGTCATAAAGTGTGGTCATACAATGTTGTCATACAATGTGGTCATACAATGTTGTCATACAATGTTGTCATACAATGTGGTCATACAGTGTTGTCATACAATGTTGTCATACAATGTTGTCATACAATGGTGTCATACAGTGTTGTCATACAATGTTGTCATACAGTGTTGTCATACCATGATGCCATAAAGTGTGGTCATACAATGTTGTCATACAGTGTTCTCATACAATGTTGTCATACAGTGTTCTCATACAATGGTGTCATACAGTGTTGTCTTACAATATTGTCTTACAGTGTGGTCATACAATGTGGTCATACATTGTTGTCATACAGTGCTGCTATACAGTGTGGTCATACAAAGTTGTGTTACAGTGTTCTCATACAAAATTGTCATACATTGTCTCATACAATGTTGTCATACGGTATTGTCTTACAATGTTGTCTTACAGTGTTGTCATACAGTGCGGTCATACAATGTGGTCATACAATGTTGTCATACAATGTGGTCATGCAATGTTGTCATACAGTGTGGTCATACAATGTTGTCATACAATGTTGTCATACAATGTGGTCATACAGTGTGGTCATACAATGTTGTCATGCAATATTGTCGTACTTGTCATACGGTATGGTCATACAATGTTGTCATACAATGTGGTCATACAATGTTGTCATACAGAGTGGTCATACAGTGTTGTCATAAGGTGTTGTCATACCGTGTGTCATACAGTGTGGTCATACAATGTTGTCTCAGTAACCAAGGCAATCCACAAAACAAGACATTAAATTGGTAAATGGATTCATAACAAGTAACATCTTTCCTTATCATCATGGTTCAAATGTTAAGTCTGAGACAAGTATACTTCAAGAAGGACTAGTGACATTTCCTTGAGGAAATCATAGATCTGGCAACGCCTGAGCAGATAATTGGTGAAGACTTGTGAAAACATAAATAGATTTTACACCCTGTTCAGTGGTAAACAAACCCCTCCCAACAAAGGCCACCTACCTCTTGAGTTTGTTGAGCGAGGCGTCCAACTCTCTAAGGTTACGGAAGGGGAGGAGGCCATCGTGAGGAAGGAAGGCCAGCTCGTTGAGGCTAACATCCAGACGCAGGATGCGCTCCGGTGCGTCAAGGACAGACGGTTGCCTCAGCATGTAGCCTTCTCTGAAATTAAGAATGAGCACTTAGAACCTGTTGATATAAATGTCCCTAATGGTAAACTGGGTCAGTGTTTAAATTCTTCACACTTCAGTTTATAATTTTTGCATAAGTCCACTGTTACCGTATTCAATGTAATAAGCACCCAGGGCGCTCTCAAAATGAGAAATAGGAGGCTCTTATTAGAATATTATTTTGGAGAAAATAAAACAGAGTTGAAAGATAAATTTCATGGTTTATGCTGACAGCCTGATATGTTTATATACGACAGATATATCTTTCCAGAATTTAATTGCCCATAACACATTAGTGCGTTTTATACGCGAATAAATAGGTTTTGTGTACATTGATCAATCGGAAGGAGTGCTAATTGGGATTGTTCACTAGCCAGTATATTAGCAAATATCGCCATGGGCGCTTATTACATCGAAAATGGTAATAAATATGACATTTCACACATACCGTAACTGAATTCAAAAGATCTCTTTTGAAACGATACATCAAGGGAGTGAGTGAGTTGGGTTCAAAGCATAATGTACAACAGCAACATGTATTTTTCATTATCTATTTCTTTTACTTCGCATTATTTAACACAAGAACATGGATGAATAAATGAGAAAAAGGAATGGTTAAATGCTGATGGAAAAGTATTTCAGTTATATCTCTCTGTGTCAGTTATATGCCAGCAGAAAGCCCAAAGAGAAACAGATTCTATGTATTAGTGACTGTTGGTCTGTCAGTACAGCACATGAGTAGATCACAGTGTGAAATGTATTTTAGCGGGATGCTTTGGGTAACAAGTCGTCGTGGGATGATACACAGATGCATCGGTGGATCGCGATGTTTTACTTCTCGAATCAAATATTGATCACAATCGCACACAAAGTAAAAGGTATCGATTCTAACCTTAAATGTAATTTTTAATAAATGTTACACCAAATACTAATTACTAGTTATTAAAAACGTAAATATTTTTATCCACTGCGCATAATACTTGACACTGCCAACTGTAAATTGTTAGTGTGCCAGGTATTTGGCCATCCTGTCTATGTAAACGATGGCTTACACACCACAGAATAAAGCACATGCAAGTATCGTGATACGTATCTGATCGAACAGTTGATGTACAGTCCCAGCCCCAGTAACAAGGCATGAGAGTTATGTCCCTTAGGTCATGGAAGCGGAAGAATATAATGAAGCATGGTCCACGCTACTATGTCTTCAATCGTTTATCGTCCAGTGTGACACAGCCCATCGGCTGCTGAAAACATTACAGTACCATACCCCTGCGTGTGGGTTTCACGTGTATTACTTATATAAAAACATCTAATGTTGGCTCCTCCCACAACTGACAGTCTGTAGTACAACTCACATAAAGTTTGAGGCAGTGATAAAGCAAATGTGACCACGTCTTTCAGAGAGAACCAGAACATACTGTTTTGCTGGTTGTTTTTTTATTGTTAAGCATTGTGAGAAGTTGCTAATTGGAGAATTGACTTAAAAACAAGTACTGCTTTCTGCTGGTTTATCAGTATATTGATCACAGGCTTAAGTATACCATATTCGACGTAATTAACGCCTAGGGCGCTCTCAAAATTAGAAATAGGCAGCTCTTATTAGAATATTATTTTGGTGAAAAAAACAGAGTTGAAAGTTAAATTTTGTGGTTAATGCTGACAGCCTGAAATGTTTATGTACGACGGATATATTTTTCCAGAATTTAATTGCCCATAATTAAGGGTGCATATAACACACTAGTGGGTATTCTACGCGAATAAATAAGTCTTGATCAATCAGAAGGGGTGCTAATTGGGATTGTTCACTAGCCAATATATTAGCAAATATCGCCATGGGCACGGGATGCTTATTTCGTTGAATACTGTACATGATATACCAAGCTGAAACCAAAGATGTATACGTCTTTGCTGAAACATATTGATGCCATTGTGAAGAGTTACCTTTCCTTGCCCCACTCAAAGCTGTAGACGAGTGACTTCACTTGACACATCTTTAAGTCAAGTTGGTACAGTGTGCGACTAGTTGATGCTTTCCACCCATCTGGGAGTGTTGTCAGCCGTGAGATGCGGCGTTCCACAAACTCAGGTGTTAAATACGTCCCCATTATTCTCAGAGGAATCTGACAGGTCTCTTCACTAATATTGCTGTAGCTCCTTACATTCTCCTCGAATGATGAGTGTCACTTGGGAGAGCGTGTATCCTCCATCTTGAACATCTGAAACATAGTTGTAGAACCTATATACAGTGATCCCTCGCTACAACGCTACCTTTGGGGTCCAAATAATTGATGAGTGTTATAGATGATCAGCGGTTTAATGAAGGTCGAGTCATAGGTGGTAGATGACCAACAAAACAGTATACATGCTCTGCCCACCTAACACCATCTACGTTTCACGTTTCAGAGTTTAAAAAAGAATTAGAATAGAAGTTGTTTATGATTCATAGTGTAAAAAAATGATTTATCCAGTAATTATATGCGCTTTAAAAAAACACATTGTATCCCTTCAGCGAATTCAGGCGAATAAACAGGTATAACAAACTTGGTCAATAAAAGTATTAAATTTTACATAAAACATTACTAGACATGATGATTTACCATTAAAATTGTATTTCCTGCTCTCCAAGGCATTGTTTTATACGCAGAGATTAAGATTACCGTGTGTATTTTCTTGTAAACTTAGCCGGAAATAGCAATCAGCTGTGCACATGTTTCCTCCCAATCTACCGGTGATTCAGTTATAAAGAACCCAATGATACATTGTATTTCCACAAAAGGCCATAAAATACTATTTATCAGATTTTCATCTGAAACTTATATAATTTTACAGTCTGTAACTATAGATGGAGAAAAACACTACATGTCTTTCCTTCTTTACTTGATGAAAACACCACAAAGATCGACATAAGCAAACATTCGGCAGGGACAGGTAACTCGGGTACTCGGGTCGGGTTGGTACTGAGTAGGACCTGGGTACCCACAGAACTACCTGGACCCATGGTTAGTCACGTGATATATTGTTTAATGGCAAAATTTCCTAGAACTCCATGGTTACACTACAAGCCACTAATGGTCGCATTTCTTTCTGACTATGAACACATTCCTTCTGACTTTATGCAGGTGAATAAAGATAAACTTCAGTGTATGCATGACCAGATTGTTTTATATGAGTATCTGAATACATTTTGCCAGGGCTCTGGTCAAACTATTCGCAATACAGCAGGTACCCGGGTAGGGAGGGGTAATAGGGGGATGGGTACAAACCATCTTCCCGAGGCAACAGAGTTAACTGACTATAAAAGTCCAGTTTCCACCCTTGCCGAACTAGGCTGGTATTATGGAGTTACATTTTGGCTGGACTAACGAGTCTATGCATAGTCCAATCAAAATCGTGCACCGAAATCGAAATCTGGTTCGTAAACTGTTGTGCAGATTTCGGTCGATTGCAGGATTTGCAAAGCATGTGCACCGCCAACTCGTTGTCAACAGATATTTTTCAAGTCTTTTCATCAAGGTGCTCACGTGATTTGATGCACTTCGAGATGTAAGACCCGTTTTATCACAATATAGATCTTGACTATCGATCAGATAGTCCTGACTGGGCGCCACCATTTTGGGTGAAGCAAATGCAAGTGATACGAGAGGTGGAATCTGATTGGTCCATAGGAGAGGCTTAGAGGGGACATAAATGGTAATAGCCACTGGTGGCGCTACGATCGAGCCCAGTAATTCCAGCCTAGTTTGGCAAGGGTGGAAACTGGACTTTTAAAGTCAGTTAACTCTCTTGCCTCGGGAATATGGGTACAAACTTGTCTCTGGACATCACTTTCATTGGTATGTAGCTTTCACTTTGTTTACCTAAACTTCCTTGAGTGAAAGAATTGCTACTAGTCTCCACCTCCTGACTTGCAGCCTAAGTTACAGGGCTATGGCTGTATATTCCTCTGACAATTATTTAAAACAACAGTAGACAGATACAAAGTCTATATAAACACCCAGATTCATTTGGCAATCCCCAAATAAAAATACCAACATTCTTGAACATGTTTAATCCATTAAAATATTTTTACAGACAATCGCTTCACTTTTTTCATTCAATCCTTTTCTAAATTGTACTAGTCTAAAGGGGTTAAGGTCTCAGATCTACTGAAATGTATTCTGAAGTAGGGCTGGGACGGGTACCTCGGGTACTCGGGCCGGGTGGGTACTGAGTAGGACCTGGGTACCGAAAGAACTACCCGGACCCCTGCTTAGTCACGTGATATATTGTTTCATGACAAAAGTTCACTATAACTACATGGTTACACAAATCACTTATGTTCGCATTTCTTCATGACGATCATCGCATTCCTATGGAGTTATATACCTTCAGTGTATACATGACCAGAATGTTTCGTACGTGTATCTAAATACATTTTGCTCAGGCTACTGTCAAACTTTTTGCAATCGGACATTTTGTAACTTTTTGTAACATCGGATACCCGGGTTGGGTTTGGTAACAGGGGTGTGGGTACCCTGGTAGTAAATTTGGAGTCGTCCCAGCCCTATTCTGAAGTATGTAAAAGTCCCGAAAAAATTCTTGCAGTATTAGAAACACCTTGAGGCATGGTATTCACAGCAATCTGTAGCTACAGACAAATAAAAATATACATAAGATACATGAATGTTAAAAACTTTCATTGGATGTGCAGGTGTTTCTTATCATGTCTGGTTATTAATTACAGTTCCTTTGTGTTTCTATCAAGCCGACATCATTGGTTTGTGTACAATGTATCACAATTTTGTGAATAAGAGTGTTCAATGTAACCGTCCGTTTATTTCAAATGAGTGAAGCAAATCTAGCCTGCATCCTCTACGTGTCTTACCACTCGCTGTTTCTAAGGAAGCCTTTTCGAAGGGGAACAACTCCACTTCAACTTCCGTATTTCAAACTCCGTACAGGGCGAAGCGAACCCTATTTTGAACTGGAGAACTTTCAGTCACCATACTGCCATATTTATCAAATAAATTGTTTTGTCTTGGCAAGTTTGGGAGCATATTTGTAAAACATTTGTAAAAAGTGTCAAAAGGATTTCAAATATTAGAATAGGTGAAATCGGATTTAACATCGCTTTCACTTATTTAGCCCGCACGTGTTTGGGTGTTAGTACTGAAGAAATCACGAATATATAATGAAAATGTATTTTGGGCCTGAATAAGTTAATATATGTAAATATTGGAAAATACCGTCAAAATTCAGTTTAGGTCATTTAGCCCAAGCTGACTCATGACACAATTAAAGCGTCGTTGATATTTTGGAGGTTCTCACATCTGAAAAATACAAGATAAATTCGAAACGCACAGTAACATGCTCTCCTCGCTAGTGACAACTGCCCTTGTATGGAAACACGAGAACAGGGGTTAAACTGTTCCAATAAAAAATAATACGCGTCTAACGTCAACTCCATCCTGCCCACGGCATTCCTGCGCCATACGCATCACGTGGTCTTCTGCATTTTGCCAAACTTCTCATGCCATCACGAAAATGATGCGTATGTAATATATTTTTACATCATATAACTTACAAATCAGCTCAACTGGATTAAAATCGCACTGTCGGACATGATATCGTAATTATGTAACACCGTGATCATGCAAGGCTGTCTGTCTTATTCTGTATTTGAGTTCTGATTTTCTCCATGAATTGCACCTTTGTCTCAGACAATGAATATTGCGAGTTGAAGGGTATTCTTGCGTTGTGGCTTTCAAACTGCTTCTAGTTGGGGTTATAGGTTCTCGAACGTTTTTTTACCTACTGTCGGGAATGCTAGGGAAATGCGAATCAAAGGGCTATGAAAATAGCATAGACCGCAACGCAAATCTACCTAATCTAACTTCTTTAACTGGCATTTAGAAGTTAGTGTGATGAAGTAAGACAAGTTCTATGGATGAACAACTTCTTTATTACAATTAGTGCGACGTTTCTGTGTAGATCCTAAGGTGTTAGGATCTATACCGAAACGTCGCACTAATTGTAATAAAGAAGTTGTTCATCCATAGAACTTGTCTTACTTCTACCTAATCTAGCCTAATCACTGTGATTAGCCTACATGGTACTTTTACAGGTATAATGATGGTAAACTTAGAACTTATTCCTGTTGTCATGCATGTATGAAAAGGCCTAAAGCCTGAGGTAATTCCGTAACACTTGTCCCGAGGTGATGACCTCACACCGGCCCGTGCATTTTCACAGGAGCAAAGACCCGTGAAGATCCGGGGTAGAATAGGCCTTCAAAAACCCATGCTTGCCGTAAAAGGCAAGGCGACTTACGGGATCGGGCGGTCAGGCTCGCTGATTTGGTTGATGCATGTCATCTTATCCAAACTGCGTGGATCGATGCTCATGACATAAATCACTGGCTTGTCTGATCCAGACTCGATTTACAGACATCATATACATGTAGCTTGAATATTGAGTGCGGCGTTAAACAACATACAAAAAAACAACTAACACCTGTCCCAAGGTGATGACCTGACACCGGCCGTGTATTTTCCCAGGTGCAAATGTCACCTGCGTTGGGGATGTTCTCAAAATGGTGCTGTTATTGTACTTTTTTTAGGATGTGCGTTGACGGAATAGCAATTAAGATATGTACTGCATAACATTTTTTTTGCTTTGAAAAGTTATGGAAGAGTTAAAAGCTACGAAACGAGTTTTTTGGTTTTTTTAATCGAGGCATTTTTGTTGCCCTACAGATGATTTCTTTAGCTAGAATCTCATAGCTAATGACGTATCTGAATCTGTACTATCACCCAACGGTATGATAACTGGTGCAACAAGGCTTACATCTACGCCGCCATCTTGGCGGTACTGACGTTCTGTTTCAAGAACGTTGTCTTCAGCCTTTTGCCTTACCTCTGGTGCAATTCTAGCAAAGCCTGCGTTGATCAACTTCCTCTTTTACGTGAGTTTGAATGTTATGTTATATTATGTCTTGCCACGAAACCTTTACAGTTAGCCCAGATGAGCTCAGTTGGGTTAAGCTCACAATGTCCGACTGGCGTAAGTAAGACAACGTGACCGTGTTGTGACGCTAGGACATGTCTTGTACTTTGAGTTGCACTTTCGTTTCAGATGGTCTGAAGTCGACATTGCAAGATGTCAGATATCCATGCATGGTCGCCTTCAGACTACTCATGGTTGGCGCGACAGAATATGGTTGACGGACGTTATTATAACTGGCGTTATCCATGACAATGACGCAGGGGTGTTTTGATTGGGCAGTAGCTGATGTCCCAACCAGTCTTTGAACACATCACCATTCAGTTCCTTATGATAATCACCAGTTTTATTTTTCGCCTCGAAAATCATCTTCCCGAGGCAAGAGAGTTAACTGACTTTAAAAGTCCAGTGGAAACTGAACTTTTGTAGTCAGTTGAATCTCTTGCCTCGGGAAGATGCTCGAAAACTACCTCACATCCATCAATAAGCCCTAGATCACGGGTTTCGGCGTGCAAAACAATGACACGATTACCCGATGACACAATGGGTGCTTTTCGTCCATTTGACGGTAGCCACATGTAGACAGTGGAATGATTCTTATTCACCGAAATTTCATCAAGGTAAATGATCTGGAAGCCCTGACTCTGATAGTAATAAATGGTGCAGATATTGTGACCTCAGGATGTAATATATCTCCCTGAAAAGTGCTCGGTCATCGCCAGAGGCAGTGTATCGAAATCCCATAACGTGGAGAACAATAATTAATGTAGTCCGGGAAACATTGTGTCTTTAATTTCCTCCCGAATTCTACTACAACTCGGGAGTACCGTTTGCTCATACAGCTTGTACACTGTACGCTTAATCACCCCTGTATCAAAGCTGTATGATATCCTCTTACGTCCCGGTTTTGTTTTTGAGACGACCCCTACCGTCTTGGTTCTTTTTATACCAAAGACTTGTTGGCATCGAAAACCGCAGAGCTTGGGCACTTTGGTAATACACCCTATACACACTATACACTATGCAGGTTAATAAATGGTTTCCATCGATCCCTCTCAAGTGTAAAGAATTGGTATACATTTCCTACTACAGACTCCAAGTTGTGTACAAAGCTAGGGATATGACCGTATAATGCTATCCACATCATGGGAGCAGTGTTGACAAAACAAATGCAGCCTCATATTTTGTCTAAGATGTACATTCTAAGATGGCAATAAGAGGACACATGTTTCTTTATATTTCCGGGACTACTTTAGTCCAGTTTTACAATGCTGACCCATTTAGATACAGTTTGACACGGTTACCCCACTCAGACACAGTATACTGATAGCCGACCAGTCTTTGTTTCATGGACGGCCTCCGTGGTCTAGTGGTAGAGCGTCTGCCCGGAGAGCGGAAGGTGTGGGGTTCAATCCCCGACCGCGTCATACCAAATGACGTCAAAAGATGGTACTTGTTGTTACCCTGTCTGGCGCTCGGTATTAAGGGGCTATAACAAAGACTGGTCGGCTCGGAGTCAGTATACTGTGTCTGAGTGGGGTATTCATGTTAAAGTGTGGCATGGTATCTCAGTGAGCTAGCACCTATAAATTAGCATCAGTCCGGACTAGTACAAGCAGCCACACACACACATGTGCATGCACGTCGCTATATAAGTGCAATAATCATGGACGCGACATTAAACCCAATTTCACCTCACTTCACCTTGGTTCATGCCGAGCCATTTTGGCGTCTTTTGGTATGACATGGCCAAGAAATCGAACCACAGACATCCGCTCTTTGGGCGGACTCTCTACTAGACCATGGAGATATTTTCATTAACAGAGTAGCTGATCTTGATTGCCGAGTTATGTGTAAGCTGTTCGTCTGTATTCCACACTATAATATCCACTTGCAGAAACATGAGTAGATTTTGTACACTTAAACTATTCGCTGGGTGGAGTCAATCTATGTGTAGTGTAATCTTTAATGAGATTGGGTTCGAGTCGACAATGTATTCTGAAAACGAGTAAGCAGCTGGATTGCATATCATTGTTCTGAATACATTGTCGACTCGAACTCAACCCAGCGAATAGTGTGCAAAATCTACACATAATTGCGAGTAACAAAAATAAAATAAATAGCATACAAATTTCTGTTTTAGGACACACATTAGTTTTTGTCTTTGGTAGGCCTGATAAAGACTCTTTTGTTTATACATGTATACTGACGGAAAAAAAGTAACTCTGCTTCATATATAAAGTGGTGTAAATGTTTGGTTATGTATAGAAGATTTGGGATAGAATAGGTCTTCAGCAACCCATGCTTGCTGTAAAAGGCGACTTTGCTTGTCCTAGGAGGCGACAAACGGGATGGGGGGGTCAGGCTCGATGACTTGGTTGATGCATGTCATTGTATCCCAATGGTGTTGATCGATGCTCATGTTATTAATCACTGGATTATCAGGTCCTGACTTGATTATTTACAGACCATCATCATATAGCTGGGATATTGTTGAGTGCAGCGTTAAACAACAAACAGATAAACAGAAGTTATATTGAGTATTAAACATCACTTGGACATTACACCACAAAGTGATTCCAGGTGGAATCGAATCCAATCTGTGCTTGTAGTTGAAGGTCTCTTAATGGCACCCAGACATTTCACCCCGAGGAGATTCCAGATTGAATTGGTACCAAGCCATATATGCCTGTTGTACAAGGCCACTTAATCGCATACGCTTCCAGAATTGGTGACTTAGTTATTGCATGTCATCGTTCCTCATATTAATAATAGGGGGCACAGTCGTCTAAGGCACCAGGATTTGCTCTGCAGAGTTGCGTCCCTTTGGCACGCCAGAAACCTATGATTGTGGGTTCGAATCCCGTTTGGCCCCGATTATGTTTCTAGGTTTGTCAGCACCATACCTGTGCTCATTGGTTTCACCGAAGTGGTAAACGTCTTAGACCTGCATCACTTCGGGCTTTCCTCCCACATTAAGCTGACACGCCATAATATAACTGGAACACTCTTAAAAGCAGCGTAACACTCACTCACTCACTCATAATAATAATCACAGGTTTGTCTGGCCAAGGCTAGATTATTTACATCTACTGGTTGTGGGAATATTAGTAGTGTAGCATTATTCAACAAACACCTGGACAATAAAGTCATAGACGCACATAGTTTAATGACATAATTGGTTTCATGCATTCTCCAAATTGCTGAAGTGATGAATTTTACCATGATATCCGACACTGACCCCCCAAACAAGGGTCAGAAGATTGGCACAGCCAAGTGATTTAAATAAATTGTATTATATATTGTGACCTAGGATGCCGTCCGAGATTTCTCTAGTCTGCACATTGGGTTGTCGTGAACCATCTGAAGGTTGACTCGTGGACCAATAAGATCACGGATGTTGTTGATGCCATACTTTATCATTGTTGGTCTGAAACAAACATGTTTATTGTTCTTGGTACATCATAACAATAAAGATGGTTCACTTCATCATGATCCAGTCAAAATGGTATAATTTACCCTAATCAAGATAAAGACATTGCAAAGTCAGGAAGACATGGCAACAAGGTTTTTTTGTATTATTTGGTCCACAGATTATTTTTCAAAATAAAAATATACAAATAGTTACAAATAGTCTTAAATGATTTTCTTTGTTTTTTGTGTAAGAATATAGGGTTGGTAGGAAGGGAATATATCAATGCAATTCTCTCTGTGACTGAAACATCCCAAGAATGTTAACAAATCAATACAGTTGGTACACACCACACATTTACTGCTTGAAGAACCAGTGTAGCTATGAATATTATTTCATCAACCAATTGCAGTTTTTTAAGCATGTACCATTTGTCTCAGGCAGACATGAATGTCAGGCTTGGCATTAACAAAAAAAGCTTTTAACTGGGAACTGTCTGTCCACATTCTTGATAAGTTTCAGTGGCCCCATGAACCAAGTTATAAACAACCCACCTAATGATGCTACTGTGAACTGGGTACAACATATACACTCAAGTACAATATATACCACTCAAAGGAAGTTAAGGAACACCTGATTCTTTCATATTACTATAGTTAATCTGTCATGGCAACCGATTCTTTCATATTATGATAGCTTCTTTCATATTACTATAGTTAATCTGTCATGGCAACCGATTCTTTCATATCATGATAGTTTCTTTCATATTACTATACAATGCTATAGTTAATCTGTCATGGCAACCGATTCTTTCATATAATAATAGCTTCTTTCATATTACTATTATAATTAATCTGTCATGGCAGCCGATTCTTTCATATAATAATAGCTTCTTTCATATTACTATAGTTAATCTGTCATGGTAACCGATTCTTTCATATAATGATAGCTTCTTTCATATTACTGGCAACCGATTCTTTCATATAATGATAGCTTCTTTCATATTACTATAGTTAATCTGTCATGCCAGGAAACTCTCCATGTCCCAAGTGACTTACAATGAGTGTGTCTTCAACTTTCATGACTGGTTAGGGACCACTTCAAAGTTTGATGTTGGATAAAAAAAAAACTTAAGCTTTGAGACATACCCCTAGCCCCGAAAAAAACTTAATTTCTGAAAATGTTGAATATCCGGGTTTAGTGGCCTCTTTTGTCAAGCATTCTTGTGTTTTGCACTGCTTTTTCGGAACATTCATCAAATGAAAGTATTTACTAGATGTTGGATTGTCAACAAATTTGTCATATATTACGCACTGTACTAGCTGGACTATTGCTGGCGATGATAAAACTATACCTTGTGGAAAGACTGGATGTATTTATGACAATTCATAACAGACAATTCATATGAACAAAAACAGGATCGGTTTAGTTAAGTTCCTTTAAAAAACCTTGAAAAATCAGGTAAGTTGATTTTGTCTGATAGGAAAACTTGCAGGGCCATTGACAACCCCATCCCTAAACTCAAATAATTGAGATTTTTATCCGACATCAAACTTTTGAACTGGTCCCTCAAGTTAGGTTCATTCTGACAGCTATTCATTCAGATTCAGCATGTTGTTTCATGATGGGTGGTAGTGTACAACTAGCCTCATTCAACCATCCTTCTCAGCTCCCTGGGGAGAGTATACAACACTTATTAGTAAGTACACGACTGTTTACCTTTCTAGAGACAGTCCCCAGGCGATGACGGCCACATCGGGAGGCAGGCCCATTGGCAACAGCATCTCCGGTCTGAACACTCCAGAGTTGCCAATCTCCACCCACTTCTTCAAGCCTAATAAAAACAGGACAGGCAGCACTTAGCACAGATTTATCTGGGTCTGTCCATTTGGAGTCCAGTAATATATTCTAGGTGTCAAGTCATAAACACAGGAGTCCTAGGCAGGTGACTTGTGTCATCCTTCACTTGATTTCCAAGAGGTAAGGTGAAATGGAGTTTAAAGTCGCATCCAAGATTATTGCACTTATATAGCAACGTGCGCGCGTGCACTATACCGGACTGATGCTGATTTATAGTGCTAGCCCATTGAGATACCATGCAGCAGTTTAACATGAATACCCCACTCAGACACAGTATACTGACTCCGAGCCGACCGATCCTTGTTTTAGCCCCTTAATGCCTAGCACCAGACAGGTGATTTCCAAGATGTTTAATGATGACGTATCTTTGCACATGCTCATAGGTTCAGATTTCAATGTCAGAAGAAAGAAGTCAACCATTGACACCCTGATATTTGAGTGTACATTGTATTTAAGACTAGACTAAAAGTGTCCGTTATCTGCAATTTTAATAAATTAATGATTCAGTCATACTTTTGTTCGTCAGGACTTGAAAAATACATTGTGACCATTTTCAATTTATAAATGACGTCACATCTTTCAGTAACTCTGTATTTATTAGCTAAACAGCCATAGATCTTCTATAGACAGAACCGTGTCAAGAACCTAACAGTGTCAATAATACTGCATCGTGATCTACTAGATGTCACAAAATCTCAAGTCACAAAATCTCAAATCACAAAAGCACTAATGTGAGCCGTAGAGCATGTGACATCATTATCACACATGGGCTGGAAATGGATCTCTACTCGCATAAATTAAATGTATTTCTTCTAAACATCAACTGTTGGCACTTTATTGTCTGTCCTGTTACAAACAAAACAGTAAAAGCATTATGGTATGTGAAACATGTTAATTTTATATTGCAGTGCTCTGTTAGAGTGTCGTTACCTTCATGATAACTGAAGATCTCCATGCTGGGTTCCGTGTAGGGGTTGTAGGCCGGCTTGAAACGCAGTTTCGTGATACCTGAAAAATATATAATGAGAAAGAAATGAACCACCTTTAACTATCCAGGTCCAATATTTTGTAAAACATTCCGACATTAACAACATCAGGGATGCAACTTAAGCCTGAAACAGTTGAGTGAGTGAGTTTGGTTTAACGCCGCTTTTAACAGTATTCGAGTTATATCGCGGCGTGTCAGCTTAATGTGGGAGGAAAGCCCAAAGTGATGCAGGTCTCAGAAGTTTACCACTTCGGTGAAACCCACGAGCACGGGTATGGTGCTGATAAACCTAGTAACATAATCGGGGTGAACCGGGATTCCAACCCACAATCATAGGTTTCCGGTGTGCCAAAGGGACGCAACTCTGCAGAGCAAATCCCGGCGCCTTAGACGACTGGGCCACCCGTGCCCCCCCAAACTTGAAACAATACAAGCATGAAATGTGATATCATGTAAGGACACACCACCTTGAGACCCTGACATTCTACTAGCCTTTGAGATACTTTTAACATCAAACAAGCTGATTCGGGCAAGTAGGCTCATGCCAACTTGCACCACATCATAATCATATTCATCCCTTTTGATAAAAAGACATTCTCTGAGGCAATTCATTGCAGCCGGGTGGTAAAAGAATTCACTCTCCAGGCCAAAGACCCCATGTGTGATTACAGTTTTTGGTGTTCCCTGCAGTGACAATGTGGATATTTTGCTAAACAAGGCATAAAGCCATACTCACTTCTGTAACTAAATTGTTTCTGGGGAAGACAAACCAGTGGTTGACATCATGAGTAAAGCCATCTTTCTTAACAGTTATCAAACTATTTAACTTGTCAGTTTTCGTGAACAGGTGTTGAGCAAAGTCCTGATCACTGACCAAGCTACCTGTGAACATCCGGGTTAGAACTGGTCTTCAGCAACCTATTTCTGTCTTTAAAGATGACTATGCTTGTTGTAAGAGGCAACTAACAGGATCGGGTGGTCAGGCATCTCACTTGGTTGATGCATGGCATCATTTTCAAATTGCGCAGATCGATGCTCATATTGTCACTGAATTGTCTGATCCAGACTTGATCATTTACAGACCAACGTCATATATCTGGAATATTGCTGAATGCTGTGTTAAGCAACAAAAGAACAACAAACAAAGAAACAACACTGACCAAGCTTGAGGAAGAAGGCATGGATCACGCCCATCAAGTCCCCGAGGGTGAGTCCTCGGTCAGCCACCACGCCCTCAATCTGGTGGAACTCCGCCAGGTGTGTGGCGTCCAGGTTCTCATTGCGGAACACTCGGTCAATGGAGAAGAGTTTCACTGGCAGGGAGTTCTGGAAGGAAGATCATATACACAACATTCATATCATGTTCATGGTGGTGAATGAGAAAACCAAAAATGAAAAACAAAACAAACAACTTTTCATTTTCAAAGTATTAGATGACATCTGCTTTAGAGAGTTAAACATTTAAGTACATTGTAAATTCTCAAAACCGTAGTTTGTTACATTGTTTCCTGATACCATGCTTTCTGGAAGAATTACTTTGTAATGATGTATGTCTATAGATTAAAGTATACAATCAAGTTTGGGCTTGACATAGCTTTGAACTGTTATACCGCAGCTAGTCATGTCATCTTCCCGAGGCAAGAGAGTTAACTGACTTTAAAAGTCCAGCTTCCACCCTTGCCGAACTAGGCTGGAATTCCTCAGCTCGATTGTAGCGCTACCATTGGTTATTACAAGTTATGTCCCTTCTAAGCCTCTCCTATGGACCAATCAGATTCCACCTCTCGTATCACTTGCATTTGTTTCAAACAAAATGGCGGCTCCCAGTCAAGACGATCTGAACGATAGTCATCTATATTGCAATAAAACCGGTCTTACATTGCTAAGTGCATCAAATCACGCGAGCAACTTGACTAAAAACATGAAAAGATCTGGAAAATATCTGTTGACGAGTTGGCAGTGCACATGCTTTGCAAATACTGCAATCGACCAAAATCTGCACAACAGTTTACGAACTGTATTTCGATTTCGTTGCACGATTTTAATTGGACTATGCATAGACTCGTTAGTCAAGCCAAAATGTAACTCCATAATACCAGCCTAGTTCGGCAAGGGTGGAAACTGGACTTTTGTAGTCTCTTGCCTCGGGAAGATGAGTTATGTGGGAGGAAGGCCAAAAGTGATGCAGGTGAAACCCATTGACCCAGGTGCTGACAGACCAGGTCATATTCTGTGATTCGAACAATCAGCAGATCCTGGCATAATAAAGAGCTGCAACTCTGCAAAGCCTTAAACCGCTTGGGCATCCCAAGCATATGATGAATATTTGCTGCTCATTTTCTTTCCTGAATTAAAACTGATAGACCCATGTGCATAAAGTGATTTCTGAAGGGAAGCTATTGCAGAATGATACAAACAATCCTTGCTACCTCTGTTAGGAGACTATCACTTGTGATTGTCACAGTCTAGTTCTCTACACTCATGTTCCTGGAACACCTACCGCCTGAGCAGTCTTATACAGCATGCGGGCGCTGACGGCCGTTGTGTGTGTTCGCAGGAGGTTCTTCTTGGCTTCCTCAGTCTTCCACTCACACTTGTACCTGCACAGACATAGACAATGGTAAACACAGGCGTCAAGTCTGACGATGTCACAGACATAGAGAATGGTAAACAAAGGCGTCAAGTCTGACGATGTCATAGACATAGAGAATGGTAAACACAGGCGCTGAGTCTGATGATGTCACAGACACAGAGAATGGTAAACACAGGCGCCAAGTCTGACAATGTCACAGATTGATATATGAGAGAGGACAAGATTTCAAAAGTTAACAAACTGTGAAGAAATGCTGTTATAAATATTGAAAACATTTCATCAATGTGACCATTATGCATCAAATATTACCAACATTTAGTGAAGCATTGAACATGTTGAATTTATAAACAAATAATGAAAAGATTACCCCAGAGATCCATAACCTCCTTCTGAATGAACCTTCTCCACTCGTTGACGGTAATCCTCCTCAAATATCTGAGCATTTGCTGGGTCTAGAAAAAAATAGTTTTCAGTTACCAGGATGTGTTCTTAAAAAGTGAAAAACAATGTTATACACAGATATTAAGTTTTAGTTTTTCAAATTATAGTCTGGACAAAATTTGTATATTCTTTCTATTGATTCTCAATGCTTGGTATAATGTCAATCAAAACTCAAAATGTAGCCACAACAAACACTATTCAGAGTCTGACTGGTTTGTAGTTTGATCCCATTTAAAAGATTTAAAATGTTAAAGATTCCTGTCATATTTCACAAAAGTGAAAAGAGGCAATGCTTGTTGTAAAAGGCAATGCTTGTTGTAAGAGGCAATGCTTGACGTAAGAGGCAATGCTTCTTGTAAGAGGCAATGCTTCTTGTAAGAGGCATTGAGATCAGGTGGTCAAGCGATGACCTAACCAAACATCTTGCCACATTATACATTGCACTCTCATGACATTCCTGTGAGAATCACAATCATGAATTATATTGCTATTTTCATTAACAATTATTCGTTGGCATAACTGAAATCAGATTGCAATCACAAAGGTTTATTGGCCAAACAGTTTTAAGGGCAGTAAAACAAATATGAGGATGAATCCCTTTGAACATTACTGTAAGAATGATTGTAACAAGCACCTGATACGAAGAAAGTGTCGTGGGCATCTCGGGCCGGGTGCTTCTGAGGCTGGAAGAGAGCATCGAAATTCCAGAAGCTACTCTCTACGAAGTTGTTGGTAGGCATCTCAGAAAATCTGCAGACAAATGTACACATAACTTTTGTGAGATAACTTCTTTCAGCCATATATCTTAACCCTAAATATACACGTCAACAAAAAATCATGACAGAAACCTTTGTCTTAAACAGGGAACTGGGCAACTGGCAGTCGCAGTACATCTGATTCATGTCATTCCCATCTTCCCGAGGCAAGAGTGTCCACTAGCCCTGTTATCAAAATCTTGTTTCCACCCTTGCCACATCAAACCTACTTACCTGTGCTAAACATGACTGGACTATTGCTAATATCGATAGTCCAATCAGAGAACGTTTCACAAATTCAACATCCATGACTGTGCACGTTTGTATGAGTGTAACTTATTATCTTTGTTAACAATAATATGTCTTTTTCATCATTTAACAGCCTTCTGATTGGCTAATGTCGACTTCATGTAAGTCATTCCATTGGTCGGTCAGTCTGACGTGACCTGTAATGAGATGTCCTCAGATCTTTGTTCAGCTGTAGCGAGAACCAAGTTCTGATGTTAATGAGATTGACACATTTCTGATAAAATATGGCAATAGGTCTGTATCCATATCTGCTTAGGCCACCAGAATTACCCCATCTACAGGAGGAACTGTTGGTACACAGCCCACACTTTGACCAAACCTACCCCATCTCCAAGAAGATCTGGCGGTACTCGGCACGCACTTTGAGCAATGGGTGAAGATGTCCGCTGGGTGGTTGGATCCCCAGAGCATCAAAGTTATACGGCTTGAATGTCTTCGTTTTCCAGGACCCACTGAAGAAAGAAAGCCACGTTACATCACAAACAAGAGGAGTTATACAAATAAAATAAGATATGTATGATACTCAGATTGTTCCCTCACACTGTGCTCTATGTTACACAGTGTAGCCTCTTCCCTCACACTGTGTTCTATGTTATACTATGTAGCCTCTTCCCTCCCACTGTGCTCTATGTTACACTCTGTAGCCTCTTCCCTCCCACTGTGCTCTATGTTACACTGTGTAGCCTCTTCCCTCACACTGTGTTCTGTGTTACACCGTATAGCCTCTTCCCTCCCACTGTGCTCTATGTTACAATGTGTAGCCTCTTCCCTCACACTGTGCTCTATGTTATACTGTGTAGCCTCTTCCCTCCCACTGTGCTCTATGTTACAATGTGTAGCCTCTTCCCTCACACTGTGTTCTATGTTACACTGTGTAGCCTCTTCCCTCACACTGTGCTCTATGTTACACTGTGTAGCCTCTTCCCTCACACTGTGCTCTATGTTACACTGTGCAGCCTCTTCCCGCCCATTGTGTTCTATGTTACACTGTGTAGCCTCTTCCCGCCCATTGTGTTCTATGTTACACTGTGTAGCCTCTTCCCGCCCATTGTGTTCTATGTTACACTGTGCAGCCTCTTCCCGCCCATTGTGTTCTATGTTACACCGTGTAGCCTCTTCCCTCCCACTGTGCTCTATGTTACAATGTGTAGCCTCTTCCCTCACACTGTGCTCTATGTTACACAGTGTAGCCTCTTCCCTCACACTGTGCTCTATGTTACACTGTGCAGCCTCTTCCCTCCCATTGTGTTCTATGTTACACTGTGTAGCCTCTTCCCTCCCACTGTACTCTATGTTACACTCTGTAGCCTCTTCCCTCACACTGTGCTCTATGTTATACTGTGTAGCCTCTTCCCTCACACTGTGCTCTATGTTATACTATGTAGCCTCTTCCCTCACACTGTGCTCTATGTTACACTGTGTGGACTCTTCCCTCCCACTGTGTTCTATGTTACACAGTGTAGCCTCTTCCCTAACACTGTGTTCTGTGTTATACTATGTAGCCTCTTCCCTCACACTGTGCTCTATGTTATACTATGTAGCCTCTTCCCTCACACTGTGCTCTATGTTACACAGTGTAGCCTCTTCCCTAACACTGTGCTCTATGTTATACTATGTAGCCTCTTCCCTCACACTGTGCTCTATGTTACACTGTGTAGCCTCTTCCCTCACACTGTGCTCTATGTTATACTATGTAGCCTCTTCCCTCACACTGTGCTCTATGTTACACTGTGTGGACTCTTCCCTCACACTGTGTTCTATGTTACACAGTGTAATCTCTTCCCTCACACTGTGCTCTATGTTATACTATGTAGCCTCTTCCCTCACACTGTGCTCTATGTTACACTGTGTGGACTCTTCCCTCACACTGTGCTCTATGTTATACTATGTAGCCTCTTCCCTCACACTGTGCTCTATGTTACACTGTGTGGACTCTTCCCTCCCACTGTGTTCTATGTTACACAGTGTAGCCTCTTCCCTCACACTGTGCTCTATGTTATTCTGTGTAGCCTCTTCCCTCCCACTGTGCTCTATGTTATTCTGTGTAGCCTCTTCCCTCACACTGTGCTCTATGTTACACTGTGTAGCCTCTTCCCTCACACTGTACTCTATGTTACACTATGTAGCCTCTTCCCTCACACTGTGCTCTATGTTATACTATGTAGCCTCTTCCCTCACACTGTGCTCTATGTTACACTGTGTAGCCTCTTCCCTCCCACTGTGCTCTATGTTATACTATGTAGCCTCTTCCCTCACACTGTGCTCTCTGTTACACTGTGTAGCCTCTTCCCTCACACTGTGCTCTATGTTACACTGTGTAGCCTCTTCTCTCACACTGTGCTCTATGTTACAATGTGTAGCCTCTTCCCTCACACTGTGCTCTATGTTATACTATGTAGCCTCTTCCCTCCCACTGTACTCTATGTTACACTGTGTAGCCTCTTCCCTCACACTGTGCTCTATGTTACACTGTGTAGCCTCTTCCCTCCCACTGTACTCTATGTTACACTGTGTAGCCTCTTCCCTCACACTGTGCTCTATGTTATACTGTGTAGCCTCTTCCCTCACACTGTACTCTATGTTACACTGTGTAGCCTCTTCCCTCCCACTGTGCTCTATGTTACACTGTGTGGACTCTTCCCTCCCACTGTGCTCTATGTTACACGGTGTAGCCTCTTCCCTACCACTGTGCTCTATGTTACACAGTGTAGCCTCTTCCCTCCCACCGTGGTCTATGTTACACTGTGTAGCCTCTTCCCTCCCACTGTGCTCTATGTTACACTGTGTAGCCTCTTCCCTCACACTGTGCTCTATGTTACACTCTGTAGCCTCTTCCCTCCCACTGTGCTCTATGTTACACTCTGTAGCCTCTTCCCTCCCACTGTGCTCTATGTTACACTGTGTAGCCTCTTCCCTCCCACTGTGCTCTATGTTACACTGTGTAGCCTCTTCCCTCCCACTGTGCTCTATGTTACACTGTGTAGCCTCTTCCCTCCCACTGTGCTCCATGTTACACTGTGTAGCCTACCTAGAGATCATCTCTGGGGTGAGGTCCACATCAGCCTTTGCCACAGTCAGAGAAAACTTGTCTCCCTTGGAAATGAAGTAGCTCGTAACTTTTCTGAAAATAAAGAACAACAGTTTTAAATGTATTACCATGTTTACTGGAACTCAAGATTAGAAACCACATTATAATATGTTTAACATCTTTTGTATAAATGTGCCAGATGACAATATCCATGCCGACCTGGGTGGTACACCACTTTGATAATTTTAACACAAACTAGTTCTGATTAATGAGGAGGACACACTGACACTTCTGAGATGAGTTTCCTCTTCTTGAGTTCGGCCCTCTGGTCCTGTGGGACGTCCTCCAGCTGAAGATTCTGTATCTTGAGGAGGCACAGCTGAACCTTGTCCTCTATGGTGTCTGCCTAGAAACACACACAACCATCTCATGGCAGGTTTACACTCAATATCACCAAGTAGCATGATTATGTCTCTAGCTATTGTGAGTGAGTGAGTGAGTGAGTGAGTGAGTGAGTGAGTGAGTGAGTGAGTGAGTGAGTGAGTGAGTGAGTGAGTGAGTGAGTTAAACGCCGCTTTTAACAGTTTACAGTTATAACGCGGCATGTCATCTTAATGTGTGAGGAAAGCCCGAAGTGATGCAGGTTTCAGCCGTTTACCACTTCGGTGAAACCCACAAACATGGGTACGGTGCTGACAAACCTAGAAACATAATCGGGGCGAACTGGGATTTGAACCCACAATCATAGGTTTCTGGCGTGCCAAGGGGACACAACTCTGCACAGCAAATCCCGGCGCCTTAGACGACTGGGCCACCCGTGCCCCCCCAAACTTGAAACAATACAAGCATGAAATGTGATATCATGTAAGGACACACCACCTTGAGACCCTGACATTCTACTAGCCTTTGAGATACCTTTAACATCAAACAAGCTGATTCGGGCAAGTAGGCTCATGCCAACTTGCACCACATCACAATCATATTCATCCCTTTTGATAAAAAGACATTCTCTGAGGCAATTCATTGCAGCCGGGTGGTAAAAGAATTCACTCTCCAGGCCAAAGACCCCATGTGTGATTACAGTTTTTGGTGTTCCCTGCAGTGACAATGTGGATATTTTTAACAACTGTTTTTTTTTCTGTATATGTTCATTTCAGAGATTAGATGCTAGTCTACAGGCAGGCGTGCAGGCAGTTATTTTTGACATTGTTGTGAACACTTTGCTCTAGGGGTGTCAAGATAAATTGAAATATCGATATATTGCTATGGTAAGCACTTAAAGTCAATAAATCGATTGTTAAATCAGTTCCCGATCAATAGTATCGATATCCGTTAGGAATATCAATAGTTTTTATTGTATTTACCAAATCAATGAAATACATGCAATGCTGTTCAAATTTGTTTTTCTTTTGATAGTGGTAGTAATTTACACATGGTAATGTGGAAGTTTCTTTTTCTTAAATTATTAGGGAAAAGAAAAGAAAATCAGTCAAATCACAAACTTTACTTTTTATTTGTTGTTATGGTTATCACATTCAAAGGAAACTTCAGTTCCAAGGTTTAATTCAACTGTAAAATCCATCTAAAATGATACACTGAAAACTATAGATATTTATCGCAATAGTTGCTTGCCATATCAATATTTATCGCAATAGTTGCTTGCAATATCAATAGTTATCGCAATAGTGATTTCCAGACCAATAGTCACCCCTACTTTGCTCACTGAGCCAAGATAGCCTTGACCAACATGTTAGAACTGTGGAAATTATAGCAAAAGTAGGCGACTTATTTCACAATGGGGGGCATGGGTGTTGATTCTCTGTGCAGAGTTGCATCCCTTAGGCACATCATAAACCTATGATTGTGGGTTCAAATCCCGGTTTGCCCCAATTATGTTTCTAGGTTTGTCAGCACCATACCCGTGCTCGTGAGTTTCACCGAAGTGGTAAACGTCTAAGACCTGCATCACTTCAGGCTTTCCTCCCACATTAAGCTGACATGTCGTGATATAACTGGAATACTGTTAAAAGCAGCGGTAAACCCAACTCACTCACTCACTATTTCACAATGATTCACTTGATTGATATTGTATTACTAGTAGCAGTATTACAGCACCAGCACAACTGAAGGGGCAAAGAAATGATTACTGTCAGACCATCTTGTACTTCTTTATAACTCTTACCTTTCATCAACTCTATCCATATTCCCCTATTTGAGAGTGGAATTCGAAAAAAAGTGAAAATATCTCTATCTTTTTGTTGCCTTTGTTGACAATAATCAAAGGCTAGGCCTGAGTAAGCTATCAAATTACAAGAACTTATTTAGAACAGAACTGTGATAAATACAGATCTGAAAATTTAAGCTACAGCAGTATCAGAAACACATACTGATTTGAACACTTTAGCTACAGTATCATCAGAGACATACTGATCTGAACTCTTTAGCTACAGTATCATCAGAGACATACTGATCTGAAAACTTTAGGTCCTCCTTCAGCCTTTTTGTCCATTTTTATCCACTTGGCAGACATAGCTTTACTGAAACCAATCTTGGCATTTGGAACAGAGCTCTGAAAAGAAGAATGTACAACCTTGAAACACAAAGAAACAGCAATCGGAGTTTATCAACACTAAATGATAGTTTTAAGATAAAAATATCTGGATTTATTGTTGTTGCTGAAAAAATATCTAATCTTATAGGGTTGGGACGAGTCCAAATTTACTACCGGGTACCCATCTCCATATTACCGGACACTCCCCGGGTACCCACTGTAGGTCTCAGGAGATATCTCAAAATGTCCGATTGGGAATATTTTTAGCATAGCCCTGGCAAAACGTATTTAGATACATGTATTAAATAAACTGGTCATCCATACACTGAAGTTGAATTAAGTTATATCTTTATTCAACCATATGAAAAATCAGAAGAAATGTGTGCACAGTCAGAAAGAAATGCAAACATTAGTGACTTGTAGTGTAACCATACAGTTCTAGATAAATTTTGTCATAGTCCTGTGGGTACCCGGGTCCTACTCAGTACCCAACCGTCCCGGGTACCCAAGTTACCCGTCCCAGCCCTATAATCTTAATACAAAATCCCAGACACCCTCCATTGAGAATATTTGCCCAGAAAGTAGGTAATTACCATGATCTGAGCCTGTGTTATGCCTTCCTCTGGCACAACTTGGTACACCCTGGCCTCGTGACTGCCGTTGGCAACCACCTCCTTGCCCTCCTCGGTTATGTCCCATCTCTTACTCTGCCTCTGCTCAACTTTGATGAGCTGTTAGAATAAGAAGAAGAAGACTTCAGATGAAAAAAAACATCCATCACAAGAACTATACAAAGCAAATCCATGTTGAAGATTGTAATGACTTAGGGGACACATAATCAAGTCCTGTAGTAAGGAGTAATTAGGGTGGGACGATTCACTGATACATCATGTATACGTAGTCCTGAAGTAGGGAGTAATTAGGGAGGGACGATTCACTGATACATCATGTATACCAAGTCCTGAAGTAGGGAGTAATTAGGGAGGAACGATTCACTGATACATCATGTATACCAAGTCCTGTAGTAGGGAGTAATTAGGGAGGAACGATTCACTGATACATCATGTATACCAAGTCCTGAAGTAGGGAGTAATTAGGGAGGAACGATTCACTGATACATCACGTATACCAAGTCCTGAAGTAGGGAGTAATTAGGGAGGGACGATTCACTGATACATCACGTATACCAAGTCCTGAAGTAGGGAGTAATTAGGGTGGGACGATTCACTGATACATCATGTATACCAAGTCCTGAAGTAGGGAGTAATTAGGGAGGGACGATTCACTGATACATCACGTATACCAAGTCCTGAAGTAGGGAGTAATTAGGGAGGGACGATTCACTGATACATCATGTATACCAAGTCCTGAAGTAGGGAGTAATTAGGGAGGAACGATTCACTGATACATCACGTATACCAAGTCCTGAAGTAGGGAGTAATTAGGGAGGAACGATTCACTGATACATCATGTATACCAAGTCCTGAAGTAGGGTGTAATTAGGGAGGAACGATTCACTGATACAACATGTATACCAAGTCCTGAAGTAGGGAGTAATTAGGGAGGGACGATTCACTGATACATCATGTATACCAAGTCCTGAAGTAAGGAGTAATTAGGGAGGGACGATTCACTGATACATCATGTATACCAAGTCCTGAAGTAGGGAGTAATTAGGGAGGGACGATTCACTGATACATCACGTATACGTAGTCCTGAAGTAGGTAGTAATTAGGATGGGACGATTCACTGATACATCAAGTATACCAAGTCCTGAAGTAGAGAGGAAATTAGGGAGGGACGATTCACTGATACATCATGTATACCAAGTCCTGAAGTAGGGAGTAATTAGGGAGGGACGATTCACTGATACATCATGTATACCAAGTCCTGAAGTAGGGAGTAATTAGGGAGGGACGATTCACTGATACATCATGTATACCAAGTCCTGAAGTAGGGAGTAATTAGGGAGGGACGATTCACTGATACATCATGTATACCAAGTCCTGAAGTAGGGAGGAACGATTCACTGATACATCATGTATACCAAGTCCTGAAGTAGGGAGTAATTAGGGAGGAACGATTCACTGATACATCATGTATACCAAGTCCTGAAGTAGGGAGTAATTAGGGAGGAACGATTCACTGATACATCATGTATACCAAGTCCTGAAGTAGGGAGTAATTAGGGAGGGACAATTCACTGATACATCATGTATACCAAGTCCTGAAGTAGGGAGTAATTAGGGAGGGAAGATTCACTGATACATCACGTGTACGTAGTCCTGAAGTAGGTAGTAATTAGGGTGGGACGATTCACTGATACATCACGTATACCAAGTCCTGAAGTAGGGAGTAATTAGGGTGGGACGATTCACTGATACATCATGTATACCAAGTCCTGTAGTAGGGAGTAATTAGGGAGGGACGATTCACTGATACATCAAGTATACCGAGTCCTGAAGTAGGGAGTAATTAGGGAGGGACGATTCACTGATACATCATGTATACCAAGTCCTGAAGTAGGGAGTAATTAGGGAGGGACGATTCACTGATACATCATGTATACCAAGTCCTGAAGTAGGGAGGAACGATTCACTGATACATCATGTATACCAAGTCCTGAAGTAGGGAGTAATTAGGGAGGAACGATTCACTGATACATCATGTATACCAAGTCCTGAAGTAGGGAGTAATTAGGGAGGAACGATTCACTGATACATCATGTATACCAAGTCCTGAAGTAGGGAGTAATTAGGGAGGGACAATTCACTGATACATCATGTATACCAAGTCCTGAAGTAGGGAGTAATTAGGGAGGGAAGATTCACTGATACATCACGTGTACGTAGTCCTGAAGTAGGTAGTAATTAGGGTGGGACGATTCACTGATACATCACGTATACCAAGTCCTGAAGTAGGGAGTAATTAGGGTGGGACGATTCACTGATACATCATGTATACCAAGTCCTGTAGTAGGGAGTAATTAGGGAGGGACGATTCACTGATACATCAAGTATACCGAGTCCTGAAGTAGGGAGTAATTAGGGAGGGACGATTCACTGATACATCATGTATACCAAGTCCTGAAGTAGGGAGTAATTAGGGAGGGACGATTCACTGATACATCATGTATACCAAGTCCTGAAGTAGGGAGTAATTAGGGAGGGACGATTCACTGATACATCATGTATACCAAGTCCTGAAGTAAGGAGTAATTAGGGAGGGACGATTCACTGATACATCACGTATACCAAGTCCTGAAGTAGGGAGTAATTAGGGAGGGACGATTCACTGATACATCATGTATACCAAGTCCTGAAGTAGGGAGTAATTAGGGAGGGACAATTCACTGATACATCATGTATACCAAGTCCTGAAGTAGGGAGTAATTAGGGAGGGACGATTCACTGATACATCATGTATACCAAGTCCTGAAGTAGGGAGTATTTGGGAGGAACGATTCACTGATACATCATGTATACCAAGTCCTGAAGTAGGGAGTAATTAGGGAGGGAAGATTCACTGATACATCACGTGTACGTAGTCCTGAAGCAGGTAGTAATTAGGGTGGGACGATTCACTGATACATCACGTATACGTAGTCCTGAAGTAGGTAGTAATTAGGGTGGGACGATTCACTGATACATCATGTATACCAAGTCCTGAAGTAGGGAGTAATTAGGGAGGGACGATTCACTGATACATCATGTATACCAAGTCCTGAAGTAGGGAGTAATTAGGGAGGGACGATTCACTGATACATCATGTATACCAAGTCCTGAAGTAAGGAGTAATTAGGGAGGGACGATTCACTGATACATCATGTATACCAAGTCCTGAAGTAGGGAGTAATTAGGGAGGGACGATTCACTGATACATCATGTATACCAAGTCCTGAAGTAGGGAGTAATTAGGGAGGGATGATTCACTGATACATCATGTATACCAAGTCCTGAAGTAGGGAGTATTTAGGGTGGGACGATTCACTGATACATCATGTATACCAAGTCCTGAAGTAGGTAGTAATTAGGGTGGGACGATTCACTGATACATCACGTATACGTAGTCCTGAAGTAGGGAGTAATTAGGGTGGGACGATTCACTGATACATCACATAATCAAATCTGATTGGCCTACATAAGCATGGCATTCATTCATTATCACGATCAATGAAAAACAAAACAGAAACAAAACAAAACATGATGGTCATACATATCGTCTTATGCCTAAGGGTAACCCTAACTGATAGAACCAGATCTCTGCAAGCAACAAAGACAGGTTTTCAGGTGGCTTAGATTGGACAATTTACACAAGTTGCAACACACCGTATATACACTGCAGAGTTTATCCCGTTAGTTCCCAAGCAGGGTCGGAGTGCAGTTAGCCTAGTTGTCAACTGGTTCATAAGTGCGGAAGATGATTTCATCAGCCATTTGTTTCTAGCAGACGAATCTGTTCAAAACTTGCCGTGAAAATAAATACTACAACAACAAATACTTACATCTTCGTGTGACTGTAGACTCTTTACCGCGCCTACAACCTTCTGGTGGTCTGTATTTAACTTAGAAGCAAGTTCTAAACTGTCAACACCGCCGGTATCAGCGACAGCCTGCAACACGAGTTTCAAGTCAGCCATTTTGGGTTATTGTAAAACCGACCAACAGTTAAAACGAAACAGCTTCCGGTTACATTGCTTGTGAAACTGACACACAATATTAGTTTCAATCTATTTCGTCAGTCGAGAGATAGACTGTTCCAAAAAACAATAACACAATTATTTTGTGATTTTAAAATATATATATATGTCTTTTATATTGTATATTTTATTCGAAGAAAAATTGCCACACAACTTGGAGGAAATTTGAGCGAACTTCCTAAGTTTTTTACTTCAACATGTTTGCAAAAAGTAAGAATAAGATATATGGATGAACACTTCTTTATTACAATTAGGTGCGACGGTGCTTGATAACTGTGTTACACCGAAATGTCGCTCCTAATTGTAATAAAGAAGTTGTTCATCCATACATTTTATCCTTACCAGAGACCATGAATATACCGATCGGTATGTGGTCTCTGTCCTTACTTAGTACTCCAACTTCTAAATGCCTCTCAATTCTCAAAGGCGTTATGTTTGCGCACACTTGAGCATTTGCTTGATTGGCGTAAAGAGTCTATTTAAGTTTCAAATGTGGCTTTACGTATCTCCTATAAGTTTAAAAAACCACACCAAACAGTTTATAAATCATGTGTTAAAAAGTATGATACAGATTTATTGAAAGTGTGTGATGTTACATTAAATAATATAGATTCTCACTCAGAGCAAGGAATCTTATATATAAAACTTACATGGATGCCCTGATCAGTGATATGGTCGCCATAGTTATGGTCGCGGTCGATGTAATTGTGCTGTTACCTCACTCACTCAATCATAGGGTTTGATCGCAGGAACATGTGTCGAAATATTGACCAATTCATAAATATATATAACTAGATGTCAACACATTGTCTGTTTAACCCATACACGACATTTTTTCGTTGGATGACCGTACACGCGCTAAAAATAATCAGTTGGATTCTACACGTACGCATATATTTCCAAGACATTTTGGTATTTCAGTGTGCTTATTATGTGATAATATTTTATTGCGAACTTATTGGTAAAGTATCCACGAGAACATTGAATTCTAACAACATTATGTGTACAACAATAACGGGATTAACGTGTTGTGCGACTATAACTTGATCTTCGTACCGTGTCGATATATATACGATATATAGAAATACTGTATTCAAAGAAACAAGTCAAAATCGTTAAGTTTTGATTTTGAGTGATTGCTTATCCTACTTACATTCACATGTTTATAAGAACAGTTACACCAACATATAACTAAAGTCCAGGCAGTGTTGGGTCGTGATGCGTCTTCTAACTATTCCCTTTTTCATATTAATAATTCATTTATTTATATAACAAATTTGAGTTTTAGATATAGAATAGGATTAGTTATCAATATAAAAATTGAATTATTGATATCACAAATTCGATTGTTTGATATAATTAAATCAGGTTTAGATATTACAATTTCGAAACGTATTATTGATATCTAAAAGAATGTGATATCAATAATTCACATCTAGGTACACATACCACACACCGCAGTTAATAAACTACCAGTCGTTAATGTTGTTGTCTGTCGTGTCTATCCGGCTTTCAACTTTAAGCATATTTTTCTTGGTACTTGTGTGAGAAGTATTGATTTATTGACAACTGAACTTTCTCAGTATTTTAAGGTATCACAAAATCAAAAATATTTTTGAAAATTCGATTTTATGATATCATTAATCATGTTTAAAAATCAAAATTTGTAACATCTATGTATGATATCATAGAATATAATTTGCGATATCAATAAACGAAATATATATATATATATATATATATATATATATATATATATATATATATATATATATAAACAGGGAGTAATTTGCAAAACGACGCACCAGAGTCGTATATGTTTATTTGTGTTCATGTTACTTACCTACCGTAAATGGTAATTACGTGTAATTCTAAATTGTAAAGGTCCCTATGTAAATTGCTTCGTCAGCAGCTGTATGTACCTACCTTCTTTCGGGATATATTTAAGTACTTACATTTAAAGTTAAGAAATTCAGACACAGTTTAACGTACTCACTGACATTATAATTTCATTGAGACTTTTTAACTTTCATAGTATGTGGTGAATTATTCAGCAGGTAATGTTGTACCTTCTAATACTCGTACAATTATTTTAATTGGTTGTTTGGTTTGTTGTTTAACGCCGCACTCAGCAATATTCCAGCTATATGACGGCGGTCTGTAAATAATTATTCTAAACCAAGGTATCTATATGTGTACAAATAACAATATGTTGGCATTTGATGCCAAACATCATTTTTTAAGTCAAACGTATTAAAAAATGTTAAAAGCGCTGGGTCATGATGCTGTGTGTGTACAACACGACAGACCCATGTAGGAAGACCAGGAAGACCACATGTGCTTGTGCATAGTATACAATATTCATGTAAATAAACTCTGGGCCATGTGGCCTTCATTCGTGAATAAACTTCTTCTTCTTCACATGAGGGGCGGTCGGGTAGCCCAGTGGTTAAAGCGTTCGCTCGTCACGCCGAAGACCCGGGTTCGATTCCCGACATGGGTACAATGTGTGAAGCCCATTTCTGGTGTCCCCCGCCGTGATATTGCTGGAATATTGCTAAAAGCGGCGTAAAACCATATTCACTCACTCACTCTTCACATGACAGTTGAAATGAAATAGAAATTCAAATTGACAAACAAAGAAAACAGTTTAGTTAGGGTAAGAGTATTCGGCGTCACGACAGTCATCGCTTGTTTGTAATCATAACTGTCCATCGGTTGCGTGTTCAACGCCAAGCATGGTTGTGACCACCTTCCAGTCTGTCGCAGGAACGAACGGGAACCAGTCTGGACTGGTGGCAGCGATGGAGAGAGCTCTGCGAACGGGCTATCGCTGCGAGGAGCTTAAAACAGGTGCGCGTGGAACTCCCAACAGCGAAGATAGGCCCCGCAATGTAGCAATATTCTTTTAGGACATCTCTGTTAGAAGTTTTGACTTGACATTTTACACAGGAAGTAGACTCGTCTGGTCTGGTCGTCGCTATTACACACTTTTCATGACCGCGGTAGTGTACCGTTTTTATCGAGTGGTATAGTTCTTCATAGCGCGTACAACTCAGTTTGACTGTTATTCTATGTGCGCTCGGCTAATACATGTGCGCTGTTATCGCTCTGTCGCCTGGCAAACAAGAAATGTTATATATGGATGCGGTGAATTCGTCGACACCGCCACCACGAACACAAACCGGAAGTGAATTCGAAGACACATTTTTTTTAGATATTGGAATTGAATGATGATAAGTAATCTTAGCAATATTATTATTATTACTTATCGGCATACCGGCCTCGTTTATGTTTCTGAGTGTTTCGTTTGCATGGTTTTTTTACTTTTAAAAGTGTTAAATAAAAGATATGGTAAGGCCACTTTTGTTTTGAATACATTAGCAGTATCCTTTGTAAATAGATACATATATCCAAGCAGGGAAGGACAAGATGATAGCAATAATATTTATTGTCTAAATGTAAGAAATCAATAGTTAAGTATATTTACCTACTACATGTATATGTCTTTTGTCTACGAGTTCCCAGAACTTTGTCTTCGATTTGGGAGTGTCCAGGAATTCTCCATATATATTTGTGAGAATTTGAATGTGTCAAGGTGCATATTTAGGACGTGTTTGTAATTTCATTCTTATTTAAGATAGTACAATATTTCCCAATATCGTAAACAACCATTTGAATAAAATTATTTTCATCGTACACATTTTTCACCCTGCTTCATAGAAACAAATTCTAATATAAGGGTCCGACTTTCTTTCAGAACACAATATTTTCACCACGTCCTTTAATCATTATTTTGAGTTGCACCCGACTCGCCTAAAATACGACTCGCCTAAAACAATCTGACCCGACTCGCCTAAAAAATATATATAATATTTTGGTATGCGTTTGGCAAATATAACTTAGGTTAGGTCTAATGATCACAATTACTAGTATATTCATACACAAGTATGGAAATAATATTAAAAAAACAACGTATCATCGATAGAATTTGTCTTCTGTCATATTTACATCTGCACTTCATGTTGAGTCAGTGAGTCAGAGCCCAGTCGATTACGCTATTGAGACCGAGACTACAAAACTAACATTTAGGTACATTATGTGTATAAAATGCATTACTATGAATTTCTGATAGTTACATACTTATTCTAAAATACAAAAACCGACCGTAGTTCGCTCAAAAAAATTTAGGCGAGTCGGGTCAAAATCTTTTTAGGCGAGTCGGATTTTAGGCGAGTTGGGTGTATCCCATTATTTTGTGTGTAGAAGTTGAGGCAATTGTTTTTTAAAGTATTTCCTGGTACAAATTGTAATCTTAAAATATTTCCGTGGTTACCACACTTATCTTACCCACAGTGGACGTCTCTACATCTACGTCTGCCATACCACCATACCTCTCCGACTAGTCCTCATTCAAGGGTGACAATGTGGTCAATTAACACGATGTCATCTTGCCGTGTCAATTCACCCGCCGCTTAACGCCGCTTTTAATGTCCGCTTAATGTGGGAGGAAATCGCGAAGTGATGAAGATCTCAGACGGTTACCACTTCAGTGAAACCAACGAGCACGGGTATCTTGCTGACAAACCTAGAAACATAATCGGGGCTAACTGGGATTCGAACCCACAATCATAGGTTTCTAGTGTGCCCAAGGGCCGCAACTCTGCACAGCGAATCACGGCGCCTTAGACGACTGGGCCACCCGTGCCCACGGCATATACGTATTGGCTACTAAATGCTGCTATAATAAAATATATAAAATATGTATTTTACTAAATTGTTATTTATATATATATATACAAATAGAAAAGAGCCAATTTCCACATGTTCGTGTATTCTTTTGTCAGGGTCTGTATGTGACATTATTGAAATAGTCAGACTTTCAGAGGCCATTATCACACCCCTTCTAAAACCATCTAATAAAGCTAAATAAATACGCCACCAAGGAGTAAAGTATGTTATAGAGTA